GGTACAATGCTAAAATGTTGACATGCCTTGAAAAATCGGGCATTGGACGAGCACTAAAACAATGTGCCCATGTACAAAGAAGCTGTTTCAGCACTTGTCTAGGGTTCTGTGATTTGGCCAGGCTGGTTTTTTTCTTCTTCCCTGCAAGGCATTAGTATTTCATTCTCATGTATTTATTTGTGCTGAAAACTGATGAGGCATAATGAGGGACATCATGTTCTCTCTTAAAAAAAAAAATTATGTCAGGCTTTCAATGTGGAGGAGGAATGTAAAATATCTGAAAACATGCACATCAGCAAGTTCCCATTTCTTTCTCACAACACCGAGCCTATTACAATAAGTTAAGTTATATCTCCCCTTTTTTGTACATTCTGCTGCTCTTCAGCACACCTGTCAAACCCTCCTCCCATTTTAAAAATAAAACTGGTGTGAAATCTTGAGAGCTAACATTCTCACAGAAAAAGCTAACACCACAACCCTTGGGAGACGGCCAAAGGGCAGGCTTCTAAATCAGAAATGCTCAGTGACTATCCAGAGGTCTCCAATGACCATTAGAAACAACACACGAATGGAGAGCTACATCACCTCGGTCTTATCCACATTTACCTTTTCCCCTGCTCTTTCCAGGCATAGGTCTGTACTTAAAAGCCCCATGCCTGAGTGTGGGTTTGGGGTGTGTGTGTTTTTGCCCCAGAGTTTTCCCCACAAAAACCCACTCTTTAGCACTCATTTGGAGCAAACATCAATTTGGGTTTAAAGCAGATTGCTGTTTGCTCTGATTGAATTTAAAGAGCAGATTCAGAGCAAAAAAAAAAAAGAGGGAGCTGCTTCCACACACAGCTTTAAAGCACAGACCATGCCTAGAAAGCACAGAGGAAAGGTAAGTGTGGATAAGCCCTCACATGCAGCCAGCAGTTCCAAGCTGTTTAAATTGGCCTTATTTATAATAATTATTGGCATGGCCCTGTAGAGGAAGATGCCATTAGATCTAAGGGCTGGTAATGAAGAACTGTTGCTGTTTTGCATAGTGAGGCAATCTAGAAGGTCATGGGGCTTGAGGGAAAATGTGTTTGTGAATAAGTTACAAAAATATATTGGAAATAAATGTTTTAATTTCACATGGAGGTTTTTTTGTTTTGTTTTGTTTTTTACCTAGTGTGTCAGCCTACTAATTGGGCATATCAAGCTAAAAAGTCAATGCTATATATCTATGGAGCAGACAGCAGAAGCACCAGTTTGACATATTTTGATTGGTGAACCAATGACAGGCACCATTTGCCCAAATCTCTGTGGACCTTTTTTTTTACTGTTGTTTTAAGACTCTGATTAGATTGTAGCCAAATAGTCGTGATGAATTATGGTAAATGTAGTTCAGAATCTGTTAGCTCTTAAGCATTTTGTAACTGCCATTAACCATAAAACATATCTGAGAGAGACGTGAGTAAAGGAAACCCTCAGAAAAAACAATAGTGACAATATAAGAGTGTATGGGAAACACTTTGTTATATAGCTGCGTGAGAATTAAGAATATAATGATGGCCCGTGAACAATCACATCTTAAAGAAGATATGTCTGATTTTATCCAAGATAAATACGAGATGAGACTGAAAGAGAAGGCAGGCCCCACTCTAAGAAATAAGAGAAATGCACAAAATGTTTTTCCTTAGTCAGGTCAAAGGAAAGCCATTTTTCTTGGCCACAAAAGGTAAACACAGAAGACCATTCAAGGAAAATATAATAAGATGAAGTGCCATTTTGAGCATGCTGCAATTTATCACGGGTAAGGAAAATATTCTTACTCCCCCACCCCTGCCCTCAGGGTGCATGTGTTTCAGAGGGATAAGAGCTGGATTAGGGATGAGAAGAGACATTTAGGCCCAACATACAGACTGAAAATGGTTCCCTAATGAGGAATCATCGTAGAACCAACAGCTCTAGCTGAATGACTTTCCAATCATACCCAGTCATTGAAAGGGAAATATATCTTCTTCCCTGGCTTAGTTGCAAAGTGGTGACAGTTCCTAAACCCAGGAGAGGTTTGTTAGAGCCATGCAGCTCAGCTGGTGCAACCAACTTAGCCTCTTCACACACTGAGGTTATCAGCTGGACTGGGGGAGAACACTAGGCCTGATTACCTATTTCCTCCCAAAGTAAGAGAAGTGGGCATAGCTAAGCCTGGCAGGACAGCTCACTCTATGGAATTAATGCATTGATTAGACTTGGGACACTGGTGGCGCTGTGGGTTAAACCACAGAGCCTAGGGCTTGCTGATCAGAAGGTCGGTGGTTTGAATCCCCACGACGGGGTGAGCTCCTGTTGCTCGGTCCCTGCTCCTGCCAACCTAGCAGTTCGAAAGCACGTCAAAGTGCAAGTAGATAGGTACTGCTCCGGCGGGAAGGTAAACGGCATTTCCGTGCACTGCTCTGATTTCGCCAGAAGCGGCTTAGTCATGCTGGCCACATGACCCGGAAGCTGTACGCTGGCTCCCTCAGCCAATAAAGCGAGATGAGCGCCGCAACCCCAGAGTCGGTCACGACTGGACCTAATGGTCAGGGGTCCCTTTACCTTTACCTTTAGACTTAAGCATGTTAGTTATATGAGGCTGGTTATCCCATACAGACAGCAATAATGCAATAAACTTTGGGGAAGCATTGCAGAAAAGTTGAATGATGTGTTGAATGACCTGGCCAAAACAGCAGCCTGGAGGGGCCCTAAATCAGATTACATATAACCACCCCACTATCATCATGAGCACAAATCATAATGAATGCAAAATAAAAGGGACATCTATTTATTCTGTGAACCGCCCTGAGACCCCTGGGTATAGGGCAGTATATAAATTCAATTAATCATCATCATCATCATCTAGAGGGCCCCTGCAAGCCATAGCAGGAGTATCTTCCCTAGTATGATTTATCCAGGTATTTCTGTAGATTTTCCGTAGTATAAAGGCTTATTATTTTACCTGCTCATCTATTGTTCTCTGACATCCTACTTAAATTTCACTGTTTCTTATTGCTACTTGAAGACCTTCTCATTATATATTACTAAAATATCACAGCAAAAGAATGCCTTTCCCTTCTTCGTATTTATGTACCCTTTGCATATTTGTCCAGTCCTATTCTATCCACTACTTAGCCAAACTATGCAATTAGGTCTTTTTATTCATCCCTCTAAACTCAGCATGTCTGCTCTCTCTGCAGTCGGCCCAATGCTTTTCTTGGGATAAGAAGCTGCGGTTTTGCATGCGGGAAAGAACATACCGGGCAAAGAACTTCTCTTTCTCTCTCTCAAGACTTCTAAAGGTGCCTTCATGCTCTACACAGGCATTGCTCAGTAAGTTATCAGGAATCAGATATACTTTGTAAGAACATCTGTAGGGCGTTGCAGACCCCAGGAAAATCCATGCACAACTCAACGAAGACTCCTGTACTGTAAACAATGAGCTGTCCGATGGCAGAGCAAGAGGAAGGCAGCTCATTCAACTTATTTTTCTCTTCCTTTCTCTCAGTGTGGCTCTCAGGACTCTCACCAGTCTACCCTTCCTCCTCAGCCACACTCCTCTCCCTAGGTCACACCCCACATCAAATCCCCTTTGCACCCTCCTTGGACGTTCTTGCCGGAAGGGTAGCTATCATTAAAAATAGCTCAAAAACTCAGCTGGGCAAGACTAAAAAAAGCTCAACAGCTTTGGCAAAAAAATAATGAAAAAATGGCAACCCTTACAAGCCCCACTCCCAAATGTACAACTTTTCCTGCTCCCTCCCTCACCTGAAGCATATTCTGTTCAGGACTTCTGTCATCTCACTGTTTGGAAGAGATTTGCAAGATCAAACGAAAGTCCCATCCTGTTTTCCCACATGGCCAACCAGATGCCTATGGGAGGCCTAAAAGCAGAATGGGAGCACAAGGCCCTCTCTTGTTCACGACCCCCCAGCAACTGACAATCATACTACTACCTTTTTAAAGGACTTCTTCGGATTACGTAATTAGTTAGTGCCTTGTTTCACTGAGGGTGGTGCCTCTAACTTTGAGATATTGGTTATCATTTTCAATTTGTCTTTTGCTCCTGTCTTTTGCTCTCAGGTGTCCTTTCCCATAATGATAAATGACAAATGCCAATAATAATAATGAACCCAGGGCTTGGCATGTAAGTAGAGGAGGAATTGCTGGGAATCAAGCTGATTTTATGTGCACATTTATCCAGAACTAAATATTAAATACAGCTTTCAGCATGTGGGTTAGCAGCAATAAGTCTTCCTGCTCTGAACAGCTTATATGACATGCAGATGCCTATGGCTGCCAGGCCTACACACACAGCCTGTTGCTCCCAACTACTTTAATGGGATTTAGGTAGCCCAACTGCAGGCAGGATTGCAGCCTCTGAATCTACAGTTCCAGCACGAGCACCAATTTGATTCATTGCAGTTCTGCTTATTTAAATCCTGGCCTGCATTTCTCTATCAAATCCAGTTGGGAGCATCAGGAACTGGGGGCCTCCTTGGCTACTTATGGATTATGAAATTAGTTGAAAGGGGAAAGCAATACAGAAGGTAGTAAAGGCAGGAATGTTTACAAGGCAGGCTTTATTGGCCAGTTGCTGTACGCCTGGCCTCAGTTAGCATTCGTGTGGATTAAAGAGCAGGCCCTTTAAATGTATTTATCATGAGTTAAATCTGATACAATGAGCTTTCGTGCCTTTGAGTTATAATTTTCCCTTCTGTTTTCATGTTTTATGTCGGACTCTGGTTCTTTGTATGCTAAGCCCTGTAACTATTAACGGGCAGTTCTAAGGGGATTCCATTATACTGCTTTTGAAGAATATGGGGTTTGAGCCTGAGGCAATCTGCTGTTGAAACCTTTAAAAGCTTATAGCCTCCTGAAAAGGGAGATGGAGGGGAGAAACCCCAACTACTTCTCTCAAAACCTGCAATCTTTGAAATAGCAACCATCAGGTGTTGGAATGAACAGATGGCAACAGTGAGATAATTCAGTTTTGGATGAACCTGAGGACATACCTCACTTTCAATGAGCACCACTCTAGAATGTAAGTGAAACACAGCTTTCTTGGAATATAGGACTTGGAAATCCAAAGCTGAAGCAAGCTTGTTTTCTTCTTCTCCAAAGCGTAGGATCCGAACATATGGATTTAAGTTACAAGAAATGAGATTCTGACTAAATATCAGGAAGAATTTTCTGAGGGTAAGAGCTGTTCGACAGTTGGACAGACCCTCTTGGAAGATAGTGGACTCCCCTTCATTAGATGTTTTTAAGCAGAGATTGGATGGCCATCTGTCATGGAGGCTTTAGTTGAGATTCCTACACTGAAAGGGGTTGGACTAGGTGTCCCTCAGGGTCCCTATTCTACAGAATCAATTTTATTATTCTGCAGGGAACAACAAAAGGAATAACTTGCACCATTTTGAACATGCCTTCCCCCTGAATTTATGATCTGGCTCCTGTGTTCATCATCTGAGGCTCTTCTCCATGTGATCTCCTCCAAGTGAGGTGTGAAGGGTTGCAAGATGAGAACCTACATTTTCAGTGGTGGCTTCCCGTTTGTGAAATGCTTTCCCCAGGGAGGCGTGTCTGGCAGGATCACTTTCTGTTTTTAGGTGCTGGGCAAAAAATAAAAATTGCCCAGGCTTTTGGCCATTAATTTAAAGGACACTTAAGTATATTTGCAGCCACTTCTTTTGCACATCTATTTATTGGAGTGGGTTGAATTGAATCTGCCCTTTTATACATATTACCTATAAGCATTTTAGCTTGTTTTTTTGCTCATTTTTATACTTGGTTTTAATGTTTGTCTTGTACGTTGCTTCAGGTTACTTTTGTGAAAAAAGTTAAATTATTATTATTGTTCCTGGAAAATGATTCACCTTTCGTTTGTAAAAGGGCCAACTAGAAGCTTTTCCCCAGTGCTTTTGCTTGTTTATGTTTGGGGTGTAGTTAACTCTTAATTTTTCTAAATTACCGCACTACTTCTGACATGTGTATGTCAAGTTACATATCTGGTCACTGTAGCAGCTTTTGTCATTTGTGGGGTGAGAGCAAAAAGTAAATGAAGGATCCAATCTTTCAGCTTAAGTGCCATGTTCCCTGTAGCAAGGTCAATGTTGTCATCTGAGAGCAGCAACTCAAACCAAAGAATTGGTCATAAAACTAGATGTTGGAAGAGCTTGACTTGCTAAGGACACCCCAGAATCACTGGGTCCTGAGAATATTTCTATCAAGCACTCTATCTATGCTTTTGACGTATTAGTCAAACAGTCACAGGAACATTGGAAACTGCCTTATGTTGACTATGTTGACCACCTAGCTGCATTGACTAGCAAAGGCTTTCTAGGGTTTCAGGCAATAGTCTCTCTGGGCCCTACCTGAATATGATGGAGACTGAACCTGCTTGGAACGTGTGTGCTCTACCACTCACCTTTGATAAATTTGCTCTGCCCTTCAAAGGGCTTGTCAACAATGCTTCAGCTGGGTCCAACCTCATAAAGATTCGTAAAACATAGCTACCACTACCATGGGTTTCATCCACTGGAAATCTTGCAATTATGTGCATATAAATACACATATAGACTTGCAACTCTACACAAGTAGAAATGTCATTGAATAACAATACACAATCACTTAACAGAGTAGTTATCATACCTCAGTAAATTGGTGCAATCTTGCCTGTTCTTTGACTGTGTGTTATTTCTGATTAGTTTACTGTGATGCATAAAACGAGTTATACCATATCTGGCTAGCTTGGATGACTGGGTTTTGTCTTGGGTCTGCTGCATCTGATCAGGATGACATTATCATGGCAACCTTTAGGATGTCACCACATGGCATCATCACTTTGAACGCACAATAGTTCAATGGTATCCACCCACAGCTGTTGTTGATGCATTTTGCTCTGAGATCGGCACTAACCTTCCTGTTTTCTTCGACAGCTTTTCCAAGATTTTTGCAAGCAGTATTTTAGAAGCCTTGGATTACGCAGAACCAATCTGTCTGAGGAACAGTCACATCTACTGCTTTGTATTTTTTACCGAAGCTTCTGGCTTCTGCCAGGTGAAATTGCTGATCTTCCAACAGCTTACAAGAAGAAGGTAAGGTTTATTTTACTGGAAGTCTATTTAATTGAAACTGGAATAATCTGGTAATGTTTCCTTCTTAATTATTTGTTGTTACACCACAGAATGCAGAGAAATAAGTGTTCATTTCCCCCCCATCTCTATTTCCAATTGTCTATAGTCAGGATGTGCTAATAACCACTTTCCCCCATACTTTACCCTAACAATAATTATCACTGTAATAATTATGATGAGGAACACACACACACACACACACCAACTTTCAACAATTATTTTTTTAAAAAACATTCACAATATTTAAAAAAGGAACATAAAAGACTACCTTACACTAGGTCAGATGATTTGTCCATCTGATTGTCTATTCAACTCTAATGACCAATCTTTTCTCATTTTAACCCTAAAGTGGATTAATTCCTTTTTTATTGTTATTGCTGGGCACTTTTCTAAAGACTTTCTTCAGGACTACAATTCTAGAACTATTTCCATTACTAAGAACTTTCACATTCTCAGATGCAAACCTGCCTGACTGTCTTGAAGACAATCAAGTACCTTCAGAACTACCTTTTCATTTATTTATTTTACTATTTATTAAATTTTCCACCCTTCACCTGAGGATCACAGAGTGGTTTACAATATACAAACACAAAAATGCCCACCGTAGTAACAAACAAACAAAAATAATTCCCACAAACCTACCTGTCCAATAATCTGAGAGACGGTATGGTGGAGTTGCTATAGTGGCAGACTAGGACCCAGAGTCCTGGGTTCAGATCCATACTCACTCATGAAGCTCACTGGGTGATCTTGGGTGAGTCTTTTAGAGCCTAACCTACCTTATGGGCCAGCATTCAACTACCTTGTCCCACCAGCACAAGTATTATTTTGCACAATGGAACTTCCCCCTCTCCCCATGCATGCCCGGTGGCCTCGCCAAACCTGTTCCAGAGGATTAGGGGGAGGGAGCCCCTAGAACAGATTTAGGGGGTGCAGAGGGGGAGGAGAGGGGGGAAATGTTCCATTGCACAAGCAGAAATCCTTGTGTTGACAGAATGTTCATTAGCACTACATTGGATTCTGCACAGGGTTGTTGTGAGGATAAGCAGGCGTGGTGGAGGTGATGGGAGAAACATGTTCACTTCCCTAAGCTACTTAGAGGAAGAGTAGGAAATTGAATGGAGATAGCTGGCTTCCTTAAAGCCACAATTTAGTCTTATTGTTTATGAGAGATGAGAAGAATCCAATGCATTCATAACAAATGAAAACACACTTATATATCAGACAGCAATGATTTATTGTTAAAACACTCAATAAAAGCCTTCGAGTTCCTTGTAAACAGCTGGGCCTTGTCCTTTTTCTTTTACTCTTAACCATGGGTAGGCAAACTAAGGCCCGGGGACCGGATCCAGTCCAATTGCCTTCTAAATCTGGCCCACGGACGGTCCGGGAATCAGTGTGTTTTTACATGAGTAGAATGTGTCCTTTTATTTAAAATGCATCTCTGGGTTATTTGTGGGGCATAGGAATTCGTTCATTTTTTCCCCTTCAAAATATAGTCCGGCCCCCCACTTTAGATTAAGTTTATGACTAGTTCACACTGACACATGGATCAGAACCATCTGGGGTCAATAAGACTTTCTGAATGGCTTTGCATTATGTTTCAGACTCAAAGGCTGCTTTGTCATATTTCCTTAATCCTTATTTGCACTTACTGGCCCTTTAGCTGTTGTACCATGATATCACCCGCTAATCAAGTGCTATTTCCTCCCGCCGCAGGAATCCAGTTAGCTCTGGAAACAATGCCAAATCGCTGCTCTGGAACCTTGATTGTTTCCCTTCAGTTTCAGGTGAGTCAATTGCTCTGGGACTGATTTTAAACTTCTATGGATTAAGTAAGCATATAGCTCATTTGTATATTAGCAATGCAATCTGATCCATGTTTTTGCATGCTTCCAAAAGCAAACTGTGCATTCATATAAATGGCCAGCATGCTGGTGCACATTGCTTAGCAGTTTCTGGGGTGCTCCTCCCCTGCTGCTGTGCCGTGGACAAAACAAAATGTCTTGTCATGTTGTTGAAATCCAGACTCATGGTTTATTTCTTCCAAACTGAGTGGTAGCCAAAGTTGGTTCTTGGTTTACCACTTGTGGTTTGTTTGGAGAAACAAGTCACAAGCCTGGGTTCAGACAGCCCAACAAACCAGACTTGAGCTTCTTTCATCTATAGCATGATGGTAGCAAGCGCAGGAATGCCACTGGAACTTTTGAGCAGGGTTCTACACGAGTATAGTTGGCTTTAAATTATTGTTTGATGTGATGTTTGAACTGTGAATTGTGTTTGAGGCCACAGAGTGGAAACAAGTTGTGATAGAACACTCTAAATGACTTCCATGAATATGGGACTTGGAACTGCCCAGTTCAGATGTTTGTCAGTCCTGGTTCTGGCAGGTTAAAGAGATATGTGAAGTTATAAAACTCCACCACTTTTAAAGCTGCTGGTTTTTATTGTGCCATTCTTGCCTTTATTTATTTTGAAAACAGTGCTTGTGGAGAAAGAAGCATTCCCTTTGGCAAACCCTACTCTCTTTGGGAGATGGTAGTGTTTGTGCCAAAACTATTTTCTAAGCTCTACCTGAAAGCAAATGAAAACTAGTCCAGATCTTTATGTCCTTCCCAGAACTTTGATGTAGAAAAATAACATTTGGAAAGAGAATGAATTGTATTCTTCGTTGTGTAACCAGCATAGCTCTTTCAGTTGAGCTTATCTGGTTTATATTAATGAAAAGCTGAACTTGTTCCATTTAAATGGAATATTTTAAGTAAATATTTTTCCCTTTGCAAAAGAGCCCTGAGAGCTAAAGTTTCTGCCTCTGTCTTTAAAATTAAGAAGTAGTTAAAAAGAGTGAGAGAGAATCTCTAAAACTTTGGGGGTTGTGTATGTGGGGGTCTGTTCTTCATTAGAAAATAATTTCAATTAAGCTGCCATCCTAAAACAGATTTATCAAGGAGTAATCCCTGTTAAACTTACTTCTGAGTAAACATGCATAAGATTGCACTGCACGGCCCCTAAAAATAATAGAGAGTGTTTAATGCACTCTGTGTGAAATCTGACCAGAGCCAAGAAGACCAAATACATAACGGTATCTATTGTGCATAATGTAACACCTTGACATCTGACATCTGTAAAGTATTCTGCTCAAAGACTCAAGCCCTCACTAATGTAAATGCTAAAATTTCAATTCGACATTCAAGGACCCCGTGCTTATTTACATCATCAAAGATTTATGATTAACACTCTTCAAAACTGTGATAGCTCAACAGAATATAATAAGACATTTATTATTTCAGACTCCTGGCTTTTAATTTTGATTTGGCAACCATATTCGGGGCTAATAAGCTTTAACGATGCTTTCAAAGTGAGCTGGTCGTCTGTGGGTCCCTGTTACAGTTTTGGGGGCTTCAAAAGGTTGAGTCCAGATCCAGAAGTGGAGCTGGATTGACAGTTTGTCATTTCTTATAACACAGATGCTTCCCACTTACCTGTTCTGTGAGCAGGCTGTCTCTCATCTAGGATCCAGGGTCTCACTGCGTATGTGCGCTTCTATTAAGCTATGGACAGAGTTCCTGATTAGGCACAGTCTGACAGGCCAAAGAAATGTCATGGCTCAAGGACCTAGGACAAATCTGGCAGGGGCAAATGGATCTGACACCACACATTTGCAGCTATATTTTGTAGGCTTTCTATGCTGCTAGCGCAGAACTGGCTAGAATCACTTCCCCAGACTTAAGTCTCTCTTTTGAATGTAATGCAGTGAGAAGTGCTGGGAAAAGCTTTGAAAAGTTGTACCTTTCCCCACTTCTTTTTTGTTCTCTCCCTCCTCTGGGCAGGGATAGTGTGAAGTTACTCATGGACAGCAGGGGGGGAAGAATCAAATCTGAACTGAGCTTCCTGCAAAGCTCTAAAAAGGGGAGAGCTCTGTGCCTTGAGAGTCCTTCCTAGATCATATGGGGGGAAAATATTCTTCATGTGAGTAAAATGCCTCACAATCGTCCCAGGAACCCGACTCCAGTTCCAGAGGTGACGTGGGATTCTGGACTGAAGGAAATGAATGAGACCTGGAAAGGAGCAATTGCCTGCCTTGGGGTAGCTGTGTTCTTTGTGATGACTATTGGGATTATCTACTGGCAAGTGGTGGATCAGCCAAACAAAAATTGGATCCTGAAAGGGAATGCCAGTGGTCTTATTTGGGAAAGAAAAGCTCATTCCCTCATCCTGCAGACTCTGAGTGAGGACAAAACTTTCCTGGAGATTCACATGGGAAGACTCTCAGATGTGGAGGTACCTTTAATGAAGAATCTGTGTTGGATAAACAAGACGGAATTCTGTTACACCTGGGAAGCCACCGCACATTTGAATATCTCCTTGGAGTCCAGCCTTTCTTCCAACATGGAGTGCTACAGCATCGGTTGGACGCCTCTGCACTGCCAGGTTAAGATCAAGGTAATTAACTACAGCCTCAGTTTATTTCACTAAATATTATGCTCATGTCGCATTCCCAACAAACTTTACAGAGTGTGAACATCAACACTGATAAAGATGCCAGTAATATCCATGCTAATCAAAACAAGCATTGACATCTTAAACTTGGTCCTTGCAGTAAATGTAGATTTGCATTTTTTGTTGTTGCCTATTTATGAAAATCCTGGTTTTTTAAGGTAAAAGTTCAACCCCCTAAAAGAATCTCCAGGATCCCTTGGCAAATACCAAGATATCTGCAGACAAAGATAAAATTGCAAGAATACAAAGGTAAATCAGCCAGCTAAATCCAAAATCAGTTCTAGCTCTGCACCATTGTAGTGTTGTGTATAACCAGAGAGTGGAAGAACCACCTTTCTAAAAATGAACCAAGTAATACCTAAAATCATATCGGTCTCTGAAAATTGCAAGCTAAGAAAGTTCCCTTGCCACCATAGTCATGACATAACTTATTATTATTATTTATCATGGAATGACAGCAGGAGTCTTCAAAACAGCTTTTTTTCTGTGCTCCAAAAAAGGAGGGGGGGTGCTTTATAATTCTTGGGAAAGTAACAAATCTATCTGCGCCGGCATTGAAATCTAAGAACTGTGTTTCTCTCTGGATATACTGAAAGCTGGATAGGAGTGTTTTGGCATCTCCTGCATGTATGAACTTCTTACAACAATATAGGATTTGGGCAGCAGTCCCAGGCATATGAAACATCCCACTAAAATGCGTAGGATTTTCCTCCAAGTAAATATGTTTATGAGTCAGCATTAAACACATATTTTATGGACAGGATTTTGCAGCAATATCTAGAAATTTATTTATTCTTGCACTTGGCTTTTCAGCCTCAACCATTTCAGGATCTGAGACACGTTGAAAAATATTTATGTGGACCTATTGACATATAAGAAATTAGAACAATTCAAAAGAATGTGATCCTAAGCTGACATACTTGGTTGGAAGTAGGGGTATTTTCTTGAGCGATGTAAATAACTCTCTTGAATCAGGAATGCACCACTCATTGGCAATGCTAATGCAGGAATGCTTTTAAATAATATTTTTTTAAAAAAATAAAGATACATTTAAAATACAAATAACAGAATGTACATTCCAGCCAAATGAGGTTTTATTTTGGAATTAAAGACATAGGAAATGCAAACCAACTATCTTGAATGAACAGTTTTTTAAATCAGTGGGTGATCTGCTTGCTTTGACTATCTGACCTATTTTTGCTCTCAGTGCACAGCATATGCCTTGTTTGTTTTAGTTTACTGGTATGCTAGCAGTACCTGAAAGAAATTCAAAATCTGTGCAGTCATGTTTTCTATGTAAAATACAATTTTTAGTTCAGGATCTTGGGGAGGAAGAGGCCAGTTAGCATAAACAGCTCTAATTAAACCACTCAGTTTTAAGCATGAGGCTCACACTGGGTCAAATTCTTTGACCTCAATTAGGCATTCTGGTTCATGCTAGAATTTCTGCAGACTTTCAAAAGGTTTAGCAATCATAGGAGTACCCTAATCAAAGTCTCAAAAATGAAGCCAAACCTTTTTCAGAGATTCATAGATTGAATTGAAAGGACCTTGCCATAGCTTTGTGTTATCATGGTCCCATATAGACTAAGCATATGGAACCAAAGACTTCTCAGTTGTACAATGATACAGAGAAACTCTTGCACTGATTGCATTAGGGGGCTGAGAATGCCCAGGAAGCAACATTCAGATGCATATCAAAGACTAAGGAAGAAAAAGCCAGAGTGTCAAACTGGAAACATGCAATTGTTTTTTAGGAGAGTTCTAAGTGATACAATAAAGGCAACTTGCTTTTGGTCTACACAACAGGCAGGTTTCTTTTATCCTGCTGTCATCATGATCAAACAGACTTTTTGGAACATTCTCCACATCTGCCAAACCTGCTTATCGGAAGCAGTTGTAGCACAAGTGTGCATGGTATAATCAGTTACGCTCCTTTTCCTCTACTCATGGAAGGCAAGGGGGAACTGACATCCAGTTTTGGTTATAAAATGGGAAAGCCAAGCCAGAATTAGCTTTATTAAATATATTTCAAGACAAAAAAATGGATTTACATAATAAAGAATTAACGAACCACTTATTACAAGTGTCAAGACGCAACAAAACCAGACACTGGAGAGGCATTTCTGGCACAATGATAGACAATTGGTACAGAACAGTTTGAGAAATATGACTAGAAATCTTCCCCTCATTAGTGGCTGATCAACCGTAACTGTGTAAAGGAGACAACATAAATGTTAACCCTGATGCCTTCAAAAACTCCAAATCCCTTTTGAAATGTGTCTGGGCTTTCATCTAAGAGGCCTTGTGCTATTAGCCAGTGATTATGCAATCACATGGGAAGTTAAACTTGATTATCTCATTTGTTCAGTGGAAGTAAATGCTTTTAAAAGGGTCTGTGGCAAACTGAATATTTGAGTAAAAATAACCCCACAGCTGGGTGAATAAGGTTGGAGCAAGGACAGGTCATATGGGCACAAACATGTACCCTTGCATATTTTATAGATTTAACCAAGGCTATTGTTCAAAATTATACATTAGTTTTTCTGTAATATTTTGCTTTCTAGGACTGCTTTTCCATGGTAAATATTTCCTGGTATGGAGGAGCAAGTGTCACCAGCCAGCATTGGCCTCTGAACAACGTGAGCATCAAGTCCCAGCCATTCATTATCAGCAACCTTGCCAAAACCCCAGCTGCTTATGGCTCTGTCTTAGAAAGATATTTTTTGGGATCAACTGGTAAGAGTTGCCTTCCTCGCTTGATTTCCCAACATTGTTGACTGTAAATAGCTTTTCTATGGCTTTAGTCTTTTCTTTTCTTTTTAATACAGTCCAACTGAGTGAAAAATTAAGAAGGTTACTAGGGTTGTATCTTCTCCAAGAAAGGTGGCTAACTACATCAAGTACCTGCCTCACTGATACAGTGAGCAGAGAGTGATGTATCATACCTTAATAGTTGGATGGCCATGGACTCTACTTTACAGAGGACAGTCCTCTGTTTGAATGGCTGTCTGGTCCAAATCCAGTTTTAAAGAACCATAAGAAGGAAGAGTGAGCAGGAGTCTTCAAGCTGTCCACCAACACAGGTCACCTGGCCACATTCTTTCTCATTACAGTGAGATTATACATATATAAAGTAGCATATGCAAGTTTTATGCAATCCCATGCCCTCTTTTTTGTTGACGCAGTTCCTCTTTTTTGCAGTGTGTACACGACCACCTTACTAGTGCATTGTGCAGCAATGGTTTCGAATATTAGCTTTTGATGTGGGAATTCCTCTTACTTTCTTTTCTTTCTGAGGAACAGCTCAAATTTGCCTTCCTTAAAAAACAAAAACAAAAACTAACCTAACAAAAAAGAAAAGCGAAGATGTATGAGGAAGGATATGCCCTCCCCGCATTCCATTCCCTTTCTACCAGTGCATTAAATCCTAGTACATTAGCCCCAGGCACATAAAATTTGAACTGGTTTGTATTCTAATTTGTCTAAAATGTCTACACTGGCCAGGCAAAATTGCTAGTCAATTTCCCTTCTGCACCATAGCTCACAGTAACTTTTTGACGTGTGACATTAATAGCATGGCAGAATTTCAGAAGACATGTTGTTGCCACTAGTGTACAGAGCAGGAATTGCTAACATGGTGCCCTCCAGATGTTGTTGGATTCCAGCTCCCAACAGCCCTAGCTAGCATGACCAAAGGTCAGAAATGTTGCTAGTTAATACTCCAGCAATATCTGGAGGACACCACAGTGTTTACCTTTGGTATAGAGTCTGGGAGCTTCTGTGTCTCTTTGCCATGTTGCATTTTAGAAGGACAAGGAATGACTCTTCCTAAAGGAGGATAGACCACATCTCTAGGCTTAGTATCACCCTATGAGGAGGATTCTCTATCAGGATCAACAACTTTGGAAGGCCTGGCTGTGTTCAGTTTGGAGATGCTTCACAAGTCCATGATTAAAAGAAGAAAAAAATCTAATTACATTGATGGTATTCAATCAGTTACGAGTTTTTGATACCTAATTATAGTTATTAGACATACTATGCAATAAGTAAACAACAGAATGTTTACGATCTCAGCCATGAGCAATATAACTCGCAGTCTCTACAAGGCTTATGTGCATTTGACAACAACAAAAAGCAGAGCCACATGGAGTCCCTGTTTTATTCCCTAAATAAGCAAATTTGCTAGAATGTCAACAGCTAGTGTCAATTTTCTAGGACAATTAGGATGGCACAGAGAAATGTGCACCCTTGGATGCAGGCAGAGAAGTATATGTAGGCTTATGCCCTTTTGTCATCATCTGCACAGAAATGGAAGTGAGTGAGTTCTGATTTCTCACACTGGATTAAAAAATGAAACTGGAATTTCATCAAATGCATGACAAAGTAAAGCACAGTCCTAACTGTCTGATTTTTTTTTTATACGTTTGTGTGTTTGTTATCTCTAAAGGAGTGACAGTGATGATTGCCTCAGACATACCCATCTTCCTCTCAGTAGAGAGGAACAAACACTTTTGCCTTGAGAGTACCCTTGGCGTCAACATGGCATCCCTGCAGTACACAGTGTGTGTCAGTCAAAACATCACGTCTGCCCATCAGGAAGTGGGAAGCCAGCTTTCAGGACATCAGCGGAAGCTGCCAGATACTGACATACTAAGGTAAGAAAGATATCAGAAAAGTGTGGTCTAACATTAAGCACCCAACCAGCTATAGGATGGCAAGATCTTAAGGGTATGGGTACATGCAAAGGTATATAACAGAAATCCAAAAAGGCAGACTGTAAAATAGTAGTAGTAGTTGGTTTTCTTATTCCTTTTATATATATAAAACCCACTTTTAGGTCCAGTGTAATATAGTTCTGGCAGCTGCTCCCAGTCACCAGTCTAGCAGCCACATTCTGAAGTAATTGCAGTTTCTGAATCACCTTCAAAGGTAGCTGCACATAGAGTATGTTGCAGTAGGGCCAGTCCTGATTAATATTATTCTATGAACCTGAGAAGGGATTTGGGTAGCGCTGTGGTCTAAACCACTGAGCCTAGGGCTTGCTGATCGGAAGGTCGATGGTTCGAATCCCTACGACAGGGTGAGCTCCCGTTGCTCGGCCCCAGCTCCTGCCCACCTAGCAGTTCAAAAGCAGGTCCAAGTGCAAGTAGATAAATAGGTACCGCTCCGGCGGGAAGGTAAACAGTGTTTCCGTGTGCTGCTCTGGTTCGCCAGAAGCGGCTTATGCTGGCCACATGACCTGGAAAAACTGTCCGTGGAGAAACGCCAGCTCCCTCGGCCAGTAAAGCGAGATGAGCGCCGCAACCCCAGAGTCATTCGTGACTGGACTTAACTGTCAGAGGTCCTTTACCTTTACCTTATGAACCTGAGAAATGGAATCAAGTGGGGAAATTGCATATCCTATTAGACAGGAACATAAGTTTTCTGCCGACATGAGTCCCCTCCCTTTTTAAACATCTGCAGGCATATACTAGATATGCTGGTTTAACCCAGCTATTTTAGTTTTGTGACTTCCTTCTCATCTTGAAAAACCTGTGGGCTAGATAATAAATAAGCGTTAAGCTCAAGCAAGGCTTCTTTCTTTAACTACACCAATACAGGTTGCCTGTCTGGAGCTATTACAGAGCAGCAGATTCTGCTGCCAAGGTGGAGCGAGGATTAAGATATTTCTTTAACAGACTGCAAAGGCATCACCTCGGGGAGGGGCTAATCGCTCTCAGTGAACTTTCCACAGTGCTACTTGGTAATACGGTATGTGCATCTTTGGAGGGCACGGGCAAGCTGCAGAGCTAGAGGGCAGCATTTTCACCCACCCTGTTAATTCCTCAAATATATATCTTCCCCAGCATTCTGCATTAAATTGTTATAGCTAAAGTATCACTTTTCAAAACCTTAGCCAGCAAACTCCCATTTTCCATGTACAGGAGTGTTTTCACAGACTTTGACGACAGCTGGATTTGGTGTTTGATATCACCAGACAAATAAAATACAGAGTCCAGTTTTTCAACAGGGGTTCTGCACACCTACTTGGCACACAGTTGTACACACACATACACGTGCACCAGTAGTCCAATATGTCTTAAGCATAGGAGGCAATTTTATAGATGCAAACCCACAAATACAGGTGGGTTTTGTGGGTGCACATTTCAACTGGGATCTGGGCCATTGTGTGTGTCTGTGTATCTTGATATGATTATAATAAAACCTCAAAGTGTTTTTTAAAAAAATAGAAAAAAATTATTATACTTGTCTTAATTCTCACAAAACTTTATTGTTTATCATCCATATCCCTCTGTTAGATTGAACCCCAATGAAATTGGGAATTGCGGGTAGATGAGCAAATCAGCCTATTTCTGATCCATGTCAATTTCACATACATTTATTCACATAAATTAATATTTAAATACTGTATGTACTTAGGTACATGTTTTACCACAAAATATGTATTTGAATACATGTTTTATCTAAACATTTCTCCCTAAAACATCATTTTTATTCATTTATTAAACTGATAACTATATTGCAAAATTCAGGGAAGTGCAAAATCTGAAGGGCATCTATGTTCTGATTGGTATTTTAGCTTGGTAAGTGTGTATTAGGTCAGTTCACTTGCAGACCAAATAATATTTTTGTCCATCCCTAGTTGGGACTGATTCCTTAATAGATTCCCATTAACACCATATAAATGTTACTGGACTATCTCCTATTTGAATCTATCTCCTGTTTAATCTGACTGTTTAGATAACAACTGGTGAATTTAACTTATTAAGGCTTAAGCTAGTGGGGCTGCTATTGGCATTCCATCTAGGCGCTAACTGGTCCATAAACCCTTATCTTCTACATTCCAGACCATTCACTGGAATACTGCAGCATTGTTCAAGCCAAGGCTATGTGAATCTTGTGAGTGGAAGCTCCATCTAAGCCACTTTGACTTTAATTACTGCTTTAAGAGCCTTTATAGCTGTTACCAGCAGCAGGACTGAAGAGCTTTTTCAAATTATGCCAAACCCTGTGTGGTGTGGTGCCTTTTTAAACACACACACACACACACACACACACACACACTACTTCCTGCACTTCTGTTTTTTTGTACTGAAGTATTAAACAGAAGTAGGGTAAGATTTCTTGGAGATGTCATCTGGAGACCATGTTAAATAAACAGCAGAGTGTGTTTTACTGTTTAGTCTTACCTTCCAAACATTATAGTCCCTGGTCCTATGACAAAATCCTTGTCTAATGGTGCACACTATTCTCCCTTCTTTCAGGAACACACGTTTTTACCTGTGCTGAGACGAAAAGGGTTGCATAGTCCAAGGCTTGCCATGGACTCCTCACTTACAAAACATCTAAAGCTTTCCATAACTGTGTCCCCTTTTGCAAGCATCAACTCCCAGCTTTTTCAAATGTCTCTACAAGAAGGCAAAGAAGACTTTTGGCTGAGCCGCCACTCTGAATCTGGTGACTATTCGGTACAAGTCCCTAATATCACCTCTTGCACTTGACCAATTACCTCTAGAGGTTCCTAGCCTGGAAGGAACCAGTAGGTATAAGGCTTTCTCGGCTTGCTCAACATACATTAGCAGACGTTAATGAGCCAAAGCACATGTTATGTCGGAGATGTGTGATTGGATCCCCCCAGTTGGTAGTACGTGAGACGCTTAATTGCAAGGTTGTGGATCCGAGCTCTACAATGGGCAAAAGATTCCTGCATTGCAGGGGTCTGGACTAGGTGACCCTCATGGTACCTTCCTATTCTATAACTCTATACCAGGGTTGAGGAGCTGTTTCCAGCCTGTGGATTGGATGTCTAGGTCCCTCACCCTGCCCCCTGCTGGCCATTCTGACAAGTAGATGGGACTGCCCACTTGTCATTCAGCTGGCATCACAGTGATGTCAGGTGACGTGCTTTATTTTGCCTGGGCAGTTTGAAATCACACTAATGGACCAAGACACAGGAGTCTGCAGGAGCTGAAAATAAGTTGAGTGTTTGCACTTGCAAAGCCCTGTGCCTTTGCAAGCACTGCCAATTAGCATTTTTCTTCTCCTGGTAGCAGCTACCACGACCCCTGTTTGGATGGAGCCCTGACATGGTAGGAAGGGGGTCTTACCCTCCTTCCTTGTACCAAAGCCTTGATGCAAATCACCTTCCCTGAGCTGCAGAGGCAAAAATATGCAATACAGTCATAGAAAGGAAGCTATATAGAGGGGAAACCTTTATCTCCATGCCGTAACCTCAGTCTAAACTGGGTGTGTGAGTGTTGGGTCGCTTACAGCGACTTTTAGGAAAGTAAAATCATGGCAGGATACCTAATCATTGATTTCCCACATCATGTCTAGTAAGGCCCTTGTAATCAATAATCAAGCTGTACCTAAATAATGATTCTTGGGCCTATAACCAATTTCAGGAAATTATAGCTATACTGTATCTTCAATGGTGTCTGCAAAAGAAATATATTTCAGGCCATGATTTATTAAGCAATGTAATGTAGCAGGCTATCATTTTTAAAAAAAATAAAAATAAATCTATTGCCTAAGAAAATTGTCTCAGTGCCCATGATACACATAAATACAGAGTAATACCTTTGTTTTGAAAATGCACATTAGCTATAAAATATTCTATGCTGTGTTCATATGATTCTGCTCAGAATTTGAGGCAAGGAGTACTGCCATTCAGAGAGCATAACCTTGAAACCAAGTGCTCACAAATGGTCCCTGCACTCCCCTTAATCTGGCGCTGCCAGCTATTAGTTTAGGCAGGGACCATCCAATATGGTAGCTTCTAGATATTGCTATCATGTATCTAGTAACTGCTATCATGCCTGACCATTGGCTGTGCTGTCTGAGGCCGATGGGAGTTGGAGCCCATAACCTTCTGGGGGGGCCCACATTGGTTACCTGCACATGAGGTGAACCAGGAAGTCAGCCTAGCCCTTTATGCTTCTGCTGTTCTCTTCTGATGGCTGTTTCCTATTGCAGGTGCCGCTGCTCACCAGATGGAAAGGGCAGTTTTCTGCTCAGCTAAATGTGACCAGCGGGGCTGCAGTGCTCTGGTACATGGACCAAGTGAGCCTCTTGAGGCAGCGACTGGGAGCAGAGTATTTGGTTTTCGAAAGTGGCGAAGGCAATTGGTTTATGGAGCAAGCAATCCCACCTCCCACAGAACTTGGAGGGGATAAGTACATTCACATTTTAGCCTCAATGGCAGCTGCATTGGGAAACACGTCAATAATTAGCGCCGGCACAAGGTTTGTCTCAGGATAACTCTCCAAACTGTCTGTTTCTGAGGGCATCCTATCAGTGTGCACCATCTCCTGCCCCTTCTTTTTATTTCGTTAAAAGTTTATTTTAGGGGAAATCTCACATCCCCCTTCCACCCCTTTCTCTGTCCTTGTCATGTGCTGCTGGTGCTGCTGTAATCTGAAGGAGAGTCGTGGAGGGATAGTGTGTGCTAATGAACAGAGGCATGGATGTGCATTCAGTATGGGCTCTTCCTTTCCAGAAAAGTGGCTTCAGCTTGCATGAACTGGGTTGCCATATGTCCTCTTTTTCCAGGGCACGTCTTGTTTTTCATGGGTGTGTAAAATGAGAGTCGCTGTGGTCTAAACCACTGAGCCTCTTGGGCTTGTCGATCAGAAGTTCAGTGGTTCGAATCCGCGCAACAGGGTGAGCTCCCTTCACTCTGTCCCACCTCCTGCCAACCTAGCTGTTGGAAAGCATGCCAGTGCAAATAGACAATTAGGTACTGCTGTGGTGTGAAGGTAAATGGCATTTACTGTCCTGTTGCGCCAGAAGTGGTTTAGTCATGCTGGCCACATGGCCCAAAAAGCTGTCTGTGGACAAATGCCAGCTCTCTCAGCCTGAAAGTGAGAGGTGAGTGCCGCAACCCCATAGTCACCTTTGACTGGACTTAACCATCCAAGGATCCTTTACCTTTTTTTTTACCTGTAGTTAAAAGTAGAAGTTGACAGAAATGTCCTCTTTTTTGCTCTTCAAAATATGGCAACCCTAGCATGAAGCCAAGCCACCAGCTGCTATGTGACAATGCATCCTTAGAACGGTCTATGACTTTGATGCAATGCTGCACCTGTGCCTTAAGTTGGCCTCCCTCAACCTGGTGCTCTCCAGGTGTTGTTGAACAACAGCTCCCAGCGGCTCCAACCATCATGGCTATGTCAGGGGTTATGGGAGTTGTGATTCAACAACATCTAGAGGGCGTCAAGTCTGGGGAAGGCTGAATGATTACTGTGCCTTTCAGTATTTCCAGTTTGACTCCTGGTCTGTTTCTGCTGCTTCTAGAGCCAGCCACCTGCCGCTCTTTCTCCAAATGAACCCCCGCCAGTCCGACTGGAGCTACGCTGGTTTGAAAGGGATTATTCCATCGGTGCTTCATTACAGTCTTCTTGGTTATAACTTTTTTATTCCGGATGCAATAGGTAACGTTATTTTAAGGTCAACTTCTCCTACTTCTTCTTAGAATCTGTTTTCTAGAAGGGCTGAAGATGCCCCTGAGAGAAAAGGCCAGATCTCATGGGCAGAGCCCATATGCTGTGTGTTAAGAGGCCCCAGATTCAATCCCTGGCATTTCTGGGAAGGGCTGCAAAAGACCCATGTCTGAAACACTGGAGAGAAGTTGCTGGTCAGTGCAGAGTCTTGATCAGCTGCCATCCAGATGTCAGGCTGCAACTCCCATCAGCCCCAAACAGCAAGGCCAGTGGTCAGGGCTGATGAGAGTTGGAGTCTAACAACAGCTGGAAGACACTATGTTGGCTACTGCCTCTCTAAATAATACTGGGCTGGATGGACCATTAGGCAGCTTTCTATGCTTCTGCAGGGGAGATGAATGCATATAATCTGCACGCCTAATCAACTATGTTCATGAAGGCTACACCAAGCAGAACTTGAGGGACATCAGTGCCTGAAGTTCTGTTTGGTGCACCATTAGATTTAATTGATTTTCTGTTGACAAGAATTGGCCAGCACATTTCTTAAGCATTAAAAAAATTAAGCAGGAATTGCATATACATTCAGTTCTGCCGAAACTAGAGGGTGGTGTTGTTTTTTAAAAGTGTTTAGAAATAGAAGTAATGGCACCCCAGCTTCATTCATCTGGTTAGCAAAATCCCAGGGGCTTTTGGACTGCAACTGATTTGTAGCATGGATCGCATCGACCCCATAGCTCAGCGATTGAGCGCATGCTTGGCATGCAAAAGGTCCCTGATTCAGTCCTGCACACAGCCAAACACCCTTAAAACCTTTTAAAGTTCTCGTTTATGTTGATGTTGATGTACTGAACTACATGCAGCAGGTTTAAATTTCTTCATTTCAGACTGCAATGTAAAGATCTGGATTCAGCATTCAGAGTTATGCATACCTGGGGGGAAACTGTAATGAGAACAAAGTTTCAAAAGCTGTCCATTTGTAAAAAATCAGGGGATGCAACTGACAAATGAGAAGGCAGCATGGACAACCAATCTTTCTCTTCCCCTCTTCCACCTGTACCCTTCAGAAAGTTGATGAGACCTAGCAAGCATTGAGGGCTGTGCCATAAGGGACTGCAGTGAGAGGCGAATTCCCTGAAATCAGGTGGAGGAATTTTGCACCATTTGTACAGGGCTCCCGTTTGGGGGCAATTCTCCCTTCACACTGCAGTCCTGTACGGCCCAGACACAGTGGCTTTGGGGGGAGGTACAGTATACTGAAGAAGCCAGAAGTGAAAACATGTGCTTTAAAACTTTAATATCTCTGTGTTATTGGTTACTGTAATAAATGTATGATATTAGGCTTATATTTTAGCAAGCAGAAGGACTTCCATTACACAGTTGGACTTCCCCCCACCCCATGTGGCTCCTAAATCTGTTCTGGGGGTTCCCCCAACCCTCTGGAGCAGGTTTTGGGATAGCATGGGACAGGTCCTGTTGCACAAGTGGAAGTAATTGAACTCCCACATTTTTTAGTTGAATATCACCCTTCTGGTATTGCATCTAACTGCATTCCTCTGGGAGCCAGCACTTTCTGAAGTGCTGTGTGATGCCTTAAAAATCCTATCTGTTGCTTTGTGTGCGCGCGCACACACACACACACACACACACACGTACATAACAATATCTATGTCTCTTAGAAGAGGAGGTAAAATTTTGTGGCAAGAGATATAAAAATATTAATAGTTTTTTTTAACAATAGACTTGAACCAATGGAACCCTGTAGTAAATTCCAATTTTCGTGCTGAAAAGAGGGACCTCATTGCACTCCTTGTTCTCACAGTGAGCTGTCACTTTTGATAAAATGTGAGGCTGTTTCAGAACGAAATATTCTGTTTTGGAAAGCAATTCCCTTTTCTGAAGGAATTGGGCTCCTTAAGCCTGAGGCAATATTTTTAATAAGAATCCTCTCTTGACCCTCACCCTTTCGCCCACTAGCCAGCACCTAGTATTTCACCAGGAAATCTGCCTGCTCCCCTTCGCAGCATGCTTTCCTTATTTCAGTTTTCTGCTCTGTTGTCAGGGAACTGACATCGGAGCTAGAGGCGGAGGAAAGGCTCTCAAATGATGCTGGAGAAGGGCCCAGCAGGGAGAGAGGCAGCTCAGCAAATGGGGAAGCAAATCAGCGCAACACCAGGGATAAAGGGGGGCAGATGGGGGAATCGGCGAGAGGGCTCCAGGACTCTTCACCGGACACCAGCGGGGAGAGCACGGGTCCTCCGCTACCCACGCCTTCCCTGCGCAGAAGACTTCCGCGCAGGGAGAGTAGGAGGAGACTTGGCGTCAAACAACTTTTATGTTGGAAAAGGTTTAAGAAACGCCCACTGACAGATTCTGCTAGCGACTGAGGCAGCCACGAAGTGAAGGGCTGTCCAGACAGAAAGGTTTAACAAGGCAACATAGCCAGGAGAGGCGGCAACTTACGCACGAGCAACCCATACTCTTTACACCTGTGTTATGATCTCCAACCCCCTTCAGGATTTATGAAGCTAGATGAAGCGGTGTCATGTCACATTACATGGCGAAGTATTTTGGATGTGTTAAAACGCTACATAACCCTGTGTAGGATGACAGGACACAATATTTCCTATTGTAAGTGATTTATTGGTAGCATCTGTGGAATTGCTTTATCTTTCTGGATATGCATGGATTTTAAGATAGTGTCTGCAACCTGCTAATATAGATGGGTTTATGTTTCAAGGTTATAGTTCATTCTTCCCATTTGGCAAACAAGCTGTATGGGTGTACTCTGCAGCATCTACCTTCTGTGGGTGGGGATGGGGCAGAACTGTTTTGGCACAAGGCTTCCCAAGATTTTTCAGTCTATAAGTGTCCCTTCACTGCATTTCTACCTAGAAGGTATTTCTTTCATGTTGGATTAAGAAGTCATGTCTCTGCAGATCATAAAAAGCTTTAAATTTATGTATGTGGGGGCCTGACACTTTTCTACTTTGATAAAGAAACTATGCAGCTGGACAACAAATTAACTTCCTTGCATGAAATTTTAGGTCAGGTTATCCAGTGTGGTGTTCCCAATATGCTTTTGGCTCCAGCTTCCATCAGCCTCAGCCAGCATGGCCAATGGTCAGGGAAGGAGGAAGTTGTAGTCCAACAACATCTGGAAGGCATTATAATTATAATTATTTATTACATTTGTATACCGCCCTTCGTCTGTAGATCTCAGGGTGGGTCACAACATAAAACGCAAAATACATGATAAAAACAAGAACAAGAAACACAAACCAATGAACCCCACCCCTCCTCCTCCCACAAACCCATTTAAAAGGGAAATAAGATGTTAATCAGCCAAAGGCCTGGTCGGCTACTCCTGCATAGTTAATGTGTTTCAAGATGCCCCTGTGGTCCTTAGTTATAATGTCATAGACATGGTTTTTTCTGGTTTTTTTTTGTGGTAGGTTGGAATGGCCCCTAAGAGCCCCCCAAACACTGATGTGAATTCAGCAGTTATCAGGAATAAATGAGATACACAGGAGTAGGGAATGTTTTCTTTTCAGAGTCTTTAGTACAATATTATGTATTTTACCTGCTGTGTCCATGGTTTGCCTTCCAGGCTGCTGACTGTTGATGTTATAATACGCCAGCAGTCAAGCTGCTAAAGCAACGAATGCAAAGCACGCGCCAGAAAGAGAGATGAAAGATGTTCTTTCTTTTAACAGATTATCTGGATTGCCCACTATTTATACTATGTACTATTCCTTTCCAGCTGGAAACTGCCCCCCCCCCCATTTGATTCACATCTCAGTTTGAATCCTTCATAATGTACACCAAGCCAATTACATTGTTTTGTGTTAGGAGTCAGAAATGTTGTTTCTCTGTGAAATCTCAATATACTCAGTGTCCCCGTCCCCGTCCTCCCGCCACCCCACTTTCCCACTGCTTTTGAAATTCTTCCTACAACTTGTGTTTCCAGAATGTCAGCAATGCCAAAATGTGAGTTGGATCAGGCCATTCTTCAGTTCCATTTGCTTTGAGCCATCGAGACTGTTTAAGCATCTGGCATGTGTCTTTTTGAACAACGCTGACTTCTCTAGCCTCTTCTTTCTCCCATTGGATCTTATTGGCTCCTGTACCAGCAAACAGGAGACAGAAGCCACTTCCAAGCTGTCACTCTTTTGTGGGAAATGGCCATAGCTCAATGGTAGGCCATCTGCTTTGCATGGAGGAAGACCAGGTAGAAATGGGAATGTTCCTTTCCAAGACCCCAGACTGCTGCTGCCGGACAATGAAGACAACATTGAGCTGGATAGACCAATATATAATGACCCCCTATCTGTAAACCAGCAAATTTAGAGTGTGCAATTAAAGTGGATGTGGTGCTCTTGTGCAGCAAACCTGCTTCCAACCCCCCTGGAATTTTCGTGATAAGAAAAGTGTGTGTGTGGGAGGGATAACGCATTGAAAATGATTGTGGCATGTAACTTGCACACAAATAAAGCAGCATGAAGTCTCAATAAATAACAGTGTTGTAAAACATTCATGCAGATTTTGTGCACCTGTATCAGGATGAATGCTCAATTAACTGGCTGTCTGGAAGAGCCCTGGGATGAAGCTATTGTATTTTAACATTTTGTACTATTGTATTTTAATATTTTGTTGGATATAAATAATAATAATAATAATAATCTATAATATATCATTAATATAACCTGGTCGTTCCTAAATTAATGGATCAAAGATTAAAGTTGAATTCTAAATATTTATAACAGTTTTCCTATTGCCCAACCATTTTTATTTGTTTGTGCTGTGCAGGAGGAAGTCTTGCAAATGAATTTCTGATTGATGAAGAGCTATATATTAGATGGCTGCAGATTGTGACTTTCCTTCCTGTGATGTCTTTCCGTACTCCACCGTGGGTCTGTTGTGATGACTGGGTAGGTATATCAACTACCACTGGTATGCTAATGATAATATTCTGCTCTCTTGGTTCCCGAATTCTCTCCCTCAGTTCTTACTAATATTTTTTATCTCCACAATGTCTCATTTTGGATGATTCACCACCACCAAAGTTTAAGATGGATTAAACAGTATACTCTGTATGTCTTCTCTGAAATCATCACTTCCGTCTTCCTTGACACATCATCAGTACTCTTATCCAGGACTGGCCCAAGGCATTTTGCTACCTGAGGTGAAGGACAAGATGGTCCATTTCACATGCAGAAGCTAACTGGACCAGCAGTTGAATCTTAATCTAACACTGGTGGTAGGACAGGGTGCTCTGTCACATCTGAGATAGCAAGTTAGCTTATGGGGGCCAGGACATGCTATGTAGGGGCTTAGGAGGAGCAGCAAGGTGGCTGTAATTGCTGCCTCTCCACCCAACATCTGCTGCCTAGGGAAGTTGCTTCACTTTGCCCAAAGATAGGGCTGGCTGTGAGCTTCAGTTTTGCACATGGGGTGTGGGTGTGTGTTATGGAGAAAGAGAGGGGAGAGAAATTTGCCTCTGTGTTGTTCGTTAGCAAAAGATTCTGATGCCAGATCTTGTAATATTTTCTTCTTAACACTGCCAACATTTGCTATTTCTGATTTCATAGAAACTCTGGTTCAAGTTCTTGTACTTTCTTGCCTCAGCTATCACCAGGGCTTTCTTATACCTCATCTTAAATTCTTATTTCAGCCCTAAACTCTGCTGCATACCTTGCTCATGGCATTCTACCATTCACAGTTGTCTTTTTTTGCTTCTCTTAATCAGTTCAAATTACCCCCTCCTCCTAGTTGCTTCATGCTGTGTGCCCCATCTCTCCTTTCTAATTCCCCTTTCACATTCTTTCTCCCACTATTAATTCTGCTTATACTAATCTTCTTATCTTAGTCCTTTAGCTATGCTCTCTTAGTCCTTTAGCTATGTTCTAGAGCTCAGCTGAAACTTCAAAGAAGGCAGTTTTCTGAAAAAAGAAGGCCACTTTATAGAATTTGCTCTAAATATTCTATACTGTCTATACTATACTGTCTATACTATTCTATATTGTTTGCGGTTGCTGCCATTCTCCTCCTCTCAACACAATGCTGGCTACAGGAGTAGTGGTAGTAAAGACTAGCATGATAAGAGACTGAAGAGATGATTTTCATCCAAGCTCAAGGATGAGAGATTTAGATAGGCTGGGATTACAATACCACTAAATTAATATTTTCTTGGCTACTCTGGGTTGGATTCACCTAGGCATCCCTGTCAGGAGAAGACCTGTGCAAGGACTTTTGCTTATACAACACAGCTCCCCCCCTCCCTTCCCTGTACACACTCTGAAATTGGCTCAGTCTGGAGAACCTCCATTACAGCACACAGTGTGGGGGAGGGTGGAATCCCAGTTGTGGAAGCTGCAATGCTTGTGCAGATGGAATGATTAAAAGAGTGTGACATTGAATTCCACCCTCTGTATCTACTCCCTTTGGGAGAACATAAATCAAACTAAAATACCTGCTTCTCTATTGACTTTTCCACAGCGTATTAAAATAATATGCTGAACTTCCTTTCTTTCAGGTCCTGAATCTCACCAGGCACTATGTTCAGACACATCAGAGTTTTGTGGTGCCTCTTGTTGAAAAATACAGCAAGGAGTGGCTCTCTGTAGGATACCCTATTTTTCGACCTGTATGGTGGCTCAGCCCCACTGAGTCCATTACCTTTACAATCGATGATGAATTTCTCATAGGAGATGAGGTAAGAAATAAATTTTACTCCAGCATGTTTTGGATCAGGAAGGGCATCTCAGGGACTGAATATTTTCTATAAGGCATTTGGATTTATATTAGAGTACTGAACATTTCAGCTCTCTACAGGTTTTGAAAATTCATGTAAAGTTACGAAGGTAAAATAGAATACTTGATGATAGAAAACCCTCATAAATTAAAATTGGCAGAAAACATTTATTAAAGCTAGAATTCTGAAAACATGGAAGAATTAACTTTGCTGAGGAGGAATCGGCATGACTTCTGTAAATGGAATTCTTGCCTCACTAAACTTTTCGAACGAGACACATTTAGACTGTCCAGTCAAAATGTAAAATCATACAATGATAGTGATGGAAGGGCCCTTGAACATCACCTGCCCAACTTCTTGCTCTGTGTAGGAAAACAGAGACATATGTGATGCAGTGGACATTATATATTTGGGTGTGTGTGTGTGTGTGTGTGTTTGCCTCTATATCATCTTCCTCCCAAATGACTCCTACAGAATGTTACCAGAAGGTTCCAGCATTAAAAACAGAAAAGAGACTAAGAATAAAAGTGTATTACTAACAATGGATGAAAATCACCCATGAGGTCTTCCAATGATCTGTGTTGGGATCCATGCTGTTTAACTTAATCATGAAGGACTCAGAGTCAGAGGTGAACAAAAGTGTAGAAGATGACACAAAACTACTCAGGATGGTGAAAACCCAAGCAGTGTGTGAAAGCTTTCTTCTAAATGAGCAAATAGGCAGTAGAATGGGCGATGTGATTCAGTGCAAGGAGGTCCAAAGTGATGCTTGCTGGGACATGAAAATCCTAATATATGAAGTCTAACTTGGCTGTGACTATTCAGGAAGGGGATCTTGGAGTCAGAATGGAAAGTTCATGAAGAACAGAAGCTCACATAGTGGCAGTGTGTGGGGAAACATATATCCCATGTTAGCTTTATGTTTGATCCCCTAAAAAAAAATCCCTATCACAATGCTGTTACATAAATTGGTGGAATGCCTGTATTTCGCTCCAAATGAATACTACGGAACAGGAGAAAGATGCAGAGCAGGCTAGTAAATATTCAAGAGGTTGGAGTACCCACCGCATGAGGAGAGTCTAAAAATTTTGCATGTGGATATTTTTAAGTTTACAAAAAGTCAAGGAGGACATGATTGAGATGTACTTATTGTATTGAAAGAGTTGGGGGGAGGGGAGAGCCAACCAAGAGCCAAATTTTGATTTAAGGTTTATTTGGCCCATTAACTTCTTATGCTTGGAAAAATAGAATGGATCTAAATGGTTTCTACATGTCCAGACATCTGGCAATTTTAGCGCCAGTACATTAAGTGGGGTGAGGAGTGACTAACTTCTTCATGTTCAGGGTCTGATGTATTTTCCAGACAATGAGCGGGATGCTGATGGTATAAAACATATGCTAATGCAATTTTTTTTTGTTGCAACATTTTACTTCTGTGTCAAGTCTGCCTGGCAAGCCAGATAAAACTGCTTCAGGGTCTAGATCTGGCCTGGCAGCAGCCCATTATCCATCATGAGGGCAGAGCTGCAAACTGGATTCCTCACAGGAATGCGACTGTGATGGACATCAGAAATGGAGGAGAGAGATGAATATATGATCAGTTGAGCAGCTCTGAAGGTTATAGCATGATTTCCTTATAAAGGTGCAGGTATCTGACTTGTTTAAGGTAGCATCCTCAGAATCTTCTCATAACCTAAAACACAGGGTCTCCACCAATGGTCCCTGACTAAGTATTCCAGAATGTCCTCCCAGTACTCCCTAGCTATAACTTGCTATAGAAAACAACACTTTCTCCCTGACTTTGGCCTGTCAGATATCCACTCCCATCCCCGGCACACACAATAGTCTGTTTTGCATGGTGCAGTAAGCCCAAACTATGGCTTACAAGGACTGCAAAAAATGTGCATGCTCCTGGAGAATGTCTGATGGGTCAAACTTTGGCTTAGCTCAATGCAGCAGGAAAAAGGGCCAGGGAAGAGCAACTGATTCTCAATTTAACAACTAGCTACCTAATTCTCACTTCCAGAAATGATGTGGGAATTGAAATTGGCACTACTCCAAATTCTGCAATGCAGTTTTCCAATCAATGTGTAAAATAATTAAAAATAAATGCATATATTGGGGGAGGTGTGCATAAAAATGTGTATATTCATAAAAATAACACAGCAATGCATTAAATCAGGGGAAACGACGTGCAAAAATGTGTGTATTAAATGAAATTGCAGGCAAAAATGTGTTTATTAGGAAAAATTCACACTAAAAAGTTGATGAATCTTCATGTGGGTTAAAAAAAAAAAATTTGAAAGAAAGAAAGAAATTAGATGCAGAAAGTGGAGAACTGAATTTAAGATTTGAAAAAAATGAGCAACAGAGAGAAACCAAAATGCGACAGATTCATGCATCCTTCTGTGTAGTTTGACTCTCCCTGTCATATGAACCAGGCCACTGTGACCTCCTTACTAGGTCAACCATTAGGTCAGAGAAATAAATAGCACTTTTAAAACTTTCCCTTTCAACGCCGCCTCTTTCCAGCCACTACCTCACATTTATCATTCCTCGCTGGTTTCCCACCATTGCCTTCCCTTTGGCAGAGGGTTCACTGGAGTGATTGTGATTTATGTGACATTTTCCACAGCCTCACAAAAGCCCAGCAACATCAGTATTTCAACCGGCAGTTTTACAATGCTTTTAGCAAAGCAAGCAAATGCCTACAGTACCAGAGTGAAATATGGGGCTTTCCATTCAGTGACATTCTAGATCTCACTTTCACTTCTCTCATTTCCTCTCACGCTTCTTTCCATCTCCACCCCTTCTATGGCTCCTACTACTGTCATCCTGGAAAATCCATCACCCATCTGTTGGTTTACTTTAGAGTCTTCTACAATAGACTGGGAAAGCCTGTTGGACGTAGCTTTTTCTGTGTGGCTAGTTATGCAGGAGGTGATGTTTTATGGGGCATTCTTAGTTGAGCAACTTGATTTATTATAGCATGACTGGCTGCATCTCCAGTGAAGCTTCTGGTTGTTGTTGTTTTTTGCTAGCATGGAAAAAAAAACTTTCACCTGTATAAATAAAAGACAAAACTGAGGAAATGAGAATACTATAAGAACATGTGTTCTGCTGATACAATAATCACAGATTGCAGTGGCAGGCTTTAGAATCAACTTGATAAAGTTCTACATTGGTGACTGCCCATAGATTATACCCAAAGGTTCACCTGTTAATTCATATGACACTTTTCAATAAAAACATGCTGAATCACACATTATTCCTGAATCACTGAATCATGGTCTGCCCCGCCCCCCATAAATAAATGAGGTGGTATAGTATAGGGATTCAATATTACAGTCTTTTCTTCAGTGGACTGAAACCCTTTGGAGATCAATAGCAGTTAAAGGTGCATTCTGTGAAGACCACTTTCCATATCAACTCTGTTGTTTGGGTAACAATCTAAGCACATGTCTCCATTGATTCTGTTGAAGCATGATTAGTTTCTCCTTGGCTGCTTGTGAAAAGGAACTCTGGATTACATTGATGGAAGTTTAGGAATGCAAACAGACCCTGGCCCAAAGAACCACTGAAACTGGCTGGGGTCACACCATTGTAAGCATTGTAAGCTCAGTAAGCTAATTCTTCATGTTGCTCTCTTGGTGACGGTGGCATATGGGTGTAGCCAGGAATTTTGTTGGGGGGGCAACCAAAGTTGTTGAGCTTCCCCATTGAAGCCTGAAGTCTGTAGCTATCCAGGTGAACCACAAGAGGTGGTTGAGAGGGGTATATGTTAGAAGAGGAAGGAGACATCCTTTCAAATATTATTGTTTGGGTATGCATTGGAAGCATCACATGCACAGCAAAACCATTGGACTGTAGCAATCATCTTGACTTTGCATTGGTCATAATGAAACCCTATAACCTGCCCTGTATCCTAGAAATGTAGGACAGTGACCATAGCTCAGAAGGTCTGCGGTTCCATCCCTGGCATCATGTCCTCTGCCTCAGACCCTCAAAAGTCACTGCCAGTCAGAAGAGCAGACAACACTGGGCTAGATGGGCAAGCAGTCTGACTTGGTGTAAGTTCCTATATGAGGCTGGAGGAAAAGAATGCAAATAAAGAACCATAAAATGCTGGCCCCCTTTTTGTCCACTATAAAATTTAAATAACTATTTCCTCCATATGTGTGTCTTTACATGTTGGAGAAGAATCTTCCACCGCTCTAGGAATACCCAGCTCCTTTTCTCTATGATGCCATTGACTTGGACAAAAGGAGACATGGGTGGTGGTACTAGCTGTCCACACCTAGAGGCATCTTGAAACAAGGAAGACTGTTTATGAGATTGATTTCTATGAGATGTTCATGCCAATGATGCCTCCAAGTATTTCAGATCTTGTTTGTCTAGATTAATAAGACAATTGGGTGCTCCGTTAATGTTATAATCAATTAGCATTAACAAGCAACTGGAAATAAATTAAAGAGCAGTTAGCATTCTAATTCCCTTTGCTGTTAGCATTTCAAATACAGCCAATATCTAATTAAATCTTTTGAAGCACTTTCCTATTTGCTGAACTTATGATTAATGTAAAGACTTAAATACTTCTCCCAGATCAAGGCAACGACACATTGATCTTTAGTGTCTTTAGTTCTAAGGCTGGTGCATGGTAGGATCTAAAGTGTTGCCTTTAATCATATTAAGAAGACTCTCACTGAGGGCTCATTAAGCGCTCAAAGGGCAATGGAGTTTTGTGTGCATTTGAGGCCTTCTAAAATTTACAGTGACTGTTTTAAGAAGAGCAGTAGTTGCCTCATCGCAATCTTTTTGATCAATTATTTCTGCTTTGATGCTTTAAATTGTCTTGGTTACTACTGTATTAGAGAACGTGCAGGGTTAGGAGAGTCTTTTCTCCTGTACTGTCCAAAGTAAAATGTGAACCTCATCCCAGTGTGATCCTTGACCTTCCGCCCTTTAAAATGTAAGATGTAAGATGATTGAAAATCCCTGCATTTACAAGGGAGAAAGGTCCAAGACAAAAATGGGGGTAGGACTGACATCATGTGGATACTCCTACAAGCCCCAAATACAGTGGCCACTTCTGCAAATGGCAACTCATGTGAGCAGCCGAATGGTGAGAAAAATGTAGGCAACCTAATATCTTCTGGAAGTGAAAAATCACAAATGAGTGGAACGATGAGTGCGTCTGGGTGTGCTTAGTCTTCTTAGACAATGTTATTTACAGAACTTGGAACGTTTTTAGTAGGTATGATACACAATTCTCTCTGGTGGGCCTGCATGTTTCTCATTGTATTCTGATTCACATAACTGAAAACGGCTTTTGCCTGATTGTGACAAGTTCCATACACCTTGGAGCAGACTATATAGACGTGCAAGTAATCAGAACACTTGCTCTCACAGACAAATGGACTTTGGGCTGACAGCGAGGGTGTAGGAACAGCTAGTTACCAATTAAACCTTGTGGCAGATGGTTTCTCAGCCACCATTGTGTGGAACGCACAATGACCTTGCTACAAGTCCAAGGGCTATTTTCAGTCATCGGATCTTCCTTGTCAAACTTGTTAGGATATTTCCGTTCCACCTTAAAAAGGGAGCAGGTTGTTGTGTCACAGCCTGCGTATTTCCTGTTCACAGGATGTTTCTGTTTTGTATATAGCTGTTGTTTTTCTCTCTCTGTGCCTGGACACGCAGACAGGCAGTCACGTTTTTCCTTTGTTCTGACCAACGCTGAATAAAATTGTAAATAATGCTCTCCTGAGTGCATCTTTCGTTGTACGAACTCTGCTGAAAGAGTGTGCACAAGCCCTGGAATGTGGCAAGCTATTTCTGAGGCTCGTGTCGCTAATTGACTGATACTGTATCTACCAGAGGTCGATGGATCGTCCGGAATCGACATGGAGGCATGATGGCCTTTGTCTCCCTGGCAGTGATCTTCCTAGGCAAGGCACTCTTTGGTGCCGGTTGGGAACATCTGAAGATGACTTCGGTTTCACTATCAGGTGTTCTGCTTTGAGTCTAGCTGATCCAGCCAGGTGAACAAAGAAGCAAAGCTGCAATGAGGCAGAATGGCAGTGCCTTCTTAAATGGTACGGTACTACCTTGGTTCTCAAACTTAACTGGCTCTGGAAGTCTGTTCCAAAACCAAAGCGTTCCAAAACCAAGGCACACTTTCCCATAGAAAGTAATTAATCCGTTCCAGACTTTTAAAAACAACCCCTAAAATAGCAATTTAACATGAATTTTACTATCTAACAAGACCATTGATCCATAAAATTAAAGCAATAATCAATGTTCTGTACTATAAAATAAATAGGACAGTATTGTAGATGATAAAAATAAAAAAAAAATAAAAATTCTTACCTGCAGTGATGATAGTCACTGTTTGGATGGGGGGCTTTTATCCATTTCCACAGTCACACAATCAATCAATCACAAAACAAAAAAACAAAACAAGCCACAGCCACAAAAATGAAAAAACCACACAAACAAAAACTCAAAAAAATAGCAAAAACAAAAGCACCAAATATCACCTCAGAACACTGCAATCAGAAACAGAAGGCTTTAATTACGATGTAGTGAGGGGACTTAAATTAGCTGTGCAAGGGTAAAAATGGGAGTGAAAAAGCCTTAATTTCGATGGGGGGGACTCAAATAAGCTGTGCAACAGTGAAAATGGAAGCTCAGGAGCACATTCGGCTTCCAAGGCAAAGTTTGAAAACCGGAACACCTACTTCTGGGTTTGCAGTGTTTGGGTTCAGTGTTGTTCCTGAACTAAGCTGTTCGAAAACCGAGGTACCACTGTACTAGGCTTATGCTTGTGTCCTTGTGATCTTTAAATATTAGTAGTAAAACACAGAGGCCCCAGAAAGGGAACAAATCAAGTATGTCAGAAAGCTGTCATCTCCTTTGCATCTGTACATGGAAATTCTGTGAGTGAAAGAAATATAATACCCTTGTGGAATGGAGACATTAGTATAAACATTTATATTGACTTCATATTTTACTATCTTTGTTTATGGTTATAAACTCAGGAATAGGTGGCCTTTTCTGGTTATATTGGGGCTAGTTAATATATTCTTCTGTGTCAGAATCCATTCCAAGTCAGGTCTGCACTCCAGAATCCCACTGCCTCATCTGATTCAGTTAAGTGAAACAGACACTCATGACCTGTCCTTAATTCCATAAGGTGAACTGCAGCTCCAGAAGGGTAATAGTGTCAGCATCAATTACAGGTTTCTTATCTGTTGCATAGAGGCCTAGGGCAAATGTCCTAGCATCACTGTACCAAGATCCTTGTTCTTGGAAGTAGGTACATTTTATTGGAGGTGAAATGGAAATCATGGCCATTTGTAAAAAGCCATTACACTTTCCAACATGAAAGGCTCAGAGCTTTGACATATATCAAGTCCTGAGACCTTGATGCTTTTATATTGATTTCAGTGGATGTATTCAGCTTGCGACAAATAAAGGTGGCCATTTCCCCAGTTTTGAACTAGACGTGATGGTGGCAGGACCTAGCTATGAGTCTTCCTGACTCCTTCTAAATTGGTGTCTGGGTCAATTTAAAGCATGGCATCAGTGGGGGAATTAAATATCCCCATCTATGCTTTTCCAGGTGAATTTGAAATGTGTTTTCCTCTTAGCCAGTGTTCCTTTTAGCCATGGAGGTCCACTAGGAGAAAAATCAAGGGGTTTCAGAGAAAAGGCATAGGCAGCAGAAAAGGACGTTTTCCCACTTTAAATCTGCTTCACACTTTATAGAAATGGAGCAGCAGATCCATTTCTGTAAACAAGGCAGGCCATCATTCCACTAGTTTGGCCCTTGCATTTTAAAAAGAACATAAATTCAATTTCATGGCAAACATTATTTGTAAAATGCAGCCTATGGTAAGCTGACAAGTGGAATCTGCTCTTATAAGATATCATCACATATCTCCTCCCAGAAAATCACTTAAATGGGGCAGCGGGGGGAATCTCTAAAATTGAATCGGACAGTTTCCAATGCAGAAATATGGCCTGCATTAACAAGAAGAGATCTTTTCTTACGATACAGCTAATGCAAAATCAAAGATTGGACTAAGAACATCAGGCCTTTCTGCTGAGCGGCTGGGATCCAAATTTGTGATAAAAGTTCAGTTCTGAAAATACAACGTAATGTGTTTGCAACTCCTGGCAATTCCAGTTAAAATAAGTATGGGCTCAGACTCAAGTCCGTCACTCATAAAGAATCGTTCATGAATTTGGAAAGAACCATTGTGCTCTAATGAACATTTGTGCACTCTAATTCCTTAGAACTTAGCGTTTTAAAACAAACCAAAAAAAGGCTGCCCTCATCTTCCTGGAACCTCTCTTTAGATCAGTCTTTGCCCAGTTTGCATCAGTCTTGGAATTGTTTTAAAGACGTTCGTAACATCTTTTCAAGATTTTTTAATCGTTTTATCACTTGTTGTTTGCCGCCCTTGGATCTTTTGGGAAGAAGGGTGGGATTTTAATAGATGGCGTCAAAGCAAACTTTATTAATTTCACTGTTATGATACAAAGTCATTATCAGAACAGGTAATAGTGTGCTGGTTTCAAGTGAGCTTTACTTTATCAGTGGGGCGACGGCCACCCTGTAGCCAAGGCGGGTGGCACCCTGGTCCCGGGAAGCCCTGCGCAGGATCGTAGGAGGGGCTGAGCGGAAATTATCAGTGTTCTGACTACATACTCTAAGGGCAATGCTATAGTCCTGGTAGAGCACATGCTTCACATCCATTAGATCCCAGGTTCAATGCCTCATGCCTCCAGATAGGGCGGGCAGGCAGTGTCTACACAACTGAGCTTGATGGACCAATGGTCTGAGTATAAAGAAGTCTTCTATGTTCCAATGCCTCTAACTTTCCTTTTTCAATTCAGGTCCTTGTTGCCCCAATAACAGAACAAGGGCAACGTCAAAGAGATATTTACCTGCCCAGAGAAGGTCAGAAGTGGAAGGACATCAACACGGCCCAGGTGTTTGATGGAGGGACCTTCATCAGGAACTATTCAGTCTCTCTCATGGATGTGCCTGTTTTCGTTAAGACTTTCTAGATTCCAAATCTGACTCAGATCTCAGAAGGTTTCCCTGTATCTCGGAGAAGGATTGCCAACAAGAGCATCCATGTTGACAAGGAAGTTCTCTCTTTTTCTGAAAAGTGTTTCCAGTCCACTGCAACGTTTCCAGGATCTGTATATTGAAAGAACTATTAAATGTGTGCATTTAAAATAGACTTGACTCCCCACTGTCTGTTTTCCAAAAATTCTAAAGTTCTCCAAGGGCTTCTGGTGGGACTACAGCAACTGCTACAATTTTGTATCTTGAACCCCCAGGCCTGTTCTCCTCTTTGCAGAATCAGTTGAAACACCCAGTTTGCAGGGCGGGGAGTGGTGAGTAGGATGATGGGGCTTAGGATGATGGGGTACCTCAGGCCTTGGACTCAAATGTGGTCCTCCAGGCCTTTCTATCTGGCTCTCAGAACATTCTACAGGCCACACCCCTCACTGGCCAGGCTTTTCACCTTCCTTGAGTGCTTTTGCCTGGCTGGAATGTGTCTCTGAGCTCTGATAATGCTTCTCACTTGGCTGGATGGAGGACAGAGAGGGGTATGTGAGCTTCCTGTACAAAAGTTTACATTTGTGACTCCACTCACATTTGCCTCTGGCTCTGCCCCCTGCTGGCTTGTGGTCCTCAGAAGGTTGCTCAGAGGGAATACAGCCATCGAGGCTGCAAAGGGTACCCCACCAACTTAGTCTTTCCCCCTGCCCCACCAGCAGATTGCTGTTTGTGATGAAATCCCATGGCAAAATGCAGTCTCTTTTCCAAGACGGATTTGATCGTTTAGGATATTTTCCATAAATGTCTCCAAAATTTGGTTGTGAAAGGAGAATGAACTTTGCAAATTAGGAGAGGAATTCAAGGCTGCCTATCTTTGGAGCAAAAGAAAACGGAGGGCAATTGCCTTTGTGGGGATGCCTTTAAAAAAAGTTATGGGGGGGGGAAGCAAAGGGTTGTTCTCATCATTTCATGAACCTTTCAGCATTTTTCTTTTTAGACGTTCTTTCAAGATTGTGTGCTCCCCTTCTCCAGTGACAGAACATACATCTCCCATTATTTACTTTTGTTTTGAAAGCTATCGGCTGACTATTTCTCCCTTTCTCCACTCAAAACAAACAAAACAAACAACCACTGGTGCTGGATTGGAGCTTGTTCTAAGAAAGCAGTAAAAATAAAATGTTTTATTTCATCTGTAAATCCTGTGAGGGATTAGCTGTCTAAGATGAGCATTCCATCAATATGAGTTTGAAAAAGTGATATGATTTTTTTGGTGAAAAGTTTTGTTTTTTTAACTGAGATGCACGTCACCTTGGGTGTTTTTATGAGGCAAAAGGGTGATGAATAAACTTAATAATTCTGACTTACATGAATCAATGCACCTTGCTGCTTCCAAGACCCAAAGAGCAAAAGATCTAGAAAGCCACAGCCAAAATTATTCCTTTTCATGTTCAAGAGCCATCAAAGCACCTTTCTTTTGCGGCTGATTCAGGTATCAGAAGCATTAGCACAAGTGGAAGGTTGGTGTTGCTGATGAGAGACTTCAGATGACCTTCCAACGCATGTTTTCATACAAAACATGGGTCTGACAGAAATATTCTTAAGGTGCAATCTTATCCCCTCCATGGGAGCTGCCTCTGACTAGACATGTAAAGGATTGTGCAAAAATTCTAAACCGTACAATTGTAGACTTCCCACAGCAACTATCACACTTTGCCCACCAACCTCTTTTTAAGCAGAGGGTGGCTGGCCATCTGTCAGGGATGCTTCAGCTGAGATTCTTGCATCATGGATGATTGGACTAAATGACATTCAAGGTCCCTTCCAACTCTACAATTCTATGATTCTACCTCTTCAGCAGTGGTACAAACTAGGCCCTCAGGGTGTAGGGGAAACACCTTCTCTGTGATGCAGTGTAAATAAAGCAATATAAATTACAGGGGGTGGACACAGTTTAAAAACAAGAAACCCACATTTCAAGCTCTAGCCTCAGAAGAAGAAACTTACATTAAAGACACAGAAATCAAGTTATCAACAAAACATCTCTCAGAAGTACAAACTATAAGCTTAAACAATGACATTGACAAACCAGCATTCTCGCTTTTGCCCTGTTTTAGTTGCATTGGGTGTCCTCATAGCTCCTTTGCTTAGGCAGCTTATGGATGAAAGCCTCAATTGCTGCCTTTTGCTCTTCTCAACCTTTATCCCTTGCACAATTTCATTTTCTTTTCTCCAGGGGCCTTCTTTCAGTCCTGTTAATAAATGTTGTGTAGTGGAGACATCTAGTGGAGAAATATTTCTTAGGGCTCCACTTTTCATCCCTTTCCCCTTCATCTATAATTCCTCATGTTGTAAGAGTTCTCTTTTTTTTGCAGAGGTTTATCTATTTGTTTACATTGTAAAATAAACTGAAGAAGTATAGCATCAAGGCAACTAACTGCTTATGTAGTGCAGTCCCATACATGTTTATTCAGCAGTAAATCTCACTGGGTCAAGTAGACTCACTAGCCTAGTAAGTCTGTTTAGATTTGCAGCAGTCTTATTCAATTGACGTGTAGAGATTTCCTAAAAACTAGTTGTCACACACTAAAGAATGACAGGCTAAATAAATAATGTCTATTTATCACCACAGATTAAAAGACCTAAAGCAGCCCTTTGTAAAATGTGTTCCTTGTTCCTTTTTATATTATTTGTTGTTTCTAGATTGTTAGCTGCCTTGGACTTTTGAGGAAATGGATCTTTAAATAAACACATAATAGCAGATCATAACAAACACCCGCAAATCTGTCCACCTAGAGCAGGGGTTGATCTATTGCCAGCGGAGAGGAGCCATCTTGGAAAGCTCCAGTTGTTGGGCTCCAGCTTCTATAACTCCCTGCCAGCATGGTCAGTGGTCAAGGATGATATGGGTTGTGGTCCAATGACATGTGGAGGGCCACAAGCTTCCCATTTCTGCCATAATGGGCCCATTGCCTTTCAACAGGGGTGGCTAACCTGTGGCCCTCCAGATGTGACTGGTTTACAACTCCCATAATCCCTCACCACTGACCATGCTGGCCTGGGCTATTGGAAGCCTTGAGTCTAACAACATCTAGAGGGGCACATGTTTGCCAGCTTGCCCTACAGTAACATCAGAAATTAGCACCCAGGTCACAGTGTAGTGAAAACATGGCAAGGCATTTATGAAACACAGTTACGGCCTATACACATCCAAGTCTTCCAACCAATTAGCCCCAGAATACAGCCTAAGGACGATATCAGACAAAGCTTCACTCTGGCCTCCAAGTGGTATGCTTTAGATCTGATCAAGATAAAATTACAGTACTCTGACAGACCTTTGTTGAATCCCCTTGCCTAGTCTATTATCATAGTTTTTCTACTGCCTCACTTCAGATTGAAATTGCCTGCCAAGGGCCACACACTTGCCATTGCTGCTGCAGTTGCTACTCTACTTTCCAGCCCTGGTTACGATATTAAAAATACTACATTGCAATGTGAAACTGCAATGGGCACTACAGCTAAGTTCAATAGGCTATCAAGGCCATGCCACATGGCTGTGCACAGCCTTACATGGAAACAAGGATTAGGGATATCATATGTGGCTCTCTCTCCCCCCCCCCGTCCCCTCATTCCTGCAGATGATTTCCAACTGGCCTGGCTATCGTAAACAGCAGAGAAAACACAGTGTGTCAGCTACAACGGGGCAGGGTCCAAAGTCAAAACAGACAACAGACAAGAAAATCCAGGAACTTGGGAGAGAGGAGGAAAAATAATGTGGGGGAGATGGAATTTGACAGTGGGGTGATGTTTGGAATGGGAAAGCAAGGATCTAAGGGAAATTGGGACATTCTGATCCTCCAAAATGCCTACAGTCATCCCTAGGAGCTATTAAAAATAAAATAAAAGATGGGTCTGCATTAATCCACATCAAAATCCAGACTTGATTTTGACACGGTAGCTAAGAGAGAATTAACACTGCTGTGCTGTAACTGTTGTTCTAAAAATTCTTTATTAAGTTTCAGTATAAACAAAAATACAAATACAAACTCATAGCTGAGGAGGAAAGGCAGAAAATAGATACATATAAATAAGAGGATTGGAAAAACACACTAATGTAGAAAACAGAGAGCAGGGATAAGGAAAGGAAGTACAAGTTATTTGCAAATGTCATACATGACAGGTTATTTATTTTTGTCACTATTGCACCCTCACTAATATACATGTTTTTACAAGAGGTGTTGTTGTTGTTGTTTAGTCGTTTAGTCATGTCCGACTCTTCGTGACTCCATGGACCAGAGCACGCCAGGCACTTCTGTCTTCCACTGCCTCCCGCAGTTTGGTCAGACTCATGTTTGTAGCTTCGAAGACACTATCCAACCATCTCGTCCTCTGTTGTCCCCTTCTCCTTGTGCCCTCCATCTTTCCCAACAACAGGGTCTTTTCCAGGGAGTCTTCTCTTCTCATGAGGTGGCCAAAGTATTGGAGCCTCAGCTTCACGATCTGTCCTTCCAGTGAGCACTCAGGGCTGATTTCCTTAAGAATGGATAGGTTTGTTCTTCTTGCAGTCCATGGGACTCTCAAGAGTCTCCTCCAGCACCATAATTCAAAAGCATTAATTCTTCGGCGATCAGCCTTCTTTATGGTCCAGCTCTCACTTCCATACATCACTACTGGGAAAACCATAGCTTTTACTATATGGACCTTTGTTGGCAAGGTGATGTCTCTACTTTTTAAGATGCTGTCTAGGTTTGCCATTGCTTTCCTCCCAAAAAGCAGGCGTCTCTTAATTTCGTGGCTGCTGTCACCATCTGCAGTGATCATGGAGCCCAAGAAAGTAAAATCTCTCACTGCCTCCATTTCTTCTCCTTGTATTTGCCAGGAGGTAGCTAGCCCAAAACCCCACCTACAGTTTCCAATCTTATTTAAGAGATGGCAAGCATTCCAAATGCTGGTTTCCCTGCCTGGAACAGTTTGGATAATAGTAACATCATTTATGTACAAAACAAAGCTTTGCCAGACACTTGAGAAATTATCTTTGCTTAATTTGTCCCCTACTCAACCACATTTCCCCATAATTAAGACAACACACAACTGTCTACATCAGACCCCTTTCAGATGTTTCCAGTTTCCTGCTATAAACCTTCCTGCCACTGCAGTAAGCCTGTGCTAAATTAGACCTTTGTCTTGACAGTCCTCTTGGATTGTGAATGCTTCTGGTCTCTTTTCAAAGGCTTCCAAAGCTTCACTGGGTCTCTTGGCACATTTGGAGAAAGGCTTTAGCTATTCTGGTGGGAAGCTGGAAGACAAGATAGGGCTCTTGCACCTTTGAGAATCTTGCTGAAGAGGGAATTTCAGCAAGTGTAGCTTGTCAGAACAATTCCACACAACTATCTTAGGCACGGGAGCCTATTTCCTTGTGCATCAGGCTAATTTAAATGAGGCATAGGAATATCATTGCATCCTTTTGGAGGAGAGCATGCCCGGTAAAGCTTAAGGCAGTCCAGAAATGTCTCCAGAACACAAAGACTCAGCCCACATCTGCAGACAAAATCACCAATGTTCTTGAGATCTAATACATGCATGGCAAAGCCCAAGATCCCTTCCAAAATCCATTGAGGCGTCTAGGCTAGAGTACAGATTTGATACTGGACTCTGAAATCCACTGCAGAGTTTCTGATGGGTTTTGGCAGAGAGACTGCACCCAACAAGATTTGTCAAAACTATCATTCCCATCCCTATTTTTAGTCCTCCTCCCTTTTTTGTTTGATAATTTTTGGGCAATTAAACACATAGCCATTTAAAGTCAGTAAAAGTTACTTCACGTTGCTTCTTAACGAAATATCTGCTTAGAGGACTGGGTAGTTTTATAGCATGAAATTATGTGCATTGCAGCATAGCACTTCAGTTGATATGACATGATGTTTAAGCAAAAATCAAACAGCCATATTCTAAAAATAAACAGAACTTTTACTCTTTGCAGACAAGAGCCTGAGTTTATGCCAGCCCTCTGACTTCCACCAGCATAAATGGCACTTTATCTAAATGTGCAGCTGATCACGCTAATGTGCAAAATAAGCAAACATCTTAGTTCTGCTTCCCCAGTTTTCAGAGTATTTGCCTCATTAGGCCATGCGAAGAGACTGAGTGGAATGCAGAACCCTTTTAAGTATCAGATGCTTGTTTTTGATATGCTGCTGTCTCACAATAGGGAAGATTTTGTGCAGCTGTAAACAAAGATGATACTAAGCTACATTCCAGTGCAATAGCGTACTGGCACAAAGATTAGAGAAAAGCAGTAACATATGCATCTCCGGCTAGAAGGATACCCTTATTAAGACAGAACTGGTCCACAGCTGCTCTGCTCCAGGATTCCTCAGCATTAAGTATCTTGCAAGAACCAAGTTAAGGGTGCTTGCTATGATTTAGGGAATATCCCTTTATCAAAATTGAGTTCAAGCACTCCGGGCTGAATATTAAAATAATGCCCATCCTTCAGGCAATGGGTCTTCAGCTCAGAGCATTGTAATTCCATATTCGCTCAGTCCCCTGGGATTTGCCAGGGCTTTCGTTGCCCCACAATTCATCCTTTAACAACTACTAGCCATAGTTTTGGCCTGAAGCTCAGCCTCTGCACTTTTGGCTGCTTGCTCCAGTGAAGACTTTAACAGTGCCATTCTCTGCATGTGTTCAACAGGGCATTCTCCCAGGTAAGTGTGCATCGGATGCAGTGCTTGCTGTTCTTTTTCATTCTTTTGTATATTTTGTATTATAATGGAATCATTGTTAGGATGTTATGGGGTTTTTTGTTTTAATCATTTTGTGTTTTGTTTTCCTATGCTGTATCCCACCCTAGGACCTTCTGGTGAAGGGTAGGCAAGAAATGAAACAATGAGGATAATGATATATATTTTTTGCATTGTGAGTCATCTCAATATGTTTTTGAACTAATCCTCTAGCAAATGAAATAAATACTCTAAGCCTTACACTTGCTTATTCAAAGTATGTCTCCTTGATCTCAATGGAATTTATTCTCTAGTGACTGAGGTTAGGTTTGTAGTCTTAGTGAGTTACTTAGTGCCACAGATCTCGGGCTGTGCCAGCCCTGTGGAACGCCCTTCCATCAGACGTCAAACAGATTAACAACTATATGATTTTAAAAATATATTTGAAGGCAGCCCTGTACAGGGAAGTTTTTGATGTTTGATGTTTTATTGTGTTTTTAATGGGGCCGAGGCAACCTAGTCAGATGAGTAGCTTCTCATTATTATTATTATTATTATTATTACTACTAGTAGTACTACTACCCTGTTTTGGGAAATGCAAATTTGGTTAACTTTGCCTTTAAATGCAAACTAAATTGAATTACTCTGCCATCCCTATTAATGAAACTTGGTTCATATGAGGCACAGCCAGGCCTGCTGGGTCACACAGTCACCTCACATGAATGGAGAGTGTCGTCAAAACACACCACCACTATCCTGCTTATACATACAGTGGTACCTCGGGTTACAGACGCTTCGGGTTACAGACTCCGCTAACCCAGAAATAGTACCTCGGGTTAAGAACTTTGCTTCAGGATGAGAACAGAAATCATGCAGCGGCGGCATGGCAGCAGCGGGAGGCCCCATTAGCTAAAGTGGTGCTTCAGGTTAAGAGCAGGTTCAGGTTAAGAACGGACCTCCAGAACAAATTAAGTTCTTAACCCGAGGTACCACTGTATTGTAGACAGCAAGCTCTAAGCTTTATTTAAGATAAGCAGGTCAATCATTACTGATCTCACCGTAATGATGCTGATGCAAATTTCCAAGGAATCCCGGAACATAGTTTGGAAACTATCCATGGGTCACCTGGTAAAAAAGCTGATCCTCAAGTTTCTTACTGAACGTTAGGATCCAAAGTTAAACATTAGCATCCAAGAGTGACAAATGCTAATCCTTAAACAGATATTTCAGATCAAATGAAAAATTTAGAATGATTTGTCTTTTTAAATGGATTTTCCGTATCACAAAAATAATTTTAGGGTCAAGTGTTCCAGCTAGTTCAAGTTTCATTGAAGCCTTCACTCCAGTCCCAGCACACAACCTGTTTTCTTGGAGATAATTTTAGTAATACAGATAGCTTAAAAACAAAATGAAACAAAACAAAACAAAAACACCTCAGATCAATGCTTCCATGTCATCATGTGGCTGATATATTAGTGTTGTTTCATCGTCAATTTATTATTTATTTTCTTTGGGGCAGTGCACATGCCTGTGAAGTAAAAAGTTGAAAATATGAAAATGGGAACAAGTACAAAATAAAGTGAAAAGGTATCTTTCAGATTACTGAGAATAGATTGTAAAGGATACATGTCCACTTCAACTCTTTCATTCAATAGCAAAAAACCAAACCAGAAAGCTATCAGTAACTACTGATAGCTCTTTTGAAAGTGGAAGCTGGTTTTTCTCTTGATATTTGAATCACTACATTTTCTTTACAATGTATTCAGAACCATGACGCAGGCAACAAGTCAGGGATTGGCTCATTTTCTCCACTGCCAATGTTTACAGTATTTAAAAAACATTTTGGGAAATGTGGACATTTATCCAAAGTTCATCTGATTTCATTAAAAAAATAAAAAAGACAAAGTGTACAAAGTGCACTGCAGTAAATTCTTTGTGTACGCACCTATAGATAATTTGCAAAACATGTTTACAGCCAGTGGTTACAAAACTAGGTATTGGTTTTTGAATCTTTATCAGCGTCGTGCTTTTCAGCTTTAATGCGTCAAAGCTGCTCCTTCCACAAAACTGCAGGAGTCAGACACATTACATCAGGGGCAAACTTGATGCCACCAGTTCAGTTTCCGTTTGCATAAGGACAAAGTCCATTGAACACTTCACAACAGTTCACCTACTACAAAAATATATTTGAAAGCTGGCCCCTTTGACGGAATCTGAGGTCAGATTGCATGAAGTGTAGACAAGAAGCTTAACCTTCTGCAACTGTGTTTGGAACTGTGTTGGTTCTGAAAAATGTGACAGTGTTTATATATTAGTCTCCCTAAATCCTCAACAAACTGGTTAAATGCAAGCAACAGTGTTTATTCCTGCTATGAACAGTCTACAATAATGCCTCCTTCCCCCTTTAAATGCCTTGTTTTACATAAAAATATTTCATTTTAGTCATGATAAAAAACTAAACAACCGAAAAGATATTGTTTAAACATGAAAAATAGTATAATATTACCCTGAAAAATAATTTCAACTTTAGTTTGTTGTTCAATACACTGAACATTGACTGATTAATTTTTCAGGGACTTTTGACCTGCCTTTCGAAAACAGAATTTCCTCAAAGGCATTTCACAATAAATGTAAAACAATTTTAAAACAACTTTAGTTCCCAGGCTGTTAAAGTTGCACAAAAGGGCCTTTTAATTCAAAATATGTTAACCAAGCAGTTTTAAAGAAGAATCACACCTGGGAAGAAGATACGCTGCTACTGCTGCTTCCGTAGCCCAATGTCCACTAAATCCTTCGTTTGCCCAGAGGTGGGTGGCTATAGCACAACAAAAGCAGGACAACCCCTCCCCACCTCTCCATGAACATTTGTGGTATGAAAAGTTATAGGATTTCAGCAGGAACTTACAGAATATGCACTGATTGGAAATGATGCCACTCCAAAACATTTGCAGGTGCAAACAGTATTTGAAAGCGGTATTTTATATGACCACCCATATGTGTGATAAAAAGCCTATAGCCCCTCTGGACAGTGATAATGTGATAGCATTGGGGAAGCATCACAAAACTAAGGCCACACGTTCACCTTACATTGACAGCACAAAGAATCCTGGGAATCCTGTGGTGTGTTAGGGATCCTGAAAGTTGTTAAGAGACCCCTATTCCCCTCACAGAGAGAGTGATTTAACCATCCATCTCTCTTCCCAGGGTACTTTGTGGATTGTACCTCTGTGAGGACAACTAACAACTAACCTATACAGATTTTCAAATGTCTATTTCAATGTACGTATACAGTATTCCTTCCCACTGTGAAGTATGGGTTACCATCAAGCAATTTCATTATGATTCTGTCCACTAGATGGCACTAGGAACTACCTAACAACCTGGTCATATTTGAGTCCAAAAACTTTTTCAGGTAGGTAGTAGTAAGAAAAAGGTTTGGGGTGGAAAGGCAGGATTGGCATATTATGGACATACATACCAACTTTCAAGGAAGGTACATGTTTCAGCAAATATACACCTGCCATTGTATAAATATTATTGTTACATTTTAAAGTCTCACCATGATCAACTCCTGCCCGGAAACCTATGTCCCTACTATGGAAGGACATATGGATCCAGAATTGGCCTCCACAGTCACTTATGGACCCACTTTTGAAAACAGTGTTTATGGAAGACAATCTTACTCAGCTACGAGTGATTGCCAAAGAAGAAGATTGTTACATTTATATTCCACCTTTTCTCCAAGATGCTTAAGGCAGTGTACATAGTTCTTCTTTGCCTTAGTTTATCTTCACAACAACCCTGTGAGGTATGTGCTTTATGGCTGAGTGGAAATTTAACCCTGGATCTCCCCAGTCCTGAGCATTACACCAAAGGAGCACTAATTGCAACTCATTAGGCTTGTGTGGTAAAGAGCTCCCATGTCTCCATATACTCACTGGTACAGAGTACTGCTACCTCTGTTTTCCTGCCCAGGGCAGCCATTTTGTGCTGGCATCCACCAGCCTTTTATCGAGAAGTGGGAACCAGCACCTCATTTACTTATTTTGCCAAAAAAGAAAGGCACTGCCTGGAAGTGACACCGGTCTTCTGATTTGGTCGTGTAGTTCAAAGTAATTCAGTGAGAATTTCACAGCAAATAAGAAGTTAGCATTAAACAGCTTTTGCCAGTGCACCAACAGAGCAACAAGGTTTGAAGATTCTGAAGTTCCACAACACTCAGCAAGAGTTTCAGTGAGGGGTTTAGAGCAAAACAAGACATTACATTATATTATCTCCCCACTTTCATGAAGGCAACCATGGATGTGGGATTTTCAGAAGTGTTTCAAAGAATTTGTGTGAGGGTAGCATAACATTACTGATGAGGTGACAGATTTCTACTTCCCCATCCCAGCTCAACTTTGCTGCTGGAGAAGCCTAGCAGCATTTCTCTATAATTTTGACTAGAATTATCCACTTCAGAAGAAGAATATCCGCTTCAAAAGAGGAAATTTGCTAAGGAATGAAGATGGCAAGAAAAGGGTTAAGTTACTCCCACCCCCACTGGAGCAATCTGCATTTTTTTAAAAAGAAAAAGAAACAAAAAACCCACCTGCATGTTAGATTCAAATACTGTATTTAATAGTCACATGTAGTTCAGCCCTTAGGCAACAACAGCAAAAAGGATTTCCTTGGGCTATTTCACATATTTCATTCTGCAGACAGGGAACAGTTAGTCCTGTGTTTCCCATGCCATGTGAAACCAATTACTTGACAATCCAGAAGTGGAAGTACAACGGGTAGAAATGGAAAAGGATAGAAAGCAAATAAGATCTTTTGGGTAAAGGGCTTATATGCCAGGAGCTCCTCAGTGCATATTGTGGCATCTGCTGGCACGCTTACAATTCACCCTGCCAAATGTCCTCCGCCCTATGAATTATTTCCTGAGTCACCACCAGCTCCCACCCTTCTGGCAATAGAACTTCCAAGCGCTCTTCCAACTCCAGCTCCTCCTGTCTCATAATCTCCATAGATGTGACTGAATAAATGAAATAGCCATCCCATATATGTTGGTTTTTTTAAAAAACAACAACCCCAAAACCCAACATAGGTAAGCATGAGGGCTTTCATCCACTTAAACAACCCTGTGAGTCCCAGTGGTGCTTTCCCATTGCTAGCTGCAAGAGGGGAAGCTGTGAGGGCAGATAGGGATGCGAGCCCCACATATGTACCCAGTAGAAATCAGGACACATCTAGCTTTGCAGCAGGGTGTGGGTGGGTGGGTGTCCTGATAATGCTAGTTCATGTATTGTGGGACCTGCATATAGTGAAGGATGCACAGCTACTTGACAGTGAAGCCACGTAAAATTAAATAGCAAGCACGTGTGCGTAAGGACCAGGGTGCAAGAAGACTCTTGAAAGGTTCCCATTCTTTCATCCATGCTGCCTTATTTTTACCCCTTCCAAAGATATAATTGTTTAAAGGATTTGCTTCCTAAACTACATAAAAGGCTGGCAAGAATACAGTGGCTAATGGGATTTAGCTGCAACATCAGCTGCAGCTTTCATTATTAAGTTGGAGTGGCGTTTTATTTGGCATTACCTTGATCTAGATTTTGGCTGCATTATAGTTCAGAAACAGCCCAGGCAGCTATTGCTTCCTGGCCAAAAGGGTGGGGGATTCATTCTAGTTTCTTTGGAACTGTGATGACATTTGCCACAAGTACAGGTATTGATGGCAAACCAGCAGCTGTAGAAAGTAGTTTAAAGCAGTGTTACTGGCTGGCATTGTCCTTTTCTGTTTGCAAAGAAGAAGTCAAGAGTGAATTGCAGGCATTAATTCCATCCCCATGACTTTGTCACTTTGTTAAATGCCCCAAGGTATTTTAATGTTCTAACCAACCCTTTGCGTTCTGCTTATAAGGGAGACTAGTAGAAGTGAAGCCCTGTGATAATTGTGATAATTGACAATGAATAAAATGAAACAGGGGGGACCTCTCCGTACCTCACTCTCCCCCCCCCCCCATGTCTGCAAGGGCTGAGTCCTACTCTTTAAAAGGTAACTTGTTCTGCAACCAACCATGCCTTGGGCTCTCCATCTCTCTCACCACCAACAAAAACTAAACAAATTGAGGAGGAACCTATCCACATGACAATGACACAAAACCCTGCCCATTAACTATGCAAGAGGAAAAATCATTACCGCCCCCTTTCTCCCCCTGCCCAACCTCACATAGCCTATGACAGCAATGTCTCACACCAAGTGTGGCTGATCTGTAGGCAGGACTCTATGAACTAAAAACAGAGACATTATATGTGCCTTTATTATCCATGAAAATCTTTCCATAAAAACATTTTTTTAAGGCAACTTGTTCTTTAACCTGCTTGAGTGAAAGCAGGCACTTTCCTTTGGGGATGGCAGTGAGGGCAAAGTCAGGAATCAGTTGTTTCTCTCTCTCCGTGCCCCCCTCAGTATTTTTGACAAGCATGCAGGCTAGGCTGCCTAAGACGGGCTCCCAAGTAGCATGCATGACTATGCAGTTGCTTTTTCGTGATGATGATGCAGATACTGCTGTGGTGTGTGCATTGGTGTGTAACTCTTCAAGTGCAACCAACTCATCACTTTGGCTGGGGTACTGAAGCATGAAGAAAGCTCTCAGAAAGACACAGCACTTAGCAGTAATAGCAGATCAACAGCTGATTATATCTTCATGTGGTCTGCCTCAATCTTGTGCTTCCCAGGGGCTGTCTTCAGGTTGCGTGGGTACTCAGTCACCATGTTCCAGGTCGTAGGAGCAAATAATCGCCATGTTTCCAAAGCTCAGCAAAGACCAATAACAGAAGGGTAAATAGGCAGGGGAGCAATGAGACATGGTAACCCACAGGGCTCAGGTTCACAACCAGATTATCCTAGATAAGCATCAAACTTGGCAACAGATTAATAGGAAATATAGGGTGTGTGTAGTCACTGCACTGGAGGTTGATCAAAGCCACAAGTGGAAGAGCTCCGGCTCTCCCATGTAGAACCAGGAACATGCCTTGCCTGAAACCCTGAAGAGCGGCTGCCAATCAGTGTAGACAGTAATACTGAGCTAGATAGATCAGCAGCCAGGCTCAGTAGGAGGCATGTTCCTGTGTTCCTATTTAAATCAGCTCTTTATTCAGAACCTCGAGAACTAGAATATTTAGTGGAAGGGCTGTAGCTGAGCGATATAGGACACCTTTTGCATGCATAAGGTCCCAGGCTCAGCCCCCAATGGTATCTCCAAGTAGGCCTGGGAATGTCCCCCGTCTGGAACCCTGGAGTGCTGCTGCCAGTCAGTATAGACCATACTGAGCTGGGTGGGCCAGTACTGTATAAGGCATCATCCTTTGTTCCTATATAATCGTGGGTTGACATTACAAGGCAGGCATTTGTAGGTTAAGACCTCAAACGTAACCGAGCATTGGGGAGGGGGTTGTGTGTGTTTTATTTCTTTGTTTAGTTTGTAATTATTATTTTGGCATGCTTAGAACATAAATCATATTAACCTACTGACAGTGTACACATATAACACAAGAAAGCTTCTAGCAGATGTTGATCACACAATGTAGCTGGATTTTCCACGTGGCTATTTTGTCCCAAAGTGTGCAGGGATGGGGAACCTGTGCTACTCCAGATGTTGATGGACTCCTGCTCCCATTAGCCCCAGCCAGCGTAGCCAATGCTTGTGGTCAGGAAAGATGGGAGTTATAGTCAACAAGCTCTGGAGAGTCACAGACTCCCCACATCTGCCATCCTGGGTGCATTGTCCCATTCTGCAGCAAAACCAAGAGCATCCCAAACATCAGCTAGGCCACATTCTACTAAGGCATAGAGAGGCATTGTCAAAATGATATGGCCAGTGGCCTATACAAATACAAGACTTTCAACCTCTCAGGCTCAGAGTATGGCCTAAGGACAATGTCAGACAAGGCTCAATGGCCTCTGAGTGGTATGCATTAGATATAAGTGTGATAAGTCACTCTTACTATATTTGCCAGTGGCCACATTTTGCTGTCCTGCAGCTAACTCACATTTTGCAATTCAAACTTTTAACTCTTTCGTCCATTGGAGAAGCTGTAATGTTGTTCTCTAGCAGTTTCCTGTAATTTCATGAAAGGGCGTCATGCAGTATTTGCATATTGACAGATTTATAGAAAAACCTATTAACCTAAGTAGCTGAGCAAGTACTAGAACAATTCCAGTACCTTTGACCTACATTCTTGAGCAAGCGTGACAGTTCAGTTAATGCCAATCTACTTTCCAAACAGGTCATTCATTACAAGGTACGTTGCTATGGCGACATCCTAATTCTGAACTGTAATTGCCTGTTGCAAATAGGAAAATGGGTTTAATATATAAGAAATTATTGTGATGTTTATACTAGCTAGGCAAAATAAAAACTTCCTTGCTCTTAAGAGCTAATAAACTTGATTTCATTCTCTGGAAACATGTAAACTGTGAAGTCACCCAAGGTGAAATGTCTATCCATGGTACACTGAATTGATTCTTGTATTGTGGGCAATTAAACTAGTTCAAGGACAGAGAAGCCTATGAGTTGGCCCTCAGCCATGGTGTTAATATGGGGTCCACTTCAGTCAGCTTTCTCACGCCATGCCCCCCCCCTCACCTGTGTGATTCTGGTTGTGGAATGTGGTGTTCTCCAGAAAATTAAAATTCCTCAAAATATTCTCAGCCACCTCAGAGCAAAAGACAGCTCTTAGAGAAGGACCAAAGAGCCCCAACCCCTCACAGGGGAATACGTCCCAACTATCTCCTCCAAACCAACAAACCACTCCTACAATCTAGAGTGTTGGTCCAGAATCTGGGAGACGATGGTTCAAATGCCCCAGTGTTTTGGATTACAACTCCCATCCATCCTAGTCAAGCCACTCCAATGCTGACTGGGGCTGATAGGATATGCACTCCCAAAGATCTAGAAGAGCATTGTAGATCTCTATCACACAACACAGGTCTACCTTTTGCAGGGGCTGTGAATGGGCCCATAGCTATGGTACTAATGTGGGGCTTGCTTCAGTCTGCTACCCCATTTCACTATTTTACTCAACCCACAAATGACAGGCAAACACTGTACTTTGAAGTTACAAATCCGCATTCCATGACAATAGTTTCTACTACACTTCTCAACAGAGAGGAATCAGAAGCATTTGTCTTCCTTCTGAGGACAATGGTTCACCCAACCTCTAATCCAGACTGTGTCATGCCCTCATTGTATTTGACAGTCATAGGCGATCCCTAAACGGAGGTCCCTAAATGTAATTTAAGGATCGCATTTCAGGGCTCTTATTATTTAAAGTACAAAGAAGTTTTCATATACGGAGAGGATCCAGGTGGGTTCTCATTTCATCCATTCCATCCATCTGGCTATAATGCTTTAATCACTGCTCTTCTGCTGCAAGCCACAAAAATCGCAATAGTACTTTCTACACTGGGGGGTTAAGATTGCTTTGTGTATGTTATCCTGCCTTACTAGCATGACACAATTAAGCGTGGCATGTCTGAGCAGCATTCGGGGAAAGCAGTTCTCCTCAGCACCGCGAAAGGTATCATTTTCTGGAGTGCCCAGCTTGGGCGGAGGCCCAGAGCCTTTCTCCCGTGTCAAGGCCGGCAGCTCGCTGCCTTTCTACACCGAAGCCTCCTCGCCTCCCGCCCCGCCAGGCCCAGGAGCGCCACGCGCCACGCTTCCATTCCCGGGGCTTTGAGTAGGGACTGTGTCGCTTCCTCCGCGGGGAGAGAAAAGGGGCTTGGAAAGCCCGTCCTCTCTTCCCTCGGATTACCAGTACTGCAGGCGCGCTCCGGTATGAGAAAGAGGGAGCCCTCCTCTCTCCTTCCAAGCCCAGAAGAGCCCCGCTTTCTTTCTTTGGGAGGCGCGCGCGAGGGCAGAGGCCGGCTCCCTCCTCCCCGCTCTTTCCACCTCAGCTCCTCCGAGCTCCGCCCCGCTGCTGCCTTCGCCCTGCCCGAACGCGCCCCCGCCGCGCCTCCTCCTCCGGCTTCGCACTTTGCGCCCGCTGCTGCTGCTGCTGCTGCCTCCTCCTTCCCCGCCCAGTCACCCCGGAGCGGCAATTCCCGTTTCTCGGCCCCGGCCCCGCCCTTCCCCTGGCAGCTCGGCCAATCCGGACCCAGCCGGTAGCAGCAGCGGCGGTGGCAGCGGCGGCGCTCCAGGGTGCTGCACTGCGCGCGGGCTTCCCTCGCGCATTCTTGCGCGCTCTCTCTCCGTCTCCTCACAGCCGCCTGCGAGGAGGCGCCCCTTTTCCTCCTCGCCGGATAGCCCGTAAGTTGAGCCTTTCTGCCCCACCCCACCCCACCCGCGGTTTTTGTCTTTCGGTTCTCTCCCGCTCGTTTAGGGAGGGTGGCCCCGCGCACATCTAGAGGAGCACGCGGGGCCCGGAGGGGGCGACGATACTGGGGCGGGGAGTGCCCGGGGGTTGCTCCGCTCGCCGTCTGAGGGACTGTCTAGGAGAGAGACGGCGTGCGCGAGAGAGTCCCTTCCCACGTGAGCGCCTTCCTCTTCCGCGGCTCCCTGGCGCTTAGCGGAGGAAGGGCATCCCAGGGTGGGGAGCAACTTGGCTCCTGTGTGTGCAAGAGGGGCCACTGGAGAATCGCGGTTTATAATCTTCCTTCCGTTAATGCAGCAAGCTGGGACAGGAGGAGGGTCTTCTGCTGCCTAACGGAGCACAACTCTTTGCTCCCCTTGAGCTCATCGAGTCCTGTCAAAGATTAGGAAACGGAAATTTAGACTGAAGTTTTGCATGGTGTACCCTTAACTTGGATGCAAGCCCAGCTGAACACAGCAGGACTTCTGCTTGTGCTATTAAAATACTATTTTTCCTTCCAGCTTTTATTTGAACTTAGCTGGTATTTTGCATTGGAGTGAAACCTTTTGCCACTAAGTAAGAACTACTGAGCAAACAGTGCTCCGTTGTAATCTCTTAAAGTCCAGGTTGCTCACAATATGGTCTTCTCTGAGGAGTGGCTGACAACATATAATAAACAAATGCTGTCTCACCTTGACAGGAAATTATACCCTTTGATATTATCAATGGCATACAGTGATGTACAAACATTGGGGGTTTTTTTGGGGGGGGGACTTCATTAGAAGTCAGGCAATCAAATTGTTTCTTTTTTAAAAAACACACACACACACCTTAAAATCACTGGATAGTTTACAGTTCAGTCTCAAAAGTAAGCCCATAGGGTTCAAGAGCCTTACTCCCAGATAAGTAAGTGTAGAATTGCAGCTGTAGTTTTCATAATAAAGAATGTTTCCCTAGTACAGTTAAACCCTCTGTTTCCCTAGTGTGCATTTTGCAGAGGAAGGGCAGCTCTATACAATACATATAGTGGAAAGAATGAACTGGTTGCACCTCTTGAGAACATTGCTTTCAGCGATGAGTTGACAGCAGTGGGGGTGTATTTTGGAATTGGGTAAATAATACATAATCTTTGGACATTGTGTACAGGTAAACCTATCCCTATAAACCACTAATGCTGTAATTCTGGAGCCTGCAGCTGTGCATATTGCCAAGAATCTGAGCCTTGCAGGAACTTGTAGACCTTCATTTAATACTGAGGAAACACAGGGCATTATGCAAACTTTGGTTTTAAGGAAGCTTTTGTTTTAATATGAATTTCTCATAACAATGGCTGAGCTTATATCTTGGCTACTGCTTAGAGATGATTATGATGGCTTCTTGGTGGGCTGTTGTGCGGAATTTCTAAACATTTTCTTTTAAAATCATTTACTGCGCCAACCCCCTGACCATGGTCCTATACATTTGGGATAAATTGCCGTGAGCAATGTGGTAGTTCTAGTATAACTGGAATATCTGGGTGAGGTAGTATAAGCAGGATCCTGTTTCTCACACCTTTAAATGGAAATTGTCTCCAGTATTAGCTGCAAGCATGTAATCGATTCCTCAAATAGCTGCAGATTAGGAATAGTCTTAGTATGGACAAAATAAAAAGTAGTTATTGTGGTGTTAACACATGTGCAGTGCCATCAAATGTGTATTAAGCCAAGTGCTCATTCCTGCTTATTAATGCTTGAGATTTCTGTGACTTGGCCACATCACCTCTGCAACAGAGGAGCCAATGACCATCTTAGAGTGGGGTTTTGAAAGTCCTGAAACACTTCATTCTAATATAGGACAGGTGGAAGCTTACACATTGGATCTTCCCATTCTGTGCAAAAACCAGACTTGAAAACTGTAGAATACCTTGAAATGTCAACAGTGCTGAATTCAAGGCAGGGGAGATTTGAAGGCGGCAGCAGCAGGAGCGGCCCATGCATGAGGCGAAGTGAAACCATTTGCCTCAGGCGGCAGATCCAACCCCCTCCCTGCCCCCACGGATGCGCCGCTGCCAGTCCCACTACAGCTTCCCACACTACTGGCACAGCACCATTGTCTGCTGTGCCCTTGCCACTGCATTGTGGAGGCAGTGTGGGCAAAGTCGCAGGTGAGAGTATAGTTGCAGTGGTGGGGATGGAGTGGGGATCTGGAGGTGGGGGGGGCGGGCGTTGGGGTGCTGTCAGGATGTTTGCCTACGGTAGCAAAATATCTCAGGCTGGCACTGATCAGAGGTGGGGGGGTGGGCTTTTAGCCTTCCACGTATTCGGCTAGACATAAAGGATTTCACCAGACAATGCACACTTGGCATAGGGAGGCTGGGGGCCATAACAATGAAGCATTTGAAAAGCGGGGGCATCTCGTGAATGCATCGTGTTTTAAGAAGGGTAGGCAGCACTTTATGTTGTTCCCAAAGTTGAGTGGTGGACGCCCGAAGTGCATGATGCTGAGAGAGAAATAATAGTAAAAATAAGCCTAGATGTTACAAGAAACCTCACAGAAAAGGTTTTCATGCTTTTCTCTTCCATCCACAATGGGAGTCTCATTGAACTTTGTAGGTCTTTGAGTGAACATGCATAGGATTGTGCTATACGAATTTTTAATCCTATGCAAAGTTATGTGGATGTATGTCCTTTTGAAAGCCCTGGGACCTAGAATAGTATTTGGGTACAGGACAGGGACATAATCAAGAAATGAGCAGCACAAGAGAGAGAAGTGTATCCTGTTCTCTCACTCCCTGCACCCCATATTGTATATCCATGTTATACTTTTATAAATCTGAGGGTTGAATTTGCTGCCGGGTTAGCTTGTGTTTAAGAAAGCACTGAATTTTAGTCGTACTGTGAATTTCCTTTTGTATGTGTGAATCATTCAAAGTGCTTTATCGTTTTCTTGGGACATTGATGGTGCTTCCCATTTCTAAGAATTGGGATGTTGAAACAGAATCAAGGTTAGAGCGTGAAAGGCAAGCGGAGCTTTTGTAGTTTGGTGGTGTGTTGTGTGCATCAGCGTAACCTTTTGCCTACTTTTCTGAGTCCGTCATGTGATCTTTCTTTGCTGTGGAGGAAGGGCGGGGTTTCAAGAAGTACGCTGCTTTGCAGAAGTGCCTTTCAGATGACATATTGCATGACTCCATAAAATTAAATCACCAGGGCCTAATAAAACGGGGGGGTGGGGATGAGAGACCGGACTGAAGAAAAGGCACAAGAAGGCACTATTTTGGGAACTCGTTGTAGGTCAAGTATGTTTTCTTGCGTTGCTAGAAACGGAAATACTGTAGTAGACACTGTCTTCCTGCTTGCAGTATTGCTTCTGGAAAATACTCAGTTGTACAAAAGCAAAAGTAGCAGCGTGCCCTGTTGTTGTAGATAAGTCGTCTTCACTGCCAGCTCCAAGGATCTGGGGACATATTTCATGGAAGTCAGTTATTTTCCTTTTATATAACCTTTTCATAAAATTGGGTATTCTGATATTTGACAGTAAAGTTTAGTTCTAGACATATTTCTATCTCCTGTTAGACTTCCACATGGGTTGCCATATTCCTCTGTTGTAGCCGATACAAGCAAGAGTTTGTGCTCCCTTAGAGATTAACCAATTATGTCACAATACATTTGTTAGACTTGAATGTGTTTTGTGCTTGATAGATTTGTTCGTCCAGTAAATTAATCAGTGTGCCTGCCATCCTTGGCATGATACCCATGGTTTCTCGCCCTTTTTTTCCCTTTTGGTGTAACATAGTAATTATGTTGAGTACTTGGGAAACACAGTTCAATCTTTTACAAAATGAGGCTATTTAAATATAGAGAATAACTGTTGATTTTTTCTGTTTATTGGAGAATTCTGTAAACCAGTGAAAGCAACTTACAAAAAGTTAAATAATCAAAGTGGTTTGGTGCGTGTTTCTTCAAATCTGTCATTCTTTCTGCTATCTCTTTCTTTGCATATCTGAAATTTGAGAAATATTTGCAGTGGTCTCTTAAGAATTATGTGCATACACCCAAAGTTGTAAAGCCAAAGTTCTCTTCCTTTATTCTCAAGTGGAATATTTATAAGTGAAGGGGAAATCTGAGGAAAACTGCTTTGAAATGCAATTGAAATTACTACTGTCTATAGTGAAGTTAAAAACAAACACAACTTACTTTTCAGCATGTCCTGCAGACGATAAGCCTCGTTTCTATTACAACAAGGAAGGGGTGGTCCCATTGTCTTATTCTGAAAATTATTAACCGCTTTTATGAGAAATCTAATGTGATAGCATTTTCATACTGGATCTTGTGTGTGCATTCTGACCTATAGCCAGTTCATACCTTAATGAAATGGGTGTTGCATTTACATGGCTGCTTCCCATGTTTTCGTGGTAATGTATGTAATGGGAAAACTGTACTCCAAGTGGTTCTGACGTTGGAGGCAACAATAGACACCTTCAGTGTGGTCTCACTGTTAACATATGGGGCAGCAACCACACTGAAGCAGTAATTATTAACTAGTGTCTGTTCTTTCTAAGGAACACATAGATAATAGGTAATTCTTTATGACCACTACTCTTACAGTAATTTGACAATGCTCAGTATCAGGAGTACACTTCTTATCTCGAGTTTATTATTCACCCCATGGAGAAATACCAGTTCTAATCAAGGCAAGAAATTTGTAACCTCAAGGAGCATTAAGAACCTTGCTGTTACCAGCATGCCTGTGGTGGGAGAGGCCATCTGACTTAAAGTGGGGAGCCTCTCTGCTTTCTCTAGTCATGCCCTGAACCCCTTAGTCTTAGCCACCTTCTCTGGGATGGGTATTACTAATACCAGCATGTCACTTGTGAGTTGCAGACAGCATTCTGTACCAGTTTGGTGCAAAGGATCTTGGGGCATGCCACATTGATTATGTTGTCCCCATACAGGTTATGTTGCAGATTTCGGAAAGGAGAACAGCATCTTGGCATACTCATATGGCTTTGCATTAAAATATACTTGTACTTTCATTAAAAGAAACAACGGGTTGTTCTAGGTTTGAGTAAAGCCTATTGATCTATTAACCTTTTAATGTTTATTGCAGGTTATGATAAAAACAGGGTGCCTTCAAAGAGTTGCTTACCTTTAGACTATTGATGGGAAAGCGCAAGTGAACTTGCACAGCTGTCAGTGACGTTGTCCTTGGCTGACCTGCTGTTTTGTACTACTTTGTTTTCCTTGCCACGTAGGGTTTCTGTTTGTCCGTTGGCTCATGATGTGACTTGCAGATGCTGTGTAGCTACGTTGAGAATCTGAGTTTAGTTCTCTGACATTGGCATATAGAATCATAGAATCATAGAGTTGGAAGAGACCACAAGGGCCATCGAGTCCAACCCCCTGCCAAGCAGGAAACACCATCAGAGCACTCCTGACATATGGTTGTCAAGCCTCTGCTGAAAGACCTCCAAAGAAGGAGACTCCACCACATTCCTTGGCAGCAAATTCCACTGTCGAACAGCTCTTACTGTCAGGAAGTTCTTCCTAATGTTTAGGTGGAATCTTCTTTCTTGTAGTTTGGATCCATTGCTCCGTGTCCGCTTCTCTGGAGCAGCAGAAAACAACCTTTCTCCCTCCTCTATGTGACATCCTTTTATATATTTGAACATGGCTATCATATCACCCCTTAACCTCCTCTTCTCCAGGCTAAACATGCCCAGCTCCCTTAGCCATTCCTCATAAGGCATCGTTTCCAGGCCTTTGACCATTTTGGTTGCCCTCCTCTGGACACGTTCCAGTTTGTCAGTGTCCTTCTTGAACTGTGGTGCCCAGAACTGGACACAGTACTCCAGGTGAGGTCTGACCAGAGCAGAATACAGTGGCACTATTACTTCCCTTGATCTAGATGCTATACTCCTATTGATGAGGCCCAGAATTGCATTGGCTTTTTTAGCTGCCGTGTCACACTGTTGGCTCATGTCAAGTTTGTGGTCAACCAAGACTCCTAGATCCTTTTCACATGTACTGCTCTCAAGCCAGGTGTCACCCATCTTGTATTTGTGCCTCTCATTTTTTTGCCCAAGTGCAATACTTTACATTTCTCCCTGTTAAAATTCATCTGGTTTGTTTTGGCCCAGTTCTCTAATCTGTCAAGGTCGTTTTGAAGTGTGATCCTGTCCTCTGGGGTGTTAGCCACCCCTCCCAGTTTGGTGTCATCTGCAAATTTGATCAGGATGCCCTTGAGTCCATCATCCAAGTCATTGATAAAGATGTTGAATAAGACCGGGCCCAAGACAGAACCCTGTGGCACCCCACTAGTCACTCTTCTCCAGGATGAAGAGGAACCATTGATGAGCACCCTTTGGGTTCGGTCAGTCAGCCAGTTACAAATCCACTGAGTGGTAGCATAGTCAAGACCGCATTTTACCAGCTATAATGTGCTTCATTCCAGAAAAGCACACACAATATTTCTAGAGTTCCAAGCCATAGATTAGTTTCCAGTAACTCTCTATTCATTTTCCTTCTCTAGCTTGTGCAAGCCTTTTCAGGCTGCATTCTTCTCTACTGTGTTTCTTTGTAGTCATGGTAGTACCTCTTTTGGGGGAAGCGTTGTGCTTTTTCTTGGATACTTTGTCCATCTTTCATCCCAACCCACTCAGCTCTCACCTGTGGCTTCTATAGGCTGTTAGCATATGACAGTGGTCAAACACCAGGAATCGGTTCAACTAGCCGGCTAAGTCAGGTGAGGGTAGCTGATGGGTCTTAAACCCTTGATGAGTTAGAGCAGCAGTTCTCAACCTGTGGGTCCCCAGATGTTTTTGGACTACAACTCCCATCATCCCTGAGCTCTGGCCTTGCTAGCTAGGGGTGATGGGAGTTGTAGTTCAACAACATCTGGGGACCACTAGGTTGAGAAAGGCTGAGTTAGAGACTTCCCTTGCATTTGAAGACAGGCTCCAGTGGATTGAGCAGATGAGACCAATAGTGGGGCCAGTGGAAGAAGGCGGTCTTCACATTCTGTAGAGGAAAGTGAGGGGCAGATGGGGCTTGTCCACCTGGGAAGATAGCCCATTTGGAGAAGAAAACACTAATTCAGAGTGGAGTCCCTAAGACAGTGGGATGGTCCTGTGTACACCTTCTGGAAAATGCTGCAGCAAGGCTGGTGCCAAATGTGTTGCTCTTTGGACCACATCAACGAGGCTGAGGGCAGGGGTCTTGTCATTTGGGCAGCTGAGAACCTCCATACACACTGGCCAGGCTTGTGCCCCAGAGAGGTCACTTGGGTGCTGCTAACACAGTGGTTTCACTTCATTCTCAGAGGCGCACTCCATTGTCTCTCGAGACAGGTGGATGCCAACAACATTGCTCCTTCTCCCATTTTATTTCTTTCTAGTTAAAGGCTTCTAGTTCTTAGAATGTGCCTTAGTAAATGTGATCACCTTCCTCATACTTGTGATCAGGCTACATCCATCTTTGATCTTATCCAATTATTTTTATTTTCCTTTTAGCTAGTTCACTTTATGCCACACTTGGCTGAGGACCACAGCCTTAACAAGTGACATGAAGGTGGGAAAACTTCTGGCAAAATTAACCAGAACTTCCCACCCTAGGATATTAGGATTTTGATACTATGTTCAACTTATACGTTTAAACTATTTCTAGACTGGCAGTTATTTAACATTGTTTTAAAACAGTATCAAAATATACAAAACCAATATAAACATAGCCATTGCGTTGCCACTAAACGAAACATGCTATTTCCCCATGAAAATACTAAAACATTTTCTACCATCTACTCTGCTTTTTTCTAAATGGTGCTTGTATTATTTTAGGGGTACTGAATGTCAGGCCTGGGGTTTAAATGCAGCCCTCCAGGCCTTTCTGTGCATCTCTTGGCAATCTCCCTAGACCATACTCCTCACTTGCCCTGCTCAGCAACCTCCTCAGGTGTTTTTGCCTGGTTTGATTGTGTCTTTGAACTGTGACAAGGCCTCTTTTTTGTTTTGCTGAAGAGAGGTGGTGTTTTTGTGCAGAAACACCCAACTTTCGTATGATTCAACTGTTGCTCTGACCGCGCCCACCACAGTTGTGCAACCTCTTGAAAGTTGCCCTTGAGAAGGCTTCCTCAAACTCTGCCCTCCAGGTGTTTTTGGCCTACAACTCCCATGATCCCTAGCTAGCAGGACCAGTGGTCAGGGATGATGGGAACTGTAGTCTCAAAACATCTGGAGGGCCGAGTTTGAGGAAGCCTGTCCTTGAGGAAATGTGGCTCTCCACTTCTGCATTATTTGAATGCATTATTGGTCTTTTCCTATTGTTTGAGTCCTTGTTGCCCTGAATTTTGCAAACACTGCAGGCACTTAGATCAGCAGAATGTAATAACGGATCCAAAACTGCAGGGAATCTTCTGATTTTCCTAGCCCAAGGTCAGTGACTGGATACCTAAATCTACAGGGAGAAAGCAGTTCCTTGGCAGTGGAGTGAAATGGCACAGTAATGGACTTCACCCTGTTCTCTAATGGAATACAGTGGTACCTCTGTTTGCGAACGGGATCTGTTCCGGAGGCCTGTTCGCAACATGAAAAGAGCGCAACCCGCAGCGGCGTGTCTGCGGACGCGCGGGTTGCGATTTGCCGCTTCTGCGCATGATGTCATTTTGCGCGTCTGTGCATGCGCGAGCGGCGAAACCCGGAAGTAACCCTTTCCAGTACTTCCGGGTCGCCGTGGGACGTAACCTGAAAGAACGTAACATGAAGTGGACGTAACATAAGGTATGACTGTAGTTCTAGTTTTCTAGATCTGATGCTATATAAAAGCTTCATTAAGCACAAAACTTTGGCATCAGTTTGGAGGGAAACCAAAATTCTGGGGTTATAAGTTAATGAAGCTGCTATAAAATACATAGCTTTCTAATGTCTCATGTACTAAAGTCTTCAGAAGGGCTAGATGTTCAGTATGGATCAGGGGCATGTTGGGTTAAAAGATAGCCATCGTTGTTGGTAGCAGAATTGTAATCAATATACGTATTTACATATATTAACAGAGATTGGACATTTTGCTTCTTACAGATATGAAATCTGTTCTGTTTCATATTCCTGACTGTCTGCTTTTTTTGGTATGTTGTGTTTTGTTACAGGTCAGTAAAAAATAACTAATACTGCTATTAGCAGTACTGTAACTACTTCTCTTTAAATCATTTTTACTTGATACTGCAACACATATTGAATTGCTCCTTTGATCAGCTGAGACAGTGGAATAGTTACATCCATTCCTTCTGAGAACACATTGTGCTAGTTTCCCCTAAAGCATATTGGTATGACTACAGAGGAAATCATTCAGATGTAGCACAGATGCTGTTGGCATTGAGAACTTGGGAGAACTATGCTAAATGGAGAGATTGTCTCAAGCCGTGTGTGTGTGTGTGTGTGTGTGTGTGTGTTGTGTAGTGTTTGTGTGTGTAAATCTTTACTCTTCCTTTAGCAAAGCCTGGCCAAGGGTACTTTGCCAAATGACACGCCGGCAACCCAAATAAAAGCTTCCTCATCTTTTCGTTTGCGTAATTTTGTAAAGCTTTGCTTTCCTGCAGTAGTGATCTGCATTTCCCCCCCACCCTAAACGCACATGCTCTGTAGTGCCGTGCCCTTTCACCCACTTTTCTGAGCAAACATGTGACTGCTTTAGAAATGTGGAGGCGGGGAAAAGTGCTGTACAGCAGACTATTTAAAAAATCTCATTTAGAAAGCGGGAGAATAATCTTAAAAGAGAAATGATAGTTCAGGGTTTGTTTAATACTCAGCTGTCTGCTTATAATACTAAATAATATTTTATTATTTAAGGGAGGGAAACTACAAACTCATGTAAGTGAAGTGTTAGTGACACTGCTAGGGCTGAAGGCTTATCCATACTTACCTTTGCCCTGTACTGTTCTTTCCAGGCACAGGTCTGTACTTTAAAGCTACTGTATGTGTCTGAGCGGGTTCTTTTTTCCACCCTGGAGCTTCCCCTGCAAAAACCCACTCTTTAAAGCTGAAGCACAACAAACAACAATTTGGGTTTTGCACAGATTGCCATTTGCTCCGATTCAGCGGTAAAGTGTGGGTTTTCTCTAGGAAAGCTACAGAGCACAGTGCGGATAAGCCCACTGCCATATCCTTTAAATTTCATTTGTTTTAGGCTTCATCAGAGTAGCATTTTGACCTCTCATATTTGTCCATGAGTGCAGAGCAGTGGTTCCCAATTTGCGAAATACTGTGGATGCCCTGTTTTCCAAAAGCCAAGCTATGGACTCCCTACTTGTGAGAATTTTGATATCTCTGTAGTAGTTTTCGTTATGTGAATTGTGCAGTGGAACCTCTGGGTGGGTTACGTAGAATCCCTGGGGGTGTGTGGACCTTAAGTTGATAATAACTGGTGCAGAGAAATAATACAGTGGTACCTCGGGTTACATACGCTTCAGGTTACATACGCTTCAGGTTACAGACTCCGCTAACCCAGAAATATTATCTCGGGTTAAGAACTTTGCTTCAGGGTGAGAACAGAAATCGTGCAGTGGTGGCGCAGCAGCAGGAGGCCCCGTTAGCTAAAGTGGTGCTTCAGGTTAAGAACAGTTTCAGGTTAAGAACGGACCTCTGGAACGAATTAAGTTCTTAACCCGAGGAACCACTGTATTGAGTGAGCATTTTCTTTGGGAATTCATGTGGTGGAAAGGAAAAAGCATTCAGTTTTAAAATTTAGACGGGGGGGGGGGGAGCTAGTTTTCAACATCAGTGTCTGAGACCCTAGTTTTCTCTTTACATGAAATACAATTAACTCTAATTTTCATGCAACTATTCATATATCTTGCCTAGAATTCATTGCTTAAGAAGTTAGAAATGAGAATCAAACCAGCCACTAAGAACACAGGAAGCTGCTTCATAGCAGATCAGAATATTTGCCCATCTAGAGCAATTTTGCCTACTCATGAAGCAGCTCTTGAAGATTTTGGACAGACGTTTTGCAATCAACTGCTACTGGATAATTTTAACTGGAGATCCTAGTTTTGCATGCAAAGCCACAAGCTCTGCTACAAAGCTCTGGGCCCTCCTCCACCGGGGAAGGAAGCAGCTCTCATTCTGCCAGTGAACAATAATGTTGTCACAGATCTTGTTAAGAGCCTGATGTAGAAATGGAAGCTTCCATTTAAACTTGTATCATGCTTGACTACTGCAAAGAATGTTGAAGTCCTGTATTCATTATAAGAGGAGGTGTTTAGTCCCCAACTATTTTTCATTTGTTTCATTTGCCCAGTGGCATATACATGCGCTTCCAGGGTTAACACTGACAGCAAATATGATAAAGTTGTCTTCTGCACCGTCATTTCATTCTTGTGTCTTCCTTTTAAAGCCAATCTTCCCATAATCCTCTGTCACTCTTTCCTGGCTATATACTAGTCCCATCCCCAACCTGTGACTTGGTCTGTGGCTAATGTTGTATTGCTACATGAAGATCAGCTTTATCTACGCACATTTGTTTTAAATAAAGCTGTAGGTCAGTTGTGGGAAGCCTTTAGCACATGTTGTTGGACTACAACTCCCAACGTGCCTCACCATTGGCCATACTGAGTGGGTCTGATGGGGAGCTGGAAGTCCAAAATCATCTAGAGGCCTACAGGTTTCCTTACCCCTGCTTTAGGTCATAGTGTACCAAAGAAGAGAATGAGATATAAATCAGGTGGCCCTTCCTCAGCCATGAATGTGCTTATGGATTTTGACAAGCAGCTATCTTTTCAGCAGCTTACAATATATCATCGAAACGTTTATGCTTTATTCTCCTATGTGAGGAACCCAGTTTCTTTCCACTATGCAAGATTTACCGGTACATAGCAATTCCAGTGCTGATTGAGCCATCAATCCTGCCCAAAGGGCTGTCGGCCTCATCAAAATATATTTTAAAGCATTGTATTCAATTAAACGTTAATTTATCTCTTTTTTTAAAAAGAGTATTCATTTTATTGTGGCAAAACTTAATCCAGTTATGGTTTGGATGGATTGGGAAATGGGGAGAGAGGAGCTGGGCTGTTGTTGGGCAGTGAACCAAACTGCCAAATTTGCTCTAAAAGAACTCTGCTTGTTAATGGAAGTGGATGTTCTAAGTATTTGTTACACTGGAGTAATAGGGTGTTAAATCTGTATATGAAAAACAGTTGCTTAAAAGCTTTACTTGAAATCTTTCCTGTGGGTTTATGACCATCAATAATATCTTGGTTCTGGCAAGCAATGTCTGGCTTCACTATAGCACTTGTTCTTAATGAGAGAATGTGATTACTCCAGAGCACAGACTTCTTGTTAGTTGCCTTGTTGAAGTTATTGTGGGCACTCATGCATGATGAGGCATATCTAGGCTAAGATATGACTGAGCCTTTTGGCCACACACATAACCAAGCTGTGAAAGGTGGAAAATGTACCATTAACTATGTCTTACTATCTTGGTCTGCTCCAAATCTGTTAAATCAAAGTTTCCCAGTTCCAACAAAACTGGAAACTTTAGTTAATGGTAGACTAGCCAACATTTTTGCTTACATGTACAAAGGCTGTGTGCATGACCAAAAGGCTCACCCATAGTTTGGCTTATTGGTGGAGGTATAAATGACTGAATGCTGCCTAATGATGTGGACTGGAGTAGCACTCAAACAGTATTTGATACCTTCAGTAAACAAAGATGATGATTACTCGCCTTTACAAATTTGCAGTAGATATCATATTCTTGGCTTCTAATTCTCTCATGCAAATTAAGTAGCTACTAATAAACATTTTTTTGTTTTTCTGTTTGCCAGGTAAATTCTAAAAATGGCGGAAGCCCACCAGGCAGTTGCTTTTCAGTTTACTGTAACCCCAGATGGAATTGATCTGCGTATGAGCCATGAAGCTCTCAGGCAGATCTATCTATCTGGTCTCTACTCATGGAAGAAGAAATTCATCAGATTCAAGGTAACTCATATTGCAGATCTGAAACTATACTTGGGACTGAGGCATATATTATGCAGCAAACAAGGGTTTTTCTGAATACCCAATTTTGCATTTTAGCACTAGTTTTGGTTGATGTGTGTATATACACCACCCCTGTCCATTTCCCCCCTCCTGGCTGTAATCCCTCCTGGCTATTTTTCTTTAGATTTAAAGACCAAAATGAAGTCTGGTCAGAGCAGAACCAGAGTAGAGGTGTGGTTAAGCAACACTGCTGCTTGCCAAGTCTTCCTCCTCCTGGGTTAACTAGCAACCACATGTTTCAGAAATGTGGGAACCAGATAGTGTGAATCTTACTCTGAAATGTTGAAATAGATTTAGTGAAAACCCATGAAATGTTCCCCTCACTTTCTTTACTTTCACTTCATCTGAACTGCCTACTGCCATGGAAAAGTAGACCCTTAAGAAAGTGATGCATTGTATTGGGTGTTGATCTTGGACCAGGCAGACCTGGGTTCAAATCCCCGCTTAGATATAAAGCTCATTTGACTCATCTGGTATTTCTCACTAGTGCTATATGAGCAAGAGAAGGAAATGAAAGGGCTTTCCTGTATGCCATCTGATTGCCAGATAAAGTTATCTGGCAATCCAGGAGCTCTTCCCCTTTGTTAGGGCCTGCCTTTCTATGCTAGGAGATAGTCCAGGTGAGGAAAACATCCATCATAAGGGCCTATCATAGTTGTGGGCATGTATCGCCCTACCCCTTCCCGGTTTGGTGGGTGCAGTTTGGAGGGCCCTGTGCTGATTTTTAGCTTCCCAAATATTGCCATCTTTACACTATTGCCATATTTACTAGTCTCCAATACATTTTAAAAAGAAGTTCATCCACACGTCATTCTTGCTAATTATACCTAACAGTGTTCCATAAAGAACACTAATTTAGTCTTCCTTGAGTTAGTCTGCATTTGCATGGCTATGTTCACTAAATATGTCTGGGAAGTGTTAAATGGGTGCATCAGAATCCAGAAAATTAAAGTATAATATTCTTGTGACTCAGTAGGGCTCTTTTTATGTTCTTTGCTTTCCAGAATGGCATCATCACAGGAGTCTATCCTGCTAGTCCATCCAGCTGGCTTATTGTAGTAGTAGGAGTTATGTCAACAATGTATGCCAAAATAGATCCTTCATTGGGACTAATAGCTAAAATCAACCAGACCCTGGATACGACGTAAGTAAACTCTCTCTTTGCATTGAATAGATTTTTCTGGTTAGTGTTAATGATGGGTGGTACGTCACTTCTCAGTTTGGCTCAAGGGTACAGTGAGATAATAATGATAGAGTAGAATCCTATCTTGTTCCCTTCCCTCCCCCTTCATATGATTACCTTGCAGTTGCTGCTCTATCAACAGAGTTGGGGAGTGAGAAGAGTTAAGTGTCTCTATATCCATATGCAGAGACAAGTACACGGTGCACCAAGCTATTCTGGGTCTATGGACCACAATATAGCTCTGTGTGTGTGTGTGTGCAGCAAGAACTCACAAAGAGCTCTGAGAAATTTCATTTCTTGGCACTAGGAATGAGGAATGAGGAAGAAATTTGATCCAGTTCACATTTAATTTGCGCTTTCTTAGAAAAAAAATGCAAGAACTGAAACACATCTATCCTTTAAAATTAACGCTTCTCGGAATTTTGCAGTGCAGCTCTCCAGCCATGAAACAGTGTACCTGCCCTGAAATGTGTACCTCTTCTGAAACAGTGGGTCAGGTGGGGGGTGGGGTTGAAACATGGTCACAAGGCATTTACAATGGTAGTATTGGCAGCTTCCTCTTCCCCCACCTCTTATAATTTTTAAAAGGCTGCCACCAGCACTAGCCAAGGGTAATTGACCACCCCGCAAATACACTAGTGTCACATTCTAAGGGAATGAGGGGGGCCATGATGGCTGGGGCTCTGTTACAGCCACCACTGCTATAAGGGGGGCTGCCATAATAAGTGTATTCCTCCTCCTAATCATTTGTGCCATTTTGGGGGCCTAGCTTGAAAATAATCAAACATGCCACCCCCTCAAACATGCTGCCTTGGTGAATTTGGGAGTCTATTTCAGCACAGTCCTAATGTTCAGAACGATCTCTTCTTATTAACAGTGGCTTACTTTGGTATGCTTCACTCTTTTACATTTGTCCAGAATTCTTGGAGTAACAGATGCTCTCTCTCTCTTTATTTTTTAACAGAGGCTATATGTCCAACCAAACACAAGGTATTGTCAGTGGGATTCTTTTTGGGACGGGGCTCTGGGTGGCCCTCATTTTCTCCATGCGCTACACGCTAAAGATGCTGCTTTCCTACCATGGGTGGATGTTTGCTGAACATGGCAAACTTTCCACAGGAACCAAGATATGGATGGTAAGAGATTTTTATCTCTCTATATTTTGGAATATGTAATTGATGTGACACTTATTTGATTATATCTGCCATTAGTAACTTAGTTTTCAGGGGTGCAGCTTCAATATTTTTCTTCCCAGTTCCTTCTTATTACTGCCCCTTAATATTTAATGGAAACCAAGGAATGCCACTGAGGTGCTACTGCTTATTCTTCAAAGATTTCCCTTTGGTTACATTTTGTGAACTGGCAGAATAGCCCTCCACTTGGGTGAAGCTTGGCTACTCTTGACGGCAATATTTGAATAGCTAAATGTTCAATACAATTAGCCTTCCCAAAGGACCACAGTGTGACTAGTTTCTCTCAGTATGGAACACAAGCCTTGGTAAAAGGACCTCAAGCCAAATTCCACTTCTGTGAGGAACTTGCAGCTTCCTCAGTGTTACAGGGAGGTGGGTGGTTGCTTACCATTCTTCCCTTATTTTGAAGAAAGCATGAGGAGAATGTGTCGGGTGGTGTTGGGGAAGTAGCTGGGAGGAAATACTCCCCCCCCCCCTTGTGTAGCCTTGCAGCATAAATAGTCTAATGTATCCTGTTGGTAAACAGGTCTTACCAACAACGTGGTCTTGTGGTCATTACATCCTGTCCCTTTTATATATTACTTGACTGTAAAAAGGAGTTCAGGGGAAATGATAGATTGTATGTTGAATACTTCTGTGGGAAATAGAAACTGGTTGCAAATTAAATGTCTGATAGTTTTCTTCAGATAGGATCCCAAGAGCTTTCTCATTTGAATACAGGTTCTATCTGAAGGGTAAGGCTTTAGAGTATTGTGTCAGCCTGGCTTGGTGTTTTCATTGGCTGGAATTTTTGGCATGTTCTACAAATTCAATACTTAGACCAGTTTTTCTTATAATGCTAAGCTTGAGCAGTGTGAATAGTTATGACTAATCTGTTTTGCTGTCTTGATTTTTCCTCCTGGACAGTGGCAGGAAGCTGTTTATTATAACTAAAATGGCAAGTGTGTTAAGAAATATAACTAATATTGCTTCTCTTCTCCCAGGACTAAAATTCTCAGATATTTGAGATATTTTAACCTAACTGGCTTACTCACTAGGTTGCAGCATTCTATTTCACTACAACACCATTGACCAGTCTAGCTTTTTCCCCAAGCTTCTTTCCTTACTGTAACTTGTTTTCACATTTTTCTTTATTTCCCTAATTAAAGAACCTTGGGAACAATGATTGATTGTGTCATTATTAATCTGTGCTCATTGTATGAACTTCTGTGTTCTGCAAAAGTTTAGAAAATGAAAGTTTAATCCAGCAGTGGTTGGTGCCCACTGGGACTGCTAAGGTGGAAGGCAGGGAGACCAAGCAGGCAAAGCCGACGCCAGGTGGGGCCAGCTAATAATAGTTTTGCCCCTGTCCTCCTCCCTGCTGAGCAGTACTAAGGCAACGCTGAATCTAAGGAGGAAGTTGATAGCCTTTACCCCCCCCCATTAGTTGTAAGTAAGAATGCAGCTGGGTGGAGGCTAGCTGAGAACAAAGAGAGATTGGTGGAGCAGTGCCTTGTTTGTCCTAATGAACAGTGGAGGTGAAGCGAAGCAGCAGAGCAGATAATTGAAACTGGCAACATAGAATACCAAAATAAGCAAAAAACAAAAAGCCAGATGAACAAAATGGTCTTACTCTAATAAAACACTGAAATAATCTAAAATGAACGTAAATACTGCTCTTGAATGACAAATACCAAGCATTAAACACACACCAGCTTCAACTAGTTTCCAAATCCCCAAGCCATCCTCAAATGTATCCTGAGTGCACACTTATAACCACACTTGGACACGCACAAAGGCACAGCCTCAGGCCGCAGTTCCGGAAGATATAGGCAGGCCAGTTGAAGGCAATGGAAAGGCCAACACGCTTCAGTGTTGTCTAGATCAGTGTTTCCCAAACTTGGGTCTCCAGCTGTTTGTGGACTACAGTTCCCATCGTCCCTGACCACTGGTCCTAGCTAGGGATGATGGGAGTTGTAGTCCAAGAATCAGCTGGAACCCCATGTTGGGGAAACACTGGTCTAGATGGTCTACATCTGGTGTACATGCCTCACCCCACTTCAAAAGCTTTAGCTCCCAGGGATGTAGTTGTCCTGTCGTGCACCATGAAACACTTGAGTGTTCTGGCTGTTCATGTGGAATACCTATGCTCTTTCCTCCGTCCTTGACAGTTGCGCTACCGAAAATATTCCAGTAAAGCAGCCTTCCTCAATTTGGTGGCCTCCAGATTTCTTGGACTACAATTCCCATGAGGTTGGTGGGAGTTGAAGTCCAAAACATCTGGAGGCCACCAGGTGGGGAAGGCTGTGATAAAGCAAGAGATGATTAATAGTTCAGTACTGTGCTGTCAATGTACACAAAACCTTACATGAGTTAGTCAGGTCCCTGACCGGAAGGAGATTACAAGGGTAAAGATGAGTTGGGAGGAAAGAATGCAGGGAAATGTTGGTAGGGTTAGCTTGGTACAGTAGGGGATCTGAATTAAGAGGATAAACCAAAAGCCATGTGAAAAAGAACTTCTGCAAGCTTTGAAAGCAGTAGGCTAGCAAGAGATCATGTGTTTTATGGTTACCTTGTACAAAGGAAGCCCAAAAGTTTAGAGTGTACGTTTAGGAAACAAAATATAAATACATATTTCAACTGTTGCTTTTTTCTGTTTCATTTTCAGACACTAGTGAAGCTTTTCTCGGGTCGTAAACCAATGCTGTACAGTTTCCAGACATCTTTGCCACGTCTTCCTGTTCCTGCTATTAAAGATACCGTAAATAGGGTGTGTATTTTGAACCCACCCCCAAACTTTAATCCAGATGGAATGTTGCCCTTGTTTTCCTTGTCCAGAAACATGCATCAATAAAGATGTAACATGATTTCTAATTAGTTCGGTTCTAGGTTAAGGTATGTCTGTATCCATTCACAACAAACTCAAGATTACTCAAGGGCACACCTTTACTTTATCTTATATTTATACCCCTAACGGCAAGATAGTCAGTCTTTACATTTCCATGTCTTTTATCTTCTGTCTGCATTGTGTAATCCTTAAATGGCTTGGAGTCTTGTGATTGTTTTCTTCAATGGACTTTGTCCTAAGAATTACATTATGAAAATCACCAGTACGTGATGATGAAAGGAGACCACTATAACAATTTTAAAAGTGCAATTTTTTTCCAAACGAAATAACTCCCCCCAGCATATAGCATATTATATTCTTTCAAGAGTCTATAACATTTTGCTAGAATATGAGTGCTAATTTCAGCACACAAAATTTATTACATGGTGAAATGGGCCCAGTTGGAGAAAACATACTGAAACATCTCCGATAATATCTCTGGGAATTTGGTCACAAGTTATCTTTTATATATGGACAGTGTAAGGAATTACTGTAAGATTTTGTTTAAATGTTGTCATTCTGAAAATGATAAGTAATACAAACATATTCAAATTTCTGGCAATATCATGAAGAGAGAGGTTTTTGTTTGTTTTAACCATTTGTGGGAATTGTTCAGAGGTATATTCATGGATTCCTAAACTGCAGTTTAGTACATGGAGAAGGTGTATTGGGTCAAAACTCTTCCTCCTTGCCCTTCCATTGTCTTCTTTCGTCAAGACACCATTCTTGGCTAGCTTCACTATAGTTCCCCTTTACAATAGAAACGAGAAACTGATTTAATGTTAGTTTACTACCCAAGATCTTAAACAATTGTTTTAACATGGCTGGAACAGTTTCAGATGTAACAGCAAATGATAGTTTAAGCCCACCAGGATCAGCATGCTGATAGAGATGATGAGCTCAACACGCACTCCAGACTTGCATTAAAGAGTTTTGCAATGCAGGAATATACATTGAAACTGGGCCAGAGAACTGATCTCTTTCATTGCTGCTGGGAGAATGGTTCACACTAAATTTTGGAGGCAAATGGAAGTGCTGATAACTAAAGAGTAACTGTGCAAGTTGTGGTGCTGTGCTTCTATAGTAAAATGAAATTTGTATGTGTGGAAGAACTAAAAAACTGAAAACATGTTTAATAGCTAGAGACCTGCTAATTTTCCATAAGCTTTAAAATGTGACTTGATAGCTTACAAGCTAGAGCTCAGTTAATGGGTTAGTTTCTCTCATTTCCTTTCCCATATATGTAATTCCTCTTCCACTCTTCCAGCTTTTTCTCACTTCTCCTTTTTCCTCTCCTCTCCTGACAGTTGCGCTGCTGTTTCCTCCTCTCCAGTCTGTTCCTGCTCTGTCTTCACTTCATTCCTTCCCCTATTGTCTCATTTGTTTCTTTATCTCCCCACATACCCTGTTCTTTTTTCCTACTTTTGTCATGCCTCCTTCCCCTTCCCCCACTAAGCTTTCTCTGCTCTAGACTCTTCCATCTTGTGTCCTTGGCCGTTCGTTCACCTCCCCCACCCCCAGTTTTCCTTTTACCAGCACACACAGCCTCATGCCTGCACAATGGCTGTTGGGGCCTGCCACACGAACCTTGTTTCCACAGTTCTTTGTATGATGAGTCAGGTGCAATTTATGATTCATGTGCAGTTGTGTTAACCTTCGTCAGAGGTGAAGGTTTTCCTCCTTTCACCATAGGTTTTTTTTGTACTTTTGCAAGCTTCATGTCTCCACAGCGCCTGCTAACACTTCCCTCTTATGTGCGTTTGTGTGGTGCTGTTTTTGCTGCACAAACATTGGCACTCTCACCTGACCATCAGAATAGAGAGAATGACACCTTCTAATAAAGAGTCAATTCTTCTAAACAACAACATGATCTGCTTCAGGGATGGCTTACCTGTGGCACTCCAAATGTTGTGGGACTCAAACTCCCATCATCCTTTATCACCTGCCACACACTCTGGGGCTGATGTGAGCTGGAGTTCCAAACAATGCATGCAAACAATGCCACGGCTTAGCAACTCCATTTGGAAGATCTAGTCAAAACAAAACAACCTACAAAATATTTCCAGATATTTTCTACAAGGTGACGGTAGATGCAAACCCTTTTTAATCGTAGTTTGAATGGAAATATAAGCAACAGATAGTTTGACATTCTTCGAGTCTCTCTTGCTCGCTTATTTTCTTACAGAGACTTGTTTCCATCTTCTTGATGTTGCTCTTGTTAGCTTGTTTCTCAGGTTCCCAGTGATGACTTGCAACAGCATCAACAAATCCTGTAACTAGGGTTTCTCTTGATCATCCCACTGTATCCCATTGGCAGTTGCTTCTGCTCTATTGTAAATTATTGACTTGGTTTTGGTACACCCTTCTGCATTGACACCAGTTCTTCTTATCAATTCCAGTATTTGGAATCAGTTCGACCACTTATGAACGATGAGGAATTTAAAAGGATGGAAGGCCTTGGCAAAGATTTTGCACATAATCTAGGACCAAAGCTACAATGGTACTTGAAACTGAAATCCTGGTGGGCTACAAACTATGTAAGTAAATGAATTGAATGCTTTCATGAAGTCATGCAGTTAAAAGCTTCTCAAATCTTCATTCCTGAATTTTCCAAGGTTCTTTCCTAAAAATAAAAGATAGCGTTTTAGTTCTAGAAATTCTATTTCTTGTGTTGACGCAGAGACTGGAGATAGTCAAGACTTCTAAAAGGTTTTTATGGAATATATTTATAGTAATCCCACCATTTTCAGTGAATGGCATAGCACTGTGGCTGGTGCTTTTTTGTGCAAGCATCATTTGTATTCCTGCTGCTAGGAAGGCTGATAACTGTATTGACAGCCTACAGGTATATTGGGTCATAATAAATTACTAGTTTGATCTCATAATGAAGCTTAATTATCTTAAGTTGTTGAACCCTTATGTTAGCCGCCTTTTCCTGCATGGTGAAAATAAACTTGTAAGCCACATGCAAATGCTGAAACTCTTAGGTTCTCCGTTTGACTCTAGGCAAAACTGCCTGTTTGTTCTTGCACCTGTCTCAAATGTTGTTTCCACAGCTCAGGGCTGATGTGGCAAACCAGTTTGGCATTGCACAATGCTACTGATTCACAGATGCTTCTCTGGTTAATCAAATCCTTAACTCTGCCTTAGCCAGTTGCACCAAGCATCAGGTACCTAGAAGCTACTTGATATTGGGAGTAGGCTAGTTGAACAACTCAGTTAATTCTGGTGAGAATCAGAATCAGAAGAATCTTTATTTGCATCAGCCACTAGCCATAGCAATAATATAAAATAAAATAAAATGTACTGAAGATAGAGGTTAAAAACTTAACTAGACAAAATACATTTTGGACGTTTACATCATTAATAAAAGAGTATATCTTATTCTAATTGCCCCCACTAAAAACCTTGCAGTTTTTGCTGTCACTTAATCATCTTGATCTGCTAAAAGAAAGGAAACAGTAGCAATGCTTGAGTGACCTGGCATGGACAATAATAGAGGGGCAATAACCTCACTCCTCAAATCTTTATAAAGAGTGCAAGCCAGAAGCACATGAGCCACTGACTCAATACTGCCATCTCCACATGGACATAACCATTTTTCCAGTGGAATGTTTTGAAATTTGTACCAACATTACTAGTGAGATCTTTCTAAAGAAGAACTCCATTTGGTTATTGAATATCAGAGAAATTGCCCTTCAGATGCTCTTGATAATTTTTTGTTTCGCTCTCTAGCAAAAGTAGAAAATAATACTGAGATGGTATTCAGTTTTCATTTTCAGAATCAAAATGTATCCAGGTGTTTAGAGTATTGATGTCCCAGTAACTAGGGCACTTTGTTTTACTTGGTGAATGTCACTGATTAATTATTTTGATCTCTTTCACTTTTCTTATAGGTTAGTGATTGGTGGGAAGAATACATTTACCTCCGAGGCCGTGGACCAATTATGGTGAACAGTAATTATTTTGCAATGGTGAGTAAATGGTACAATTTTGAAGGCGTCATCATTTCTCCTGCAGAGCCACTTCCTTTAGGGCTGAGATGGGAAACCTGATGCCCTCCAGTTGTTGCTGGAGTACAATTCCCACCATCCCTGATTATTGCCATGGTGGGGCTGATGGGAGCTGTATTCCCAACAGCAACTGGAAGGCCGTAGGTTCTTCTCTGTGGGCATGTAATTTAGCTGGCATAACATCCTAAATTGTACACCAAGTCACATGCCAGTTGCCTGAACTGAAGCAACTCACGTTTGGGGTTGCTTCATTATCCATAATCTTCCCAGCATGTGCACTAAGATAGAACTTCTGTTGCAATGTAGCATTAGATTCTGGTATGACTAAGAGGCTGTTTTTGGGAGGGTATTTTTTTCTGCATGTCTGGGGAGTCCCCCTGCGCGGGTCAAAAATCGCTTCCTTGCTGTTAGAGAAAACGGTATGAAATGGTGCAATTTAGAGTCCTCCAGTTTAAGGTGCCAGCCATGCCCCTTTTCAGAATATTCCATTCCACTCCTTGATCCCAATTTTCCATTTCCCCAACCCCAGCCCACCAGATGCTTTGTTCTGTGACTACAAAGCACACTCAGCCGACAGTGAGCTCTTTTGGGATTCCGTCTCTTAGGATTTTTTCGTTTTCAGTTTTGCTAACCAAAGCGTTTTGCAAGCCATTCCACAATGGTCAGTCAGTATTCCATGTCCATCCTCATTTGGCTTGGGTGTTTGTTTATTTGTTTGTTTGTTTTGAAAGAGAGGGTTATCCTGTTAAGTTGTGTTTTTAATTATATGTCATCTGCTGATAGCTCCTTCTTGTTCATGTATGTTTTGACTACATACATTCAGGAACTCTCCCTGAGGACTGGAAATAGAATACTAGATATTGCCCTGTTTGCATGTCACACTAAGCTAAACTGTGGTAAGAGTGAGCCCCAGGCATGGGGATCTCGACCTCTTCCCTCCTGCCTAGTCATTTCGCTGCTGTACCACATTGAACTAAGCCTTGGTTTAGCTTAACGTGTTAGGCTTGCAGTATGGCTTTCCTGGACAAACCATGGTTACAGCTTGTGTTTAGTCTGGATAGAGCAAAGCCATGAGCCCATCTTTGGACAGCTATAGCTTAACTCCATGAATCTCAGCAGCAAAATTACCAGGGTGGAGTCAAGCAACTCCCGTCTCATCTCTGGGAGCACACATGCTCACACATTCACACTAAGCCATGGTTTGCCTTAGCGTGATGTGCAAACCAAGTTGGTGTCTTGATTAATGAGGTGGAAGATGTTTTCTGAAGTTGACTTTCAGTGAATGTCATACTGACCTGCAGCTCTACATGCACTTTGGTGCAACAGAAGTCAATTAATATATTCTTTATTACATTTGAATAAGACAGTGACTACTAGCAAAGGCCTAACAAAGTAGAAGCTTGTGTGCAGCTGGTGCTGTTGTGTTGTGTGAACTATATATAAATGAAAATAAATACATGTGAAGCTTTCCTTTCAACAGTGAGCAGTAGGGTTGTGTGCATTTGTGATAACATTTGTGTTCTTCAGTACATACGGCTCTGCTAACATTCATCCCTGTCCATTCTCTTTATCCTTTAGGATTTCCTCTATTTTACTCCTACCAGTGTACAGGCAGCTAGAGCTGGCAATGCTATCCATTCCATACTGCTATACAGAAGAAAACTGGACAGACAACAAATCCAGCCAGTATGTACATTAAAAAAAAAAATAGTCACACGTTTGGGTCTGATGGATATAAGAAAAGCCTCATTACTTGCTTAAAAGTAACTCAGAGGAGGAATGAAGCCTCCTACTTTCAAATGTAAGACATGATTTGTCCACCACAGTTAAATGTGCATCCCATAGCAAGCAAGTGAAACCATGAGGTTGTTGAATTGCTGGGGAACAAATTGATGCAAATGAAAATTGGTTTAAAGGGCAAGCCAGTGGGGATCCCTTGGCTAGGGTCCCACTCTTCTTCTTTGGACTCAACACAGCTTCTAATGCTGTCTAGCTGATATCAATAGAATTCCCATCTAGGCCTCATGGGGGCATGGGTACAGAACTTTGGGAGGGGTTCTAATATGTTCATTCAATACTCCTATTCATTATTACAAGCCATAGGGCAACCTCCCCCTGTTCTCGCAGCGGATATGGAGAATTCTGTCCTGTGCATGGAGGAGGGCCACTTGAAAAGTGGACTACCTTTCAAGTTTCCATGAACAGTCTATATAAGGAAAGCTACTCTTCCTGTTCAGTTTCTATATTTCTTTGTAGGAGGCATTTTAGTGGCACCTCTTAGTGCACCTGGGGCCAGGAAACTGAATCTTTACTGTATTACAGATACAGATAAAGTCTATTAAAAGAGATTTGAAAATGATCTCAGATTTTGGAAATGATGACATTTAAAGGATTACAAAAAACCTTAGTGGCAGCCCGCATTTTGATTGATATGAACACAATGCAGCATAATGTTGGAGGGTGCAGAAAAGGGATAAATTTTGGAATGTATATGGCAGCTTAAGAGCAATTGGAAGAACTTCTGCAGACTCTACCATTGGCAGACGAGAGAGAGGTCTAGGGAGAAAATAATAATAAAAGGGATTTTGGAAGCTGGCATACTGAAAATGCACAAGCATAAATCCTCCTGCAGGGAAATTGCATGTGTGTACATGCAGTGTACTGCCAACCTAGCAGTTCGAAAGCAGGTCAAAGTGCAAGTAGATAAATAGGTACCACTCCGGTGGGAAGGTAAATGGCGTTTCCGTGCGCTGCTCTGGTTCGCCAGAAGTGGCTTAGTCATGCTGGCCACATGACCCGGAAGCTGTATGCCAGCTCTCTCAGCCAGTAAAGCGAGATGAGTGCTGCAACCCCAAAGTCGTCCGTGACTGGACCTAACGGTCAGGGGTCGCTTTACCTTTACATGCCGTGGAATATACATATTAATTGATGAAGGTTGGTGAGCCACAATTTCCTCTTGTGGAAATGAGATGTGAAGTGGCCCCAAGGATCCACAAATCTTCTGGCATTCTTTCTGATTCACACGTGTTTTTTTCTTCACGTGCTTAACTCCATTTGTGAAACGCAATCATAACACTCGTTTGCGGCATAGATTCTTCTGATGGGATCCACTGTTCCACTCTGCTCAGCACAATGGGAGAGGATGTTTAATACATCCCGTATTCCTGGAGAGGAAACAGGTAAGCTGAATCAGCTGAAGAAAAGGAACATCAAAGAATTGAAATACTTCCAGAATTTCTTCTTGAGTATACCATTCTAATAACAAACATTCATATTTGCAGTGTGTGCAGCCCAAGGAGAATGGAGGGACTTGTACACTTGAAATATGTGGCAGCCGTTGATAAAATCCTGATCCACATTTCAAATACCTTGCTCACCGGTTCACCTTGTATGATTATGTGCTGTCCCTGTTCTTTCTCTTTAAAAAAATAAAAATAAAGGTGCTCCCGGGAAATGATTTGCTACCCGGTATGGGTTCTTTGACTTTCCTTTTTTCCTTTCAGCTTATGATTTACAATGCCATCCCAATGTGCTCTTCTCAGTATGAACGTTTGTTCAACACTTGCCGTTTACCAGGCACAGAGACAGGTACAGTGTTAGTCCTGTCAATCCTGTCAATGTTTTTGCCTCCCCACTTTTGCATCCTAATCTTCTATGTATGTAGCAGATAACTTAAGCCTACAACATTTGCATATCTTGTGAGGCTGTGTGATTTTTCCATCAGAGAAATCACCATAATTTGCATTATAATATGCTAATAAGATCCAGTTCTTAAAAGTTATGAACCATTTCAGTGTTGTGCAAACGCACTACTAAGTACATTGAGGCATATTATAATGAATGATGAGAGTTGGTACAGGAATCTGTTCCCATTTGCTGCCACTTCCTAGAACTGTGTGTGTGTGTTCCTGAACAGGTGTTGAATCATTTAAATGTATTTTTTGGTTTGTAGATCACATTTCTATGCCTCTTCTGTGTTGCCAAAACTAAATTCAAAGTGGTATACTGTACTTCATAAATCATGATAAAAATGATGATATAAAAATACTTCTAAAAAAGCAATAAAAACCTCACAAATGCATTTTTAAAAATCTGGTCCTAAATATATTAGCATAATATTGTTGATTTAAAGCAGAGTCTGTCGTGGCCAGCGGAAGGATGAAGAATACGTGCTCCATACTCCATATAGCTTTATTTACAGTTCAAAGCTGGTATATTACAGAAAGACATCTTGCCTCTGCAGGAGCAGAAAATGCATCCTCTCTCCTCTCTCAGCTCGGAGAGAATCACACAGAGAAAAAACAGGAAACCAGTGTACGTCACATCCAGTCTCCCTTTCCCGTGAGAAACTCCAACAGTACAGACTGTGGAATGTAAACACCTGTCTCATGACAAGCAGAGCTGCACAGTGAAGGAAAGCAGAAACCAACATCCTCCCCTTTCTGTGAACATCACTGGGCAGCGTGTTTGCACAATATCAGTACAAACCCAACTTCTGCACATAGGTACAGTGTTGATCCCTTGATACAATCTTGGACAATACATCAGCAGGAATTTCATTACCTGGCATATAGGACACCGTTACGAGTCCCTTCTGAATACATTCCCTAGCATGCTGCAACTTTAATTGCAAGTGCTTTGTGCTTTGCTTACAACCTTCAGACTTCAGCAAAGCCAAACATGCTTTGTTGTCCTGGTAAACCTGGATTGGACATTTGACAGGAATTTTCATATCTTTGCACAATTGTACTAACCATTCACAATCCTTAAGTGAATAAGACAGTGCATTCAGTTCGGCTTCACAAGTACTTAAGCTAACTGTTGTTTGCTTCTTGCATGACCAATCAAACAGACTCTGATTGTACATGTAGCAAACTCCAGACGTACTTTTCCTGTCTGTAGCGTCACTTCCAAAACTTGCATCTGCAAATATCTCAAGACCACCAGACTTCTGATTGTTAAATCTCAGTCTGTAATGCATAGTGCCTTTCAAATACCGCGCTATGCGTTTCAGAGCTTTCCAATCCTTGACACTAGGATTGTTGACTTGTCTGCTTAGCAAATTACAGCTAACAGCAATGTCTGGTCTTGAACATCTGGCAATGAAGTTTAGCTTGCCTAGCACACTCCTGTACAGTGTAGTGTCAGAAAATGCTTCTTCAGTGTCATCTACCTGATAACCTGTTGTCATCGGTGTGTCTACAGGGTTAGCATCCATCAGATTTAGTTTGCTTAACACATCAGCAATTTTCCGTGACTGGTGTACTAGAATGTTACCATCTTGATCTCTCTCTATTTCCAGAGATAGGTAGTTGTTTACCTCACCAAGATCTTTCATGTCAAAGTGCTCTTTCAGTTGAGCTAGGGCGCTATTGTACATTGCAACATCTTTCCAAAAGAATAATAAATCATCAACATAAAACAAACAGTACAGTTTCTTTTGCCCTCCTCTTTGACAAATACACATGGATCAGCTTTCCCTTGCTGAAAACCTAGAGAAAACAATACTTCAGTGAGTTTTGTGTGCCAACACCGTGCACTTTGTTTGAGACCATAAAGGGATTTCTTCAGAGCACAAACAAATCCCTGTTTTACCTGTACGCCATCAGGTGGAAGCATATAAAGTGATTCATCTAGAGATCCGTACAGAAAAGCTGTATTAATATCATGGTGACTAATGTGTAGATTTTCCTCTGCAGCTAGCTTAAGCATAAGCCTAATGCTTTCATATCTCACTGTGGGTGAATAGGTCTCGTGATAGTCTTCACCTGGTACCTGTGCAAAACCTCTGGCTACCAATCTGGCTTTGTGTCTGACTATCTTGCCATTTTGATCTGTCTTCGCTTTGAAGACCCATTTGCTTCCAAGCAGTTTCATTCCTGGAACTACTGGAACTAGCTCCCATGTTTTGTTCCTTTCTAAGGAATCAAGCTCAGCCTTCATGGCATTTAACCATGGCTCAGCTTCCTTTGAATCCAAACCCTGGATTTCTTGGAAACTTGAAGGTTCAAATACCTTCTTGGAGCTTTTAACAGCTGTTACTGCTATCTTAGCAAACTCATCAGCAAATCTCTTTGGAGGTTTGCCTTTTGTGGCTCTCTGTGACCTACGAATTAGCCTTAAGTCTTCAACACTCTCCTCTTCCTTCTTAGGAGAAAAACGACCTATTGTGAACAATGGTTCCTCCAATTCTTGATCAGAGCTTTCAGAGGGTCGCATAGAGGCTTTCGCACTCTTGAAATCCTCTGAATCACCCGATTCAGTTTCAGATTCAGACTCAGAACCTTCATCAGTGGGTGTGGGTTGTTGTGGTTGCTTTTGACTATCCTCAGTCTCATCACCGTCATCAGGATAACATTGGAAAATTCCCACATTCCCCCCCACTTTGCATTGTACTCAACACTTCTCGTGAGCTTAATTGTCTTAGAGTCAGTCATCATTATTCTGTAAGACCCTTTCTGATAACCTAGAAAGATACCATGCAATCCACGCTTGTCTAACTTGGAGTTTTGTGGTGAGCGAACCCACATGTCAGAACCAAAATCTTCATGTGTTTGATGTATGGCTTCTTGCCAAACATCTTCTCATAGGGGGTACAACCAATCGCTGAAGATAACCTGCGATTGTAACTGTAAACAAAACACGAGAGAGATTCGGCCCAATAACTCTCTGGAAGATTGGCATCATGCAGCAAGGTTTTTAATCCTTGAAGCAATGTCTGATTTGCCTGTTCCGCAAGTCCATTCTGCCATGGCGAGCGAGGACTAGACAAATCGTGTTGAATTCCTTTCTCAGTCAGAAAAGCTTCAAACTGCTGAGAAGTGAATTTCCCCGCGATCACTGAAAAGAGTCTTTATCTTCTTACCATGCACATTTTCCAACCAAGCACAGAATTCCTTGAACCTAGGAAAAGCCTCCGATTTCTGCTTGAGATTGTACACAAAAATATATCTAGAAAATGCATCAATGAGAACCATGAAGTATCTATTTCCACCCAAAGAGGGCGATAGTGGTCCAACCAAATCAGCATGAACAACCTGGTATGGTTCTGTAGCTTTCCTACTAGACACCTTACCTTTCGCAGCCATTTTCACCTTGTTTGCTGCGCATGCTTTGCACTTCATGTGGTACCTGCAGGGTTTAATAGTCATACCTTCAACCAAGGCAGGCATTTTAGATACTGCCTCAAAATGCAAATGACCAAATTTGCGATGAAAAGCGTGAATACATTCTGCATGCAAACTTTTGTTAGAACCTGCAATGCAACAAGTGTCATCCTTCACCACATCATCATAATACAAAACAAACAAATGATCAACATATTCTGCATGCAATACATAATCATTTTTCTTTGTGATGATGCACTTCTTGTTCTTGAAGGAAACGTCAATGTTCCGCTCATTCAGCTGTCCAACGCTGAGCAGATTATGTTTGGCGTCTGGCACGTAAAGCACATTCTGTATCGATAAGTCCAAACTGTGAAGAACAACAGTTCCGTAGCCTTTACTGGGAATAGTGTGGTCATCCGCCTGGTGAATCGCACCTTCCTGCGGTGTAAAAGACACAAACAGTTTCTTATCGTTGCACATGTGGTGGGTGGCCGCTGAATCAATAACGAAGAAAGATCTAGACGTCTTCTGGACCTCTGCAACCTTTGGAGTGAAGCGTGAAACCATAGCCTTGTGCTGCGTTGTCCTAGACACCGGACCTTTGCCTTTGCCTCGGCCTTTTCCGCGTGATGAGCTTCGCTGCGCTGCTCTGTCTTGGCCCTGGGATGTCTGCATTCCTCTTCATATGGCCTAGACGTCCACACGAGTAGCATTTCACTGCCTTCAAAGCTTTGGCGCCATCTGGTGGTTCCACTGCACTATGGGATGACGTCTGTGAAGACTCTCCCTTGCCCATGCAGCTAGCACCCCGGCGATCTGCTTCATTTAAAATCACGGCAGTAACAAAGTCCACTGTCAGCTGAGCAGTTGGTTGCACAGCAATCTGGGTTGCAACAGACTCCCAACCTGAACCCAAAGATTGTAGTATCATGAAAGAATACACAGCCTCTGGAAAGTTGAGTCCTCTCTGTTGCAGCTCATGTCTCAGATTTTGCATCTGCATCAGATGTAAACGCACATCTCCACCTTCAGCAAGAGCCATATTATGCAGCTTGTTAAAATAAAACATAGTGGATCCAGCTTCTGTCCTTAAGTGAGCCTCTCTCAGAGCGTCCCAAATTTCTCTGGCTGAGGTCTTATCACGCAATAGACAGAGCTCTTCTGGGGATACTATCAATGTAAGAGTTCCCTTGCTTTGGAATCCTTAGCTTCCCATGCATCTGTAACTGGAACTGGGGGTTTCTGTAATCACTTCAAACAAACCCTCTTCCGCAGAATTGCCTCTGCATACTGAACCCAGTCGCTGTAATTTTTCTTGTTGAGCTTAGGAATCCCACAAGCATCCTGAAGGGCCATCATGACTCTGGCATTAGCCTTCAGCGTCATATGCTGCTTTAAATCTTGCTGCGTCACTGCTGCAGCTGCCTCATTACAAAGGCACACTTAAAAGTTACTTCGATTTCCCCAGCATAGTGACTTGTGCCTGGGAGCCTTTTGCCTATTCCTGCAAAACCGGCTTTAAAAGTTCAAAGTCCAGCCATAAAGCCATTATCTTGAAGCTGGCAGGCTGCCCGGAGCAGTAGCACATACCTCATCAATCACTTCTACGCGCAGAGCAGATTCCTTTCCGATCCGTCCCTCTGCATTCCGATCCTTTGCCGGCACTCCGATTCGACCTCTGGGCCCATAACCACGTGTTGATTTAAAGCAGAGTCTGTCGTGGCCAGCGGAAGGATGAAGAATACGTGCTCCATACTCCATATAGCTTTATTTACAGTTCAAAGCTGGTATATTACAGAAAGACATCTTGCCTCTGCAGGAGCAGAGAAAATGCATCCTCTCTCCTCTCTCAGCTCGGAGAGAATCACACAGTGAAAAAAACAGGAAACCAGTGTACGTCACATCCAGTCTCCCTTTCCCGTGAGAAACTCCAACAGTACAGACTGTGGAATGTAAACACCTGTCTCATGACAAGCAGAGCTGCACAGTGAAGGAAAGCAGAAACCAACAAATATCAATTCAAGAAACCTTTGGCTGTGACTAAAAAGCCCTCTTAAAGAGTCAGGTTTTAACCAGCCACCAAACAATGAGAGAAGTGGTTAGGTGAGGTTCTGATCAAAATACACCCCAGAGTGTAGGTACTACCACAGAGAAAGCCTTGGAACTCTATGCTCCATTTTTGTGAAAGGTGGACTAACACCTCTCCCCATAGATTTAAGAGAGCAGATTTTCATGAAGCCGATGAATACCTTTCACATGGTGTGTTAAAATTGGCTTGCAGGAATGGGGTGAAGGGTCAGTATTTGAAGTCACCCCAAACAGGGAATGCATTCTTAAAATATTTTTTCTAATGAACTTGTTTTCTACTGATAAAATTGTGTTGGTCAAGAACAAAATAGTTCTTGATGCTGAAAGATTGGTTCCATTTCCCCCCAGTGCTGCACATGCTGGGTCACAATAAGGGAATAAGGATCACAAAGCAAAGAAGAAAGAAGGATCAACAGATCAACAGCAGAGGATCAACAGCAAAGTAATTCTAATGGTTCTGAGAATATTTCACCATTAGAATTACTCTGCTTTTGTTTCTGTTGATCCTTCTTTCTTTTTTGCTTTGCATGTGTTGAGATCTTTTAGCTGAGCCTCATTACAATGGGAAGAAAATAATGTGAGCACCTCCTCTTTCCCACCCCTTTTATAGACATGCATAGCAGGGCTCCCCTTTATTTTCTGGAAATATTATTTCAGATCTCTTCATCTGCACAGTTTATCTCAAATAGGGCAAAGGTGGGAGGTAGCCTGTCAAACCAGAGTAAGAAAAGTAGGTAAAGGTGTATTTATTTTAATTTTCTAATGTAATAAGAAACTGGATCTGCCTTATGACAAATGTAATGTCTTCTAATGTGAAATAATTTACTTGAGAAAAATGCAGCTTGTGCATAGAAACAGACTCAGATGGTTCATATACTTCCTTGAACTGGACCTTGCAAAAGTGCCATGAAACACTTCATAATGCAGTTAATTCAACTGCTAATAAGACCAACATTTTGCCCATTTTGCCCTGTTTTTAAATAATAGAATCACAGAAAATAAGCAAACTTTTTTCGAATATGCTCTCAGTTACCTAATCACCACTAATGTTCTTGGTAATATTTCTAATTTCATTACTCATTTATCTTAAATCATTGCTAAGCATGCTGTTCTTTTGGTAATGACAAATAGTGATCAAAATTTGACAATGAATTGCAAATTTCTGGCTTTATTTTGTGTGTATTACTTCTACAAAAGCAGTGCTTTTTCTGTGTGATAGTTAATTCTCCGGTTACTATACTGCATCCTGGTTGAAGGTTTGATATCTGCATCTCTTTTTTCCCATAGCTTGGATTTTCTTGCATTTACATTCCTTGACTGTAAAAAAAACCATAGGTTTGCATTCAGTGTACCACTAAGGAGATAGGTTTCATCCCCCTGTGGGAGGGAAATGCCACTGACGCTAGAACAGTGAGTTAGTTGAATATAGCCCATAGAATGTTAAATTATCTTAGGATATGTAGTTTTACCTTCAGTCATAGTTGGACATACTATCAAGCTCCGTATCAAGGTTTGTTAGAAAACACTTGAAAACTTCAGACAGAAAACTAGTTACTGGCTTTGATATGAGGAACAATTTCCCCATGTGGTCACTTCCATTTATTTTCCATGTAAAAAGAAAGAAAAAAGAGTGGCAAAGTCACACGAGAGGACTCTCCTTAACCAGTGATTGTTGGAATCATTACTACTACTATTGGGGAAAAGCAAGCAGGAATACAGATACAGCTTTGAGTAAAAGTATAGATACGTGTGTTTCAGAATATATATATTTTCATTGTCAGAATGTCCATAATACAGTCTACTCAGCTTAGCTTTCCAAGTGTCTTGATCGGTGCTTGACTGGAATGCAGTGCTGCACCTAACTCCATTCAGCTGCCGAGGTTCCAGAATAGTTAGTTGAATACTATGAGGTATGCAAAAGAAAGCTGCCTGTGCATATAGGAGATTGCAGAGTTTAGAATGACAACTTGGTACAGCACAGTACTTGTTTTAATATTGGACGTCTTCTTCATGAATATCATCATTCATGAACAAATAGTGTATAGCTGTAAGTCTATGGGTTGCATCCAATGAAGTCATCCCATTTGCACAAGGGCTTATGCTTTTGCGGTGGAGCTTCTCCCTTTCCCTTCATGTTTTCCCCAAATCTGTTCTGTTCCCCAGTCCTCTGGAGCAGATTTTGGGGTGAGCACATGGGGAGCATTGGGAGGCGAAGTGCCATTGCAAAACAGAAGTCCTTCTGTGAATGAGGCTACATCGTTGGATCACATCCTAACTCCGTAAACCAATTTAAGACTAAGCAAATGGATGTGAAATAATGAAATAATGTATGCAGCTTGGAGCTGAGCACTCCATAGATGTTAAGTTTAAACATTACGGAAATCTTTGCTCATTTCCAAACTTTGGGTTGCAATTCTAGACACTATCCAGCATATAAAAGACAGCAAGCACATTGTTGTGTACCATAAGGGATGCTATTACAAAGTATGGCTGTACTATGATGGCAGACTGCTGAAACCCCGGGAGATTGAACAGCAGATGCAGTGGATTCTAGATGACAAATCAGAGCCCCAGCCAGGGGAAGAGAAGTTAGCTGCTCTTACGGCAGGAGACAGGTATGACACCCCAAAACAATTGCCAATCATTTCTCAAAACTGGAAAACAATTTGGGGCTACTTTCAGCTTTAAGAGTCTTTCTGCTTGTTGTTGTTTAGTCATTTAGTCGTGTCCGACTCTTCGTAACCCTATGGACCAGAGCACGCCAGGCACTCCTGTCTTCCACTGCCTCCCACAGCTTGGTCAAACTCATGTTCATCTATAGCTGCCTAAATGTTTGCTGACTATCCCTGTTATTATTCTGTAGAGTCTGTTTCATATAGTCTTCAAGTGCTTTTTTATTTATACTATTGTAAGATGGACTGACTGACATCTTAGCACAGTGTATCTGGGCTTCTCAAGCTGAGGAGGGTTACAAACAAGGTATTAATAGTTGCACTGTAGAATTTGCTGGGTACACCCAGTGATATTTCTTGGGAGGGCAAGTATACAGAGTGTTTAGTGGTCTGGACAATTTTGTAACTTTTGAGGACCTAGTACTTGCCATCTGTGGATCTTGGACTTGTAATGCATGGATAGGGAGATTCCACATTGAGCATTGGATCTTTGTGTTCAGATAGCATTCTGTGCATCTTTAGAGGAGCAGGGCTGGAGACTCAGAAGCCTGAGATATGTGCTTGAACTTGCTGCACACAGAAGTTCTATGGATAAAGGTCATCTGAACCTGCCCAGAGACACTATCATATTTTAAGCCACTGAATAGTGTATCCATATAAACTTGAGAGAGCTTGTGTGCACCTTCCATTTTAGACTTCACTGTCTGTGGAAATTGCATTTTTCACATTCAGAGTGTGTTGGTTCTTATTTTTCCCCTGCACTACTTTAAATCTGATTTAAAAGAGGGTGGTTGTAAGGTTAGTTGCATTCACTGACTTGGCATAATGTCTCTGTTTATATTTTTCTGGCAGAGTACCTTGGGCTAAGGCTCGCCAGACATATTTTGCCCGGGGAAAGAACAAGCAGTCTTTGGATGCTGTTGAAAAGGCAGCTTTCTTTGTGACTTTGGATGACACTGCTCAGGGTTACAGGGAAGAGGATCCAGTGACATCAATGGACACCTATGCAAAGGCACTTCTACATGGCAAATGCTATGACAGGTATTTTGGGGTGTGGGAAGCAGACATGATCTTTCGCTTTTTTATATATGTGTCCCACTTGCCTTGTTCATACATGGTGGTAGGTTTATATTTTATCCTGGAACTTTGATACAGTAAGCCCACAGCTTGCACACATTTAACTTGTGCACATTCAGCTTTACGTACCTGACTAAATGAATGAATGAATGTGGGTGGAAAGTGGGTGGGTTCCGGAGGAAATGACATTAGCAACCCCACTCGCCATTGAACCCAATGTGCTTTGAATGTACATGGTTTTGGCTTTAGGTGCAATCACCGGAACATAACCCTCACATAAGTTGTGGGCTTAGTGTATTATCTCTTACACTGAGAATCAAAATGGCACAAACAAAACAGTTTTTTTGTTCAGTGCCATGCGTATAAAAGGCATAACTTGCTTTAATATAGTTTGTTACATATTTTACTTAAGGACCATTAAAATATTTAAATAATTCTTTAAATAATTCTTTTCTTTTCTCTCTCTTTTTTTTTAGATGAAATGTGTTTGTGATATTTTTCTTAGCTCTGGATTTTCTTTTTTAAGCATTTGATGAATGTCACATTTCTAACCTATAGTGAAGTGCCCCTGGATATTTATTTACAAATACGTGTTTCATACATATAACTACATAGTTTCTCTCAGTGGTTGCCAGGGATTGTACCTTCTTGGTGAGGGTACTAAGGATTCCCTAGCCCCTTCCACTGCAGAATACACTTCCTGGGAAGAGGGAATAACCGTGTTGTAGATTTGCCTGTTGTAAAACTTGGATAAAACAAACTATTTTGCTATGTTAACTAATCTTACTTGCTTTTTATTTTTTGTAATATGTGATGCAGCTGCGCATTTCATCTGCCCAGAGCCTACATGGCTTTCATATCATGTATGTTAAGTTTCACAAGTTCTTATTTCATACTAATCAACCTTGTGTTCGTTACTCATTTCACTTTGAAGTTGCTGCTATAAATGTATGGTAAATCTAACTCTTCATTTTAGGTGAATAGCAAGTCTTTATTTGCAAAGCTATAGCTTTCAGTAACACAATGTTGTGGGAACTTTCTGTCTCTTATAGGTGGTTTGACAAGTCATTCACTCTTGTAGTGTTTAAGAATGCTAAAATGGGCCTGAATACGGAACATTCTTGGGCAGATGCTCCTATTGTTGGCCATCTTTGGGAGGTGAGTGTGTGAATATTCAAAGTGGAGGCAAACCAAAATTAAACTTGGTTACAGTACTTTAAAAGCTTAGCTCAGTGTAACATTATTGCAAGCAGTGGGCATGGAATCTAAAAGCACTTTTCTTCTCTCTGTGTTCCAGAGAAGGGAAAAGTTACAGCACAAAAATACATTAGAAAAGCCTGCTTCTGTAGAACTAAGACGAAGCTTAGATGAAGTCAAAAGAAGAAAATGCCACTTATCTCTGTTCCCTAATGTCTGTGAAACATTTTGTTGCTCAGATTCTTTTATTCCCCCCCCCCCAAGCTTACAACTAAAATTTCGTTCTGTATTGGCAAATGATAGGCCACAGGGTAAACACAGAAACAGTTTTCCATTGTTTTAGGCATTGACGTGATCCTAAGCCTTATCAGTGTGTCAGGCGTCTCAAGGAGGTCACTCAGAGCTACTAATAAACCTTGTATCTTCTTCAGCCTGGTGCATGGTTTCAACTTGACTAAAGCCTTTCTAAGCCTTCTGTTCCCATGTTCCAGCACAGACAGACCGATACATTTCTGCCCTTAAAGCAAACCATTGGTCCTGCTTGAATGGTGAATCGGGAGTTCTCTCGAACAGTGTTTGCTTCCATTCCACAGTTTCTGGGGTGGTCACCTTTAACGTGCACACATATTCACCCCCCAAAATTATCTGAGTAACAATCAGAAGAGATTTAAGTGCACTTAAATGCAGATAAGTATCAAATGCTGAAAGGCAAGGTTGGCAATTTTAAACAACTCAAGGTACAATAAGTTTTGTAAAATAGTAGCAATAACAAGGGTGCTGATCCTCTTTTTCTTTCTAGATCCTTTTTTTTAAATCTCAGAGGTTTTCTATAGTGATTTAAGCACGTTTCATGTTCTACACCAGTGTATTTATGGTGTATGTAATGATGTGCTTTCCTTGCTTCCCTCTTCCAACCCCGAACTCATTCCCAGAATGTGATGTCCTCCGACTGTCTTGAGCTGGGCTACACCGAAGATGGCCATTGCAAAGGAGAAGCTATTTCAGGCATTCCTATGCCTACCAGACTGCAGTGGGAAATCCCTGAAGAAGTAAGTGCAAAGCCACTTCTGGGTCAATATTGCAACTTTCATCCTGCTGACTGAAGTGATCATCTGTCCATTTTTCAGTAAAGATAGCTATTGTCTAGCTAGGACTTAAATTAATCAAGAGATGTATTTTCATGAGATCTGCTAGGAAGAAAACCCAATAGTGTTGCACATTATAATTCTTGTTATTTTTTAATCTGTTTTCAAATGCAGATCACAGAAATTATTGAATTAATTAATTAATATCCTGCCTTTCTCCCAGTGCAGGCAACTTAAAACATGAATTTAAAAAACACACGATTCAGCTAAAAAACACATCAATCCGTTATATATATATATATATGATAACGAAACAAGTTACCATATTCAAAAAGCACTGAATCAAAAGAAAACCATTTAAAAACCAGTTAAAAGCAAAAGAACAAAATATACAACACCCACCATTAGAAGACCATGCCACAACATTGACCAGTTAGTGGCCAATGACCTGTCTAATCAAAAACAGGAAAGCGGGGGTGGGGGGGAGCATAGCCTCCTGTGGAATGGAGTTGCACGATTCAGGAGCAGCCACCAAGAAGGCCCTTGCCAAATGTGCCTGTGAGGGTGGTGGGACCAAGAGAAAGGCCTCCCTTGATGACCCCAGAATCTGGGCAGGCACATAGAGATGCTGTCCTTCAGAAAGCCTAGACCCAAGCTGCATTAGGTCATAACCAGCACTTTGAATGCTTTTTTTTACATGCCCAAGTTTTCTTGTGCAAAATCTTCTACATCATTAAAGAGGCACAGATCTTCCCACAGTTGCCTGGGCAAAGGTCTCATGCCATTCCGCTTCCTGCCCATTGTCCTCATTATTGGAATGTTAAATTTAGATCATTCCAAAATACACTCCTGCTTTCATGCTTCTCACAGGGACCTGGTTGTCCACTCTGGGAACAGGATGCTGGATTAGATGGGCCACGGGCCTCATCCAGCAGGTCTTTACATGCACTTGCCATATGCCTGAATTCCTGTGCCTCATAGGGTTTCACTTCACAGGTCCCTTAATATGTATGTGAATGTGTCTAAATTGCATAAGCAGTTCTGGATGTACTGAACTAGCTTGGCTAGTGCTAATATTTCCCAATTCCAAATGCTGACCTTCAGTGGCTTATTAGAAAGGCTCTACTCTTATTTCTGTAACTTCATCACTTCATTTAAACTGTTTGACAACATTTGTTGGCATAACTCAGTAACATTTTTCAAAATTGTACTTTTTAAGTAGTACAATTTGTTTGTACACTCATAACTTTTTTCAGAATTCATATAAAAATATATTTTTAATGCATTTGCTTTTTTATTTTTGGTTATCTTTTCGTACAACAAACTAATGGAACTGTCCAGCACTGGTAAATAGAATGGGGTTAGGAGTGAGGGGCGGGTGACTAGAAACATTTCTTTTATTTTAAGTGATGCTGGTTTTATATTCAGAACAATAGAGAATTAATAAATCTTTCCATGCTAGAATTTTTACTAGATTCACGGCAAAGTTCCATTTGCATGAACTGCAGGAAACTGTTACTTTTGAAACTAAGCTCCAAAGCAAAATTAAATTGCTAAACAAAAATATTTAATTTTCATCTTCTTAAACTTTTTAAATGCTGTTTTTTAACCTGCCCTGAGACCTCAGGGTGAAGGGTGGGTAATTAATAATAAAAATGAAAATATAAAATGCGTGGAACTAGTTTTGTAATGTAACACTTGCTACTGTTTAGTGCCAAGAAGTGATTGAGAGGTCCCTGGCCGTGGCAAGGCCTCTAGCAGAGGATGTGGATTTTCATTCTTTTCCTTTTGACACATTTGGGAAAGGATTGATGAAGAAAACAAAGACTAGCCCTGATGCATTTGTGCAACTTGCCCTGCAGCTTGCTCATTACCGGGTAAGTATCCTCAGCATGGTGTTCTGTATGAGATACTTTATAAAAGAAATATCTATCTGTGTGTTTGTGTGCACTTTAAATAATGGTTTCCTTTCATTTCTCTTTAATGAAAGAATGCATTATAAATGAGAAAACAATAATGCAAGGAAACTAGTAATTAAAGTGCTGCGACTGTTAAGGAGCAGTTCATCGCTTATCTGCGAACAGTATCAAAAAGCAAGAAATAAAATGGGCTGAATCTGCAAATGGCAATCTTTTTCTGAAACACATTCATGGTGCTTCACCTGCCTACACTGGATAGGCTGGGACTGCTGTTGCATTGTACCGTATTTAAAAAGTCACAAATAAGGTCTCAGAAACATGACATCACAGAAAATACTGGGATGCAATGCTTTGACATTAACATTACCTGACTGCTCCATTAAAAGGTAGTTAACAAAGGATGGCTAATTCTGTGTGGGAAAGCTAGTATGGAAATATCAGTTGCCAACAGTAAAGAGACTTATGGATCCCTAGAATAATTTTGTAACTCACATTCCTTGCAAAATTATTAATAACCTATGCCTTCGTCAAATCCATGCTTATGCTTTCTCAAAAAAGCCAAGTCTTACTCATATAGCTCTCAATGAATCATAGGTTTGAAGAAGCATGTTTACATGAGTGATCTAATCAGCATTGCATACCTTGGTTTTCAAAATGTTTTTGAGATAGTTACTCCTTGAAGGTCCTTAACATAGAATTCAGTTCTCAAAAAGCACATGGCAGATCTGGAAAGAATGCAGAAAAACACAACTGCAGGGACAATCTAGTGCAGATTTACCTTGAAGCAAGCACCGTTGAACTCAATAGGACTTACTTCTCAGTAGACAAACATCAGAGTAGTAATGGCTTTTCCTAATGAAGAAAAGCTAAGAAGCTAGGGAACTCTAGTTTAGAGGACTGACAGTATACTCCTTTGTAAACTAAGCCCTACTGGATATACTTTGTCTCAATAGGAAACATAATATGGTGCTGAAAGTCTTCCTACATACACATGCATGTTCTTTCTCTGTTTATGAAAACTGGTTCCATGCAGCCATGTAGAATATCACACTGACATGAGTGATGCAAGGTATTGCTTATTGGGTGCATAATGGCATCTCACCAATATGAGGGATATGTGCTCATACACATACATGCCCCATATATTTTTCTGCACAATCCATGAAGCTGGTGTGCATGCATGAGAGAGAGACACATACACAATGCACACATACTTTTCTGCAGGTACTCATCCAGCTAATGTGTTGCTTGCCAGTCCTCTAACAGAGATCATTGAGAACACAGAACTCATTGAGGGAAATAATATTTCCATCAGCAATAGTATTTCCACCAGATGCTCAGAACAAAGAGGACTATAAATGAGTCCTTGTCATTAATTTGGTGCATAATTTTTAGGTTGTGGATTCTTTATGTTAATTCAGCATATGTCGCATGTACCCAGTGTTTCTCAGGGCTTGAATTTGCTGCTTGCATCTAAATCTCTCTCTGAATTATTTTTAGGACATGGGGAAATTCTGCTTAACATATGAAGCATCAATGACCCGCCTATTCAGAGAAGGCAGAACAGAAACAGTTCGTTCATGTACTGTCCAGTCATGCAAATTTGTGCGAGCTATGGATGATCCAACTGAAAGTGTGAGTTTAATGTAGCAATCAGTTATAGCTTTGCTTTTATTTTTATGTACAGTTGCATGCAGCTTCTTGGGAAACAAACATTGCTGCTTTCTTATCCAGCATAGTAGTTAAAATGGCGCCATCAGGCCATATGGAGCCCTTGTTAGGAGAAACTGTAAGGAATACAAGAAAATAATAAGAAATTCTGCTGCAGCAAAATCCAACTTTTACCTTTATCTGAAATATGCCTCACCCCTTTTAGACAGAGCATATTAAGTATTATAAGCATGCTATCTTATGCTGCGTGTGTGTTTTCCTTTCTGAAATAAAGCATCTTGAAATAGACATTTGTAAGCTACTATAACAGTGTGAAATAAAGGATGGGAAAACAAACATTTCTGATTTGCACCATCTGGTGGTCAGTGATGAAACGCTCTAGCTGAGAAAATTGGACAAAACATATGTTTCTATATTAGGACTCAAGATTTTTAATATGGGGTGGAATTCAACGTCATGCTAATACAGTTGCTCTGTCAGTGCAAGTATTTCTGCTTCCCCTCTCCCCATAAGCTGTTCTGGAGAGTTCTCCCAACCTTCCCAGAGATGGTGTGGGGCATGAGGGAAGGGGAACTCGTTGTTCTGCCTCCCACTGGTACAGCTATTTTTGTTAAATCAGACTCATGATCCCAAGCATTGACTCTTTCAAGATGTTTTTGTTTTCAGTAGTAAAATTGGTTATGGAAATCATTTTCATTTCTAAAGCAGTTAAACAGTCATGTGTTAATAATGGGTGTCAAGCAGCATTAAATCAATGCTTTCTTTTTATTGGTGTCTTATTCCAAATAGTAGGTGGAGAAAAAAAGTAGTGTTCATTATGCCATAGGAGTGCAAAATATAAGCTGTGAATTGATTTCAAACATTTTCTGTAATACAATGTTTTAAAAATTGGCATGTGCACTAAAATTCTGCCAATCATTCCAAGGTTATGGAATGTGACTTCATAGAGGCCCTATGTGAAGCTTTAAAGTTTTTAGTAATATTGAATAGTAGTTGCATTTATAGAAGGATATATCAGTGTTTTACTGTATAATGACGAATCTGTAGTCACCAGGATAAAGTTCTGATAGCTTAGGGTTGCCATACAAACAGTGTCCAGGCGGAGTTCACTGAAAAGAAGCTCAACAACTTTGTGTCCGGATTTTCACTTTTAAAATATGGCAACCCTATAATAGCTAAACTATTTTGCATTGGTCTGTGTCCAATATACACAAGTACCCTAATTTTATATAAGAACTGTCCATATTCTCCAAACCAGAGTTTGAGAGACTGTCTTGAAATATCACAGTCATACTGACTGATGTGGACAATTTTTCAGACTTTTACTCTGAAATATTAAAGGATCCATTAATTTATGAAGAGATCCATTAATGTATTAAGTACCATTCATTTGAATTTTGCTAGTTGACTCTGCAATCCAGAGAAGTACTGTGATATCTGTATATGTACAGCAGTACCCTTCCATGATTCCCTACTCCCTGGTCCCTACTACTACCCTTTATTAGGAATTTCAACAGGGTTACCAAAACATCCCTGGAATTTAAAAAAAGCATTTGCAGTGTGATAGGATACTGTAGCAGTAGGATACTGAAGGCGGAGAAAGATAAAAGAGAGCTCTGCATGCCTCTGTGTGCCCATAATGTTCTGCCTTTTTCTAGGCTTTCAGGTTACTCTAATGCTATTTTAAAATGAACATTTTGAATTTTCCCTCCCTTAATCCTCAGATTGAAAAGAAGCGTGCTCTATTCAAGGCTGCTGCTGATAATCATCAGCACTTGTATCGTCTTGCCATGACTGGTTCCGGCATTGATCGCCACCTTTTCTGCCTTTATGTGGTATCCAAATACCTCGCTGTTGAATCTCCTTTCCTTAAGGAGGTAAGTAGTGATATAATGTGCTACTGATCACATAAGAAGTGGGAACTGTATTTTTTGGTTGACATACAAAGAGATGCCATGTTTCTGGGCATTTTGAAGCAGGGAAGTAAACTAGTTTTGTGGGTGTTAAATATAGTGGTACCTCGGTTTACATAAGCTTCAGGTTACATACGCTTCAGGTTACAGACTCCGCTAACCCAGAAATAGTGCTTCAGGTTAAGAACTTTGCTTCAGGATGAGAACAGAAATCGTGCTCCAGCGGTGCGGCGGCAGCAAGAGACCCCATTAGCTAAAGTGGTGCTTCAGGTTAAGAACAGTTTCAGGTTAAGTTCGGACCTCCGGAATGAATTAAGTACTTAACCTAAGATACCACTATAAAGGTAATTTAGGCCTAATTTAAAACAACTGATTTACGTTTCATAATTATATGATCAATAAATAAATATATTTTTATAAACATTTAAAAGTATAGACAGCAGTGGGCCATATGGACAAATAGTTTAACTCAATATAAAGCAGCTTCCTAAATGTTTATTTTTTTTCCAAACAAGGGTTACAAATATATCCAATATTGAGAGAGCTCTGTGAGCTGTTGTGCCCTAAGTAAATCTTAGTATTGCTAGTTGGGAACAGGAATATCTGATGGTGCAATGATTCATACACACATGTGCATCAACCTTGCTGAATTCAATATCTTCCACAAAGCACCATTTTCATGAATACTCCTGCTCAGTGGCAGAGTTACAGTCTTGCTGAAGCACAGCATAGTTTTAATGAGCAGCATTCTCTGTTGCTCATCATGTGAAAATCTAAAGCACGCTTCTTTGTCATAGAGCATTGACATGTCCTATAATCTACCAGTCACACTGATGTGTAATAGGAAGACATTTTGGCATGAAAGTGGCATATACAGTAATAAAATTAATGATCTCCATTCATTCTGGTGCACATTGGAATATTGTGACAGTACAATTGCTTGCTGACATGCTTCCACTAGGAAACTGCAGACCCAGTGCTTCAGAAGAAGAAAATATTTGTAGAAGAAGGAATGGGTTGTTTGGTGGAACTACACCCCTTGCTAACTGTGCTGTTCTGCTTATTTTCTCAGGTTTTGGCAGAACCCTGGAGACTTTCAACCAGTCAGACACCCCAACAGCATATTGATCTGAATAAGAACCCTGAAATGGAATCCAGCGGTGGAGGGTTTGGACCTGTAAGTTGAATGGTATCTGTCTTTAAGAGAGGCAAGCACCAGTGCCCTAAGTACACTTCTGCCAGTTATACCTGCCTGGTATAGCAAAAACACTTTCAGTGTAACATATTATCCTCAAACTGGCACGGCACACAGCATCCCAAGCATTCCATGAGCTGACACAGCAAGTCATAGGACCATGACGATGTAAACCTTGAGCTCTCATCTCTATGAGGAAAAGAGCTAGTGTAATGGTAAAGCAAACGAACTGTTAGCTACGGAGTCCGCAGTTTCAATTTTAGCTTATGAACTTACTGTATGGTCTTAGGTAAATTGTCATTCTATTAAAATGAATGCCCCCACAGCCCAGTATTAGTATTAACTGAAACATACATTCAGGGCTTTTCTGTGGTGGCTCCGTGCTTGTGAAATGCTCTCCCCAGGGAGGCTCACCTGGTGCCTTTGTTGCATATCTTTCGGCATCAGACAAAAACATTCCTCTTCTCCTAGGCCTTTGGCTAATTAAACCTTCTATGGCCTTTTAAACTGGGCAGTGTTGGTTACTGTGGTATGTATATTTGTGTTTTTGTGTTTTTATATTGTAAACTACCCTATGATCTTCAGATGATGGTCAATATAGAGGCAAGCAAGCAAGCAAGCAAGCAAGCAAGCAAGCAAACAAACACTTAAGGAAATGCTAAATGTTTGATTATATAAACAGAGCCCCAGAAAACACTTAGCAAACAAACTCTAGCAATTTCCCTACATGTTGCCATGTTGGTCAAGGCCTTTCTCCCTATACATTAAATATTGTGATCAAAGGAAGTATACCTGGGGTGAGAAAGCAAGGTTTATACAGATTTGAGTTTGTTTAGAAACTTAGTTGATAATTCTTCTGAGTTTGGGCCATGAACTCTTGCATATATAATTCATTAAAACATAAAAGCTTGACATTTGCCACTTGAATTTTGTTTTGTTTTTTAAATGGGCGTAGTGTCTTCAGAATACCTTTGGTGATAATACAGAATATGTGCCCAAGGTGTTCTAGAACCATTTTATCATTATGGGAAAGTACTCAGGTGAGTCTTGGGTTGGGGCATTCCCTCCTCCCCTCTTTTCTGGCACAGTCAAGGAAAAGATCAGAAGTGTTTAGCATCTCTTCTGAACCCAGACAAACTGCAACTATTCTTTCCTATGGATTACCAAATCAAGCTAAGTTCAAACCTTAATGAAATTGGCTTATTTTAATAAACCGTGGTTCATATTAACCACTATTTATGGTGCACATAACATGCTAAACTGTGGTTAATTGGACACAGAAGGGAAAGCTTCAGATCTGTTTGTGGCTGGCCACAAGGGAGGAGGGGGGAGCATGCAAGTCTAAGGCTCATCTAGGCTCATTCCTGCAACAATAAATTATAGTTGATCATTACATCTGAACAAAGTCTATTCTACTATTCTTAAGAGGATTTTAAAAGATAAATCATTAGAGGCTTTTACATGAATGTATATTAACACACTCCAAATGCTTCTTCCACAGGTTGCTGATGATGGTTATGGTGTCTCATATATAATCGTGGGTGATAATCTTATCAATTTCCATGTATCCAGCAAATTTTCTTGCCCTGAAACAGTAAGTGTCTGAAGTCCAGAGCATTCTGTACACTCAGTTAATAGGCCTAGTGTTCTGTTAGAGAAACTTGTGTTTGGGATATTTTTAAATATTTGTCTGGCAGAAGATTGAGTCTAAAAGTTAAAAAAAAATAACCCAACAGATTTTTTCAAAATAAAAGCTATATGTTTTCTAGACTATATCTGTTATGGATACTATGGTTTTCTGTTCCCGATAAATATGCAAATATTTTGTTTGTATTGAGGAGTCATCATTCATAGTTCAAGCAGTATTGTACAATTTGCTGTCCTTTGTGATGTTATATTATTTTGTTGTATTTCCCCCGAAGCTTCAGAACTGGTCTGTCTTAGGAGTCAGAATGTCTCAGATTAGAAGATCCTGGAGTATGTCACAGGCTCGCATACCATGACAGTTGTTCCATCTCTCCAAACTATTGTCGAGATTGATCCAATCAGTGCTATTACAAATATTTTTCCTTTGTTCATATAACCTCACATTATCCAAAATGTCCTTGACCTGTCTCCTTATTTGCACAGTTTCTTGCTCAACCATGTTGTTAGTTTGTCCCAGCTATCCTGGTGCAGAATGGATGCTGCTACTAACTGTAATCAGTTACATTTACTAGAACTTCTGCATAGATTTTAATGCTTCATATGTTTAGTTACATTTAGAGAAGCCTTTTCTCTGACAGTTGAATTGATGTTATCTCTTTAAACCTGATGCTGTTTTTTAAAATATGCTGTGTTCTTTATGTTGCCTTGTATACAGTATCACAGGAAATGTGGATTCACTGCTGTTGGTCAAGGCACATTAATTTTCATTAGGCCTTCTTGACTTTATGGAGTTTGTGGGGACTAGAGGTCCTTTAACTTTCTACACAAATGCAGTTCCCATCCTGCCACAAATCAAACTATGCAACCTAGCCACAGTATGTTGCAAACAAAGAAAAGAATCAGATACAAGAAACATTTTAATCTTCTTTGTTCTTGACCACTTAACAATGAGACTTCTGTCTAAGGAGCAACAAAAATTCTTCTAAGCTACTGTGGTGTTTTAGAGATACTGAATGAAAATGGGGTGTGTTAACTGGTACACCTCCTTGTGGATCAAGCTCTGAGCAGACTGATATTGTAAAACAAATACAGCAAAGAAGTAATAGCAAACAGTTAATATCTCCCCCTCCTTCTCCTCCCCAAATATGTATCAAGAGAAGTAAATCGTTCACTTGAAAACCTGCACATATAAACCCCTCCTGTGTTTGTATGGTGTGAATTACTTGATGTATTTACCTGTAGACTTTGTATTGTTATCGGCAGGTTCTCATTTATAAGAAAACAATGATTCCTATTATGTATTGCATTATATCTCCATAGTCCAATATTACTGTTAAGGTGAAACCAGTTTCTTGCAATTTTTTTCACCAGTAGGAAATTACATATTTATCTATGAAATTGTTTTTTAAAACTCATAGATGGTGGGATCCAGTGGATGTCACTTTGCTGAAAGGATCCATCAGCAGAACAGGGAGGGAGGCAATTTTTGGCAATTCCCCAACTCCCTCCATGTCTGTTCTGGAGGGTTGGGGGGGCATCTGGAGCAGATTTTTGGAATAAACAGAAGGCTGCTGGGGGCATAGCTGCCAACTTTCCCCTTTTTTTAAGGGAAATTCACTTATTCCGAATAGGATTCCTCACAAGAAAAGGGAAAAGTTGACAGCTATGGCTCGGGGGAGAGGGCAGGAATCACTAAAAATTGACTCCCTCCCCGTTAGATTCTAACCAGAATTTAATATGAATTATCATATTACTCTCTCTGGTTTGCATCTATGTTATGTATGTACACACTATGAACTATATAATAATGAGAGTTCCATGTAACTAAATATGGATTTCTTACTCTGTTTATTGTTTAGAATTCCCATCGTTTCGGAAAGAACATCAAACAAGCATTGTGTGACATCCGTAACTTGTTCAGTCTTGGCAAAAATTCAACCAAGTGATTCCCTAACAGCAAGTCAACTAATCATCCTGAGTTGGCAGTGAGAACTCTTCTGATCAGTGGCTGAAAACAAGGCAGCTATGCAGCAATCCATTCAAAGTTATATAAATAAGTATTATTGGGAGAAGTTCCAACATCCATTACTACAGTTGATCAGAAGAGTTTTCTTCTCCCCAAGATATGACTTTTGGTATTCTCTGTGTTATTAGAAGAGCTGCAAACTGGCCACAAGTTAAGATGTCTAGACCTGTCCTAATTTGGTGTACATTTGATCATTTCTTACTTTAAAATCTCTCTACCTGTATTCTACAAATGAAGGGATGAAAATAGTGCATTCCAATCTCATGTCAACAAAAAATCTGACTTGAAAAGTACCTGTAGCAAACCATCAATTAATGTATCTGCGGGGGGGGGGGGGGGTTAATCAGTAAGTGACAACTTCGGGCATTCATTTTAAATAAAGGCATTTCATTAAGCTGAACATAAAATAATATTCTGGTAAACCTAATGTAATGCGCTAAGTGAAAAAAATGTTTTGTTGCTTGGAACTAAGCTTATATTGCCATAGGTCACTGATGAAATATTTGCTCTACCCGCAACTGTGACAATTGAACACACTTAAAAATATACATGCCCTAGTATTTTTCTGCGTTCTCACTTACATTGTGAATGGGCCTGCTTTACATGTATTCCAGTACATCTAAAACAGAGGTTCTAAATGCAGGACATTATTACACTGTGGGGTGTTTTGTATTAACTTGTAAATTGTCTGCTGGATATGGAAAGTAGAGTTGCTGAACTTGGAAATAGAGTTGCTAATTCACAATAACTTATCTAGGTATATTTGGGTAAAAGTCAGCACATTTCTGTATGGTGTTACATTTGAATGGTCCAACATGAAATTTCCTTTGGTTTTAACCTAATGAAAGCCCTTTCCTTTGAGACAGGAGTAATTTCTATGCTAGTTTTTTAAAAAAAGTTTCAATAGAACTTTTTTGTTTCAAATGGGAGATCAGTATCAGTGAAAGCTGCCACATTTCATAACATTTCCCTATATTTCAGGAAAGTTAGCCATCAGATGCAAAATTTGTGGGACAATTCACAGTGCAAGTTAGTCTCAGCCTAGGTGGCACATTGTCATTTGCCTTAAGCAACTCCTGCCTTATGTGCAATCATGAAAAATTATAATGGAGAAACCTTCAATATACTTAGGTCATGGTTAAACTATGTGGTCCCAAACTCAATGTCTTAAAAATAGAAGGCATGGCAAATCATGAATAACATTACCAGAGAATTTGTAATGAGAATTACAAGGACAATAGTATGGGGGCTCATGGCTGGCACAAAGTACACTAAAAAGCCTAAAAATATTAACATTACAAAAATATAACAACAAAGTCCTCTTGGCAATCTTTAAATAAAACTAAGAGTTTAGTGCAGCAATTACATCTGCTTATATGAATTAGGCTATAAAAATGATCATGCAACATGTTCAGAGATTTTAATATTCAATCCTAATGTTCCAGAACTTTTAACATTTAAAACAAATTGAGGGTGTGAGGAGGTCTCTTCTGTCCTGAGATGAAGAATATGAATAATATTCTTGGTTGTTCAACATGTCGGCTTGGGTATAAAATGAAGGTCAGATGACAATGCTCTGTAAATAAATATTAGAGCACAGAACCCCCCCCCCCCCCGGAATGGGTGGAACATGTTACGTTTGATTAACTACAGTAAATAAACAAAATTTGGGGTGGGTGGTAATGAATCCTAAAATGCAGCATGGTGTCTAATCAATGTACAGCAGCAAGTTAAGAGTCAGTGTTTCGGAGCTTTGTTCATATGCTTTATATTGTCCACTGACTAATATATTAATTTTAAGGTAAATAATCTTTTTTATTAAGAGCTTACTTAGGTTTGACTCAGGTTTTAGATATTTCCAATGTAATCATAGTTAATGCATTATCAATGCAATTTTTGCATTCTTTAAGGGAATGTAATTGGCGGAGGACAACCTTTTTTTTATTGCAAGTGTTTGGAGGGTTAAGCTGTCGTGCATTTTTTATTTGACACCAAACAATTTCTAAAAAGACTTGGTTTGTATCCTCTCAGAATGTCAACTGCATGTAAATAATGTTCCATTGGTTGTAAATCTTTAAACGCACAGTAAGCATAGGTTATCCTTAATAAAGAAATTAATATTCTGATGTATGTGATTTTATTTCATACATGTGGGAACACATTCATTTCTATCGTAGTCTTATAAATTCCAAAGAACATTCATTTCAAAAGAATTGTCAAGGATTATATATGCTAGAAAAAAGAGTCTACTTAGATGTATTGATCTTATACTGATTTTTAAAAGGGCTTTTGATAATGAAAAATGCAACAATATGCATGGATAGTAATGAGTAATTAATTATCTTTATATTTATGTATAACCAGAAGTTTTAAGACACTGAACCTATTTCCATTTCTAATTGGAATGTGAAAACTGGCATTGGTTAGTATGCACATTTTTATTTAATATTTGTTCTCTCATGCTTTCTATTCCATACTAATTGCATTCAGAAGTGGTACATTCCAGACTTTAAAAAGCACAGTGAAAAGCACTTCACACCCTCGGTTCTTTTCCCAATGCATGGATTTGGGTGTATGCTATTTAATCACAAAAGTTGGAATAATTGGAACTGAACTCATTTTCTGTGGAAGTGATTTCTTGCAGCATGATGCTTGTCAATTTGTAAAGAATGCTCATTTTTAATTGTGCATATTCTAATCATGTATATGTGGGCCCTGTCTCACATAATCGCATGACACTGCACACACACACAATGGAAGTGCCTATCAACTTTGCCCCCAAATATTTTACTGGGGCTGGCAAAGCCTCCTCTGCCCCAAGGAGTTGGCTCCTATGGGAGGATGATGAAACTACACTGTTCTGACAAGGTTTTTTCCTGCCTAATTACTTGATGCTGCCCTGTGCATCTTGCTGCTGTTCCACAAGAAGGGGGGTGAGGGAAGAAGTCAGAGAATATGACGTGGTGTCTAGTTGTGTATAAATTCCCTCTTATCTAACAGAAAATCCACTCTTTAAAAAAAACAACGGATCTAGTTGTAAACTTTGCTTAGCTCTTTTTTACCCTGTGCCACCTTTGCTCATTAACATTACATATGTTAAAAATGAAGCAGCCTTATACTCAGGGCTGGATTTAGGTTTGATGAGGCCCTAAACTACTGAAGGTAATGGGGCCCTTTATATAGCACGCAGAGCCCATTACTTATAGGAGCCTACACAACAGAAAATGAAACACTGTTGCTGTATGTTTTGTTTTATTTGTTTTTTATCTTATATTTTGGAACTGTACACCTTTTTCCCCTTTAAATTTTTAGGGGGCCCCCAAGAGAGTGGGGCCCTAAGCTCTAGCTTGTTTAGCTTATACCTAAATCCGGCACTGATACTATCTGCGTATCTTCGGCGGGGAATGTTCCTTATTCTGGAACTTCCCTCATGCCATTCTGTGCCTTATATTTTCACTGATCCTCAGGCGTTTTTAAGCGAATGTCCCCTTATTAAAAGAGAGAGAGAAAACCAGCAAAGCCCCTAGATTCTCAGCCGCTGCCTCAAGAAAAACAGGCGCCGGCTAGGAAAGGGAAGCGGCGTTTTAACAATTGCACATAAGTTGCCTCGTTTTGCTGATTAAAGGCGGCTGTGTGACTCTTGCCCTAATATCGAAAGGGGCGACATTGGGAAAGAAGAGGCGGGAAGGCTGAGTTCTTTTCCCTTCAGCGCCCAGCGTGAATCCACTCCGCTCAGAGATGCGAGCGGGCCGCGTGGCTTTTGCCGGCGCGAGGAGAAGCGCTGAGGGGAAACCGCCCGGAGGGAGATCCGCCCCCCTTGGCGGGGCTGCTTAGCGGCAAGCGGCTTTTCCCGCGCGCTGGCCCTCGCGGGCGCTTCTGCGCTTAAAACTCCCCGGCCAACGGCTCCTTGGCACCCCTTCGGCGAGCGCTGCTCATAATGCAGTGCTGATGATGGAGGGGAAAAGGCGGGAATCTGCGGAGGGGGAAGGTGAGGTGGCGGGGTGGCTGGCCCGCTTCAGCCACCACGGTTTAAAAGAATGTCCGCCGCCCGCTCGAGATGGCTGCGTGAGGGCTGCTTCTTCACCTTGTATGTTGCTGCCATCAAGTTCGTCCCAAGCCTGGGACACTGGTGTTTACAATAAGCAGACATGCCAAGGATGAACAACAAGTCTTTGTGAAATAGTTGTGTACACGCACGGGGGTGTCAGACCTGCAAAGTTTGAAGCACCCCTTACTCCACCATCTCTACATGGAAGCCACCCTTGGCCAGTGTTCTCAGATGTGTCAGGGCTAATAATAATAATAATAATAATAATAATAATAATAATTTGCCACCCATCTGACTGGGTTGCCCCAGCCACTCTGGGCAGGCAGGCTTTTCACCCACTCCTGGTGAAAAGGAGACACCATGAAGATTCAAACATCTTCATGCTGGGCCAATAAAGTGTGTGTGTGTGTGTGTGTGTGTGCGCGTACATCAGTACAGGCGAACCTGTGGTCCTCCATTTGTTGTTGGGTAACAACTCCCATCAGACAGCAAAGTTTAAGAGCCAGGGATGAGGTGAATTCTAATCCAACAAGACCTGGAAGGCTCCAGGTTAGCCACCTCTGATATGCACCATACACAATATAGAGGTGCATCCAAAGCAGTAACACAGATCTATATTGCACTGTCGCTTGAGGCGAAGTAGAGGTGTGTGATTGCTTCAAATACAAGTAAATATACCCTTAATCTGTAATGTGTGAGGTAACCACCACAAAACATACTTTAAAAAATCTCCTTTGCTTCAGGTAGGCAAATGGGAGATCATAGGACAGGGTTATCCAGATGCAAACATACTATTTCGAAGTGGTACAGTTGTAAAAGCTTGATCTGAAATTTTTAGAAGGTCCGTATAATAGTTTACAATAACAAAAAAC